ATTATTAAAGTGCAAGGAATTCAAATATCGCTTATCAAAGACCGCTTATCAAATTTACTCGACAGCCTTAATTAAAAAAACGGTTATGAATTTAATTTATAGGCCTTTACTTGTATATACTAATATACTAATTAACGATAGAGTATTAATTTATTACGATTAATCGATATATATTAAAGAGTAATTAAATCTCGACTATAACTTTACTTAATAGGGTGAGAGTAATTATTCTCTAGTTAAGACTATAGGCCCTAAGACTATTATAAATTATTATATATCTATTAAATTTAGTTAGTAGAAAAGATTACTAAGAAAGTAAATAAGATTATTTATATTTTCTAGTATAAATAGAAAATATAAATTAAAGCGTTAAAAGAGGAATAACTCTCGTAGTATTAATGCTAGTAAATTATTCTTCGTAGACTTACTCGATTACATTATTTATTAAATAATTAAACTCGTTTATACGAAGTTAATTACGACGAAATAATAGGTTTTTAACGTTAAGAATAAAGTATTCTAAGAATCTAAGAAGAATAAGTATTAATAAGTATATTATCTCTCTAAACGATATAGTTTATTCTATAAATATTAGCTATTTCGCTATATTATCGAGAAGATTTCTATTTTTCTTTCTCTTTTACACCTAAGATAGTTTAATAAGACGTCGAAAATTATAGTAAATTGGAAAATATTTTTCGATTTAATTATTATAACGGCTATTTATATAACTTTAATTAATATTAATAATATTTAAAGTTAATTTAATAATTATTCTAGCGGCGATAATAATTAATAATCTATCTCGGTGCTTATATAGTTAAGATATAATTGACGAGAATTAAACTTACTAAAGGCGAGTACTTTTTTATTAAAATTTAATATCTTAGCTCTATTATACTTGATAATAACTATAAGTAGCATATAAACTTTATAGAAAAATAATAAGCCGTTATTAAAATCATCATTTTTCGATATATAAGTTTCATAAGAAGATTTTAGAAGATTATCGCGTTAAAGAGTATATATAAGAGAGATAAAGAAAGTTATTTAAAGGGTGAATAGAGTCTATAGATAAAAGTATAATAAGAAAATTACTACTTTACTATAATCGTTTTCGATAGCTAAGAAGGATAATAAGGGCTTATAATATAAGAAGAATAAAAGTAGACGATATATATTAACTAGGCGTGAGGCTGCTAATATAGAGAACTAAATCTTACGTCGTTAAGTAAGAAAAGACGCGAATAAGAAATAAGAAGAGGGATAATAAGAAATTTACGAAATAGATACGAAAGAATCAGATACAGAAGAACAGAGATCAGCAAACCACCTCCGCTTTTTCACAGCTAATCTAGCTTGAGGAAACTAGAAAGCCTTCTTCTTTAACTCACCAGCGGAGAAACGATATTTTCAATTTCGATAATACTTTCTCTAACGCGAACAACGACAGCGACGTTAAGTTTCTAGATATATAGCCTATCTAGAACCCTAGTTAGCCACCTTCTAAAGGCCGTATCAATACTCTAAGTCTATTATTATCGAAATTATCTTTGAAGTAATTTACTAATATCGACAATTTCGATAACTTTCCCTCTCTCTTATTATCACCTCCTATAATAAAGGCTCTATCTCTTATATTATAGCCCGATCGACGTAGTTAATAATAAAGACTTATTATACCGAACGATTTAGAATCTACTTCGTTAGCAATTATTAGAGCTAATCGAGATATAACCTCGAAGTTATTTAAGAGCCTCTTCGATAACTATATATTTTTAAAATATGTTAACATATATTACTCTACCTCTTAACAAATAAATGTAAATTCAAAATAGCACTAGTAGATACTTGAAAATATATAAAACATAGATACGGTTTCGTTCGATAACTCTATAATCCTACTAAGTAAGGATCGAATATAGAATAGTCGAAAAATTCTTTCTAGTCAGATAATTGCCTTTCTATCTATCATTTAACAGTCTTCTAATATATCTGCTACTGCTGCACTGTAGAATAGTTATTAAGAACTTCTTTGATATAGGTATAGTTAGATAGAATAGACGTTCTCCGTATTTGCTTATTATAATAAGAAGAATAGTACTAAGTAGCAGTAAGAATAACACTTGCAGCTATCTCTTCGAATAGAGAGTTATCTATAACTAGAAATATAGCTACTACAGTTATGAAATATGACTATCAGTTATGAAAATGAAAAATGTCGCTATTACAGTCATAAATGTTCATTATTTCTATATGCTTAGCGTATATTAAGTCTCAAATTATGAGTTAACTTATAATTTACATATTTTTAATATATAATATAGTTTAGTAAGTAAAAATATAATTATCGAACGTAATCGTATATATATAGTACGCTAATTTGAAAATATATTTAGCATATTTTAAAAATATATAATTATCGAAGAGGCTCTAAGTAAATTAGATTAGAGTCTTAATAAGATTATAAAGCTAAGATTAAAATCGAAAAGTAGATTAAGAAGAAGATGATTATAGCGAGGAAGAGAATAAAGACTATAAAGCCTCGAACGAAGAATATATCACAGTTAGAGGATATATTAGCTCGACTAAAATCCTCGCCGCCATTAATAGAATAAACACCTTATAGCACTTATACTAATATCTCTATCGTACGATTACTTCGTATAGAGTGTATATACTTCTAAATAGACTTTTAAATAGATTAAAAAGATATATGATTGATATATCTAGAAGTCTATTTAAAAGTATATTAGTAATAACTCGAAGAGTGAGAAATAAGTGAAATCTAGATAGTTTCTTCAGAATAAACTATATATAGTATATATAAGAAATTTTATAGACACGAGAAATCAAAACATAAATCTCAATAATAAATTTTTCATCATTAGAAAATATAGAATTTTCGTAGATTTAAACTTATAGCCTTTCTAAAACTATAATAAAAGTCGTCGCTAAAAGTCTATATTATAAGACCTCTCTTACTCGTTAAGATATAACGTTCTATTTAGATATTTATATCGTGGAATAAAAGAAATATCGACAATGCACCCACCAGTCAGATATCCACTATATCAAGGTCTATGCCAAGCCGGGTGGCTGCGGGTATACAAGTATACGGCGGACGAGGGCTGACACTACGACAAAACCAAAACCACAATTGAAAAAAAGTTTTAAGACTTCGTTTCGCGATTCCTACTAAGCATATTTCTTGACTTTTATACGAAGCATATATATTATTCCTTTAACTACTGTAGAATTATTGTAGGGAGTCATTGTTGAGGCTTCAGAAATGTATTACGTAGTTTCTAAGCTCAATTGAGCTAGTTTAGGCACCAGCCCACAAAGATTGTACAAAGTTCTCTTCCAAACAAATTCTTCTTCAACAACAACAACAACAACAACAACAACAACATCATGTACGTATACTGCTGCAGTATCTCCTTCCTGTGCTGCTTTGTACGAAGCTACTCCTGGCTAACTTCGTGTCAGCGTGTCTAGTTCCTTCTATGCATGCGTTCCTTCTACATCCTTCCATGTATATTCCATCATTGTTCCTTTCATGTAGTTAGCCATAGATAGCAGTGCTTTGTTCTCCATCAGCTACATAATAGCTGATGGCCCCACCACTGAATCTACACGCTTTCTATCATCACCACTGCTGTGCTACGCTGAGACTTCGTACGTTAGCATCATCATCACCACCACCATCACCACCACCAACAATGTGAGTACAATACTGCAGTCTCCCTCAATGCCTCAATGCCTTCGCTTCCTGCAGCCTTCCCCAATCTCTCTGCTTCGTACGAAGTTGCTCATGCATGATAGCTAGCTAACTTCGTACGGCAGGGCTCTTGTCTTGTGGAACGCCGCCGCTGCCGCCGCTGCCCTTGCCGCCGTCCCGGCTGGCCAGCACCCTCACCTCCTTGTGGGGCAACAGCAGCTCGCACCCTTCATCCATGGCCCGGTCGGTCATGCTGTTCTAGTCTTACCAGGACAGGATGTTGATTTCGTTCGGGGGGCGATTCAGCCTCATCAAATTGGACAGCATCGACCGGGGTACATCAATGCTATCCTGATCCAGTCGCGCGGACAAGCTGCCCCCGTGGCTTGTTGGCAGTGCTTGCAGACTCCGCGTCCTGGTCTCCGCCCCTTTCCCGTGTGCCACCGCTTAGCGGGGCATTTCGGAGGGGCGTGCGCCAATCGCAAATGGCGGGACCACGGAGTTCAGTGCTCCTTCGTACGAAGGCCACCTGGAGATGACGGAGGCAAGGGTGGAGGGAAGCGTAAGCGCCGTTCTCGTTCACCCGAGGGGGTTAATGGCCCTTCGAATCAGAAGCAGGTTGCCGGTCCCCGGCTGGGGGAGAGGGGGTTGCTGGGGGGGGTTAATAACCCCATTGTTATCTGAGTATGTATCAAGTTTCTTCCGTACGATGTTTGCGAGTCTTTTTTCCGCACAGCCCACTTTGAAGCACAGTCATGTACTTGAACGATTAGCCTGCACCTCTACGTGGTGTTCAAGACCAGTACCTTAGCAAAGGGAAGCTAAGATGGGCTACCCTTCTGCACCGTACGAAGTGTCTCTCTTCATGTAACATAGATAGAATAAAATTCAAGTACATTACCTTTAGAAGAATGTCCGTATGAAGTCATTTAGACACTCGTAGCTATCAGTCACCAAGTTTAATGTAATCACTAAGGCCACTGCAGCCACTTAGCCATTACCATTGCAGTTACCTACAGTCACTTCGTACGAAAAAAGTTACTGCAGCTATTTAGCCATGACAATAATTAGCTATCCTAGACAAACTATCTATAAAAGATGTTGAGATCTGAACATGCTGAAGTCTCTTGTTGAAAGATACTCTGGACCAATCTATCCCTTTCGTACGAAGATTTATCTACTAATAGTCAACATCGTACAATGTGTAGATAGATCGTGTTTGACTTACTTCTGCCGTCGCCGCTGCTGCTTCTGCTGCTTCTACTTTCCTTCATATCTACAGGATATTACCGACTTCTTGTCGCCAGTTCGCAAAACCTTCATCTGCACCATCTCCTTGGAAGTCCAATTCTCGTACGCCTTCTAATGGTCGTGGATCTGGTCCAGCCCACTGTAATGCACCCTCCGGTCTTGGAACTAATCCAAGTCGAGGTTCATGTCCTTCGATCTCGTAATTACTTACTGCCGTACGAAGAGCTAGATAATGATCTAGCCACGGCGATTGACACTCATGTGGGGGAATAGCGGGCGGTGAGTACGGATCAAATCCTCGATGACGGAGAAAAGCATTACACCATCCGAGTGTAAAGGATGGAAGATACTCGTCTGGATCTAATGGGCTTGATTAGTATTAAACTAATGCATAGCGTTCTTCGTACGAAGAATGGATTTGAGTAAGATTTATGCATGGCGTTCTTGATACGACAAATCTCATCTTCGTACGAAGTAGAGATTCGTCATATCAAGAACGCCATGTTCGTAGAAAGAAAAGATGCGCTGACTTACCCCAGTCTCCTACGTCACGACGTAGTTGCGTAAGAGTTGGTTCATGTAAACCAAGTCCATAATTTCTAATACCATCTGCAGGATGATAGAAGAGGGTGTATGGCTTTCCCTGCACGGACTTCGGACGATGAGGCTGCTTGCGTATTGTATGTGTGTTCCAATTATCCACGAAGTGTGTGACTTCCGTACGAATAGTAGGAAAGTAGATTGCAAGGATTGCAACTCGATCGGCCAGAACGTCTTTGGAATACTTTCCAGTTCCTCTAAGCGTACCAAAGAAGCTTATCCACTTTTCAAGAAGGCATTTAGTTAGTTGAGCCGACCAAGACTCAATTCGTTGGTTGGAAGTACTTGTCCCGTACATGTAACGCTCTTGAAAAGCCATTTCCGGATCGTATGCCTGTTGCAGAGTAAGATGCGCCTGCGCCATTAGAACAGTCTCGCCCCCACGCTCGGATCGTACGAATCGAGGCTGTTGTCCAAGCACGGAAATGCAGTCTAGAAATCCTCGTAGAACACTAATAGCCGTACGATTGGTAACATCCACAGTAAGCCATGGGATATACCGGGCATGGTCGTCTATCCCGCCGTAGATCTCGATGCCATACTCTGAAAGCTTATCATGACCATCCACAGACCATACCAGATTTGGACCAGGACCGACGTATTCACCTCTCTTCCGCTGCACATCCCGAAGTCGTCGATCAACAGCATCGGGAAGAATCGTACGATACTGGGCAAAGAGACGATCTCTAAGATACTTTAGCATGCATGGAGATAATTGAATTCGTACGAAGAGTACCTTGCAACTGGATGTCCTAGTTTCCGGAAATGCTCCACCAATTGCCCTCGTCCGTAGCTCTGAATTACATTCTTGCCAAGCTTCTGCTCAATCAACCTTCGTACGACTTCATCCATATGCTCTCTCTTTTCTTGACTCTGTTCTAGTCGCTTGAAGCCGAGCTCTTTTCTGATTCGTATGAGGCCTCGAGGTGTGACTTGAAAGCCTTCAGCCTTCAGCCAGAACAAGTACTGAATCCGATTTCGTAATTGCTCGGAGTCTTCCGTACGATCTTGCTGGTGAGATCTCCATTCTTTTAATCGACGTTGGAGCGTACGAGCATTGATCTTTAGATCTTTGTTATCTGCCAGCCAGGTAACAATCTCCTGCTGTTTCCATTGCTTTGTATGAACTTGATCAAGAATCTCATCTTTATACTCTTCTGATTCTTTAGATGGACGACCGCCAGCACCATGAAGAGGCATTGTACATAAGATCCTCTAAGTAGAAAGTAGAATATCGTACGAAAGAGATAGACAGGTGGGGTTGTCGCAAACAGAAAAATGAAAAGAGAAAAAAAAAAAATTAAATTATATACCCGATAAACGCCGAGACCCCGGCAACATAGGGCGAAATTCGTTGCCTCTCGGTGTTTATCGGATAGCCGGTAGCCACATTAGTAGACGGGGGACTGTCGGAGGGGCGACTGTCCGAAGATAAGTTGCCATTATTATGAGGCCATAGCGTTGGTGGTTGTTTGATCAACCGTTCCATCATTATGCGATATGCGATAGTAGGGAGACAGGTGGCCATGGCGAGTACTGTTTGTATGGCCACTGCACCAGTAGTGGGCTCTTCATTCGAATTGTTCTCTTGTTCTCCCTCCCACCCACACCTATATATAGCTTCATTTTCACTCCAGGGAATGTCGCTCAGACATGGGAGTTTTTCTAGCGCTGGGGGGCCTTTCTGGGCTATTTGCATGCCCAGAAAGGTCTTAGCTGCCCCGGTGTTGGATATGCCCAATCATATATCTACATATCTACTTGTGCATGCGTCATTTCTGTATGGCCTCACTGTTTGCGAGCACTAAGTAGGTCTGACCCGACGTCACGTGTCAGCTGACAAAGCCACATCCCTAGTCCGAATTGTTCCATATCTCAAGCAGCCTACTTTCGTACTTTCATTACTTCGCTAATCGGCGCTGCAAACTTCCTCTCTTTCGGACAGTTACTGTAAGCTTGCTCGATTACGCATCAATACAGATTTCAGCGCGCTTTAAAGTCGATACCTGCAGACACCACCTGTTTACTGCTAATACCGCAGGACACATCTAGCTGTAGGTCACACGAGCTCTACCACCATCTTAAGTTGATGCTGTCGAAATGTGGCCCCCGCGCATCCCAGCCACCATGTTTTCTCGCCACAGCTTGACTGGGGGCTAGTGAGGGAGAGGCACAGCACACTTATGGCAGGATAGCCGAGATTGCCATGTTGGAAGAGCCTTGAATAGGCGGTGTTCCTCTCGTCGCAAGAAGAGGTTTTTTAATCTTTTTCTCTTTCCAGACATCGGACGAAAGCAATTTTCATTTAAGAAACACATTATTCTTCTACCTACACCATTACCGGTCAGCCACTACCAATGGCCCCCAAGCGTCCTCGCAAGCCTACCGCAAAGGCCATAGCTGCACGTCAGGCTGCCGCCACCAGACCACCACCTCCACAAGAACCGCCCATGGGACCCATAAAGCCCATAAGAGGGCCCTCTGATGGACCCTTACCCCCTTCTATTCTCGCTATATCTTCTGCTCATCAGCCAGGTCCTCCAATGGGCCCACCCACCTCGTTAGACCCGGTCCTTAATCCCTACACCGTTCAGCTATAATTCGCCCGTCAGGAACTCGAACGGAAATAGGCCGACGAAAACAATATACTTTAGGACCGTGACGAACTCGCCCGTATATAAAGCGAGGTCAATGAGATCCGTACCCGTCGCCAGTCGACTACCCCTACCATACACCAGCCCGTACCCCAAGCCCCCATGCCACCGGCCCATCAGCCGTTCCTATTCGCTCCACCTCCCCAGCCGTCACCTATACCTCTCCAGGCCCCACAGCCAACTTTGGCCCTGCCGCAGCAGAGAACGCCAACACCGTCTGAGACGGAAGCAGTGCCACGTCGCTCCTTCTTACATCAAGGTAATAACCCTATAATAACCCCCCTTCTTCTTCGTTTCAAAGCGGTGGACCTGAAATACATCAAACAAATCTACCATGGGACGTTCGATGTTAAACACCTCAACAAGCTATCCAATAGCTTCATTAACCGCCTCGCTGGCGGCGATGAGGAGACCAAGAGACTCAAGGAGCTGCTTCGATGCTTCGAGGTCTATAGCCAAATCATATGTTTCTTTGCCCATAAAACAGTTGCCCTACCCCTTCAAGAAGCCCTATCGGACTACCGCTGCTACATTTCTGACCTATCAACTACCTATACCTTCCAATCGGTACGCCATTTCCACGAGATCTTCGTTTATGGTAGGATTCAGCTTTGTCAAGACGATGCCCATGCATAGCGAACACCCGACAATCACTTAGAAAATCGAATCCTGAGACAGCGACCCCCGCCGACCCAACCGGGAGCCTACCCACCATACAATTCACGCCTAAGTTAGGCTTTACCCCAGGCATATCGTGGTGCTACTCCCACACCTTCTCACCAAAATATCTAAAACCCTCAACCGTTCTACTGCAATCGGTTCAATCGCAATAAACCCTGCAACGCTCGGGGCTATCGCTACCTACACATGTGTAACGTATATGGCCAATCACATCCTGCCACCAGCTGCACCAACGGAGCCTCCGCCAACACCACCCCGCTGGGTGTAAGGCCCCCTCCCACCCCTCGGCTATAACTAATACCGAGGGGCCTTGAGTCGATAGCCGAGTCATTCCCGTACATGCTTACCTCGCTGAGTAAGCCCCTACTAAAAAGACGTAGCCCACTAAAGGAAGACGGCTGGAAGAAATGGCTCAAGGATCACCCCGACCAGGTATTCGTCATTACCTTACTCGCAATCATCGCCCGCGGCGTTAAAATAGACTACCAAGGCCCCAGTCAGTTACTGTTAAGTAAACCCCACCCAAGTACCGCTGCAGCACCCGAAATACTATCCAAAGACCTTCAAAAGCAGGAGGATAACGGCCGCCTAACAAGGCTAGACATGAAACCCTCGAAACACTTCATTTCGTCCCCATTAGGCCTTATCCCGAAGCATAACGGCGGCTGGAGAAGGATTCACGATCTTTCCTTCCCACGGCTACACTCCGTCAACCACTACATTCACGAGGCCTACGGAGCACTCGAGTACACCATACTAGACGATGCTATCGATACCCTACTCGCCCAGGGCGAGGGTGCAATCATAATCAAACGAGACCTCGCCGACGCATTCAGACACATCCCCATAGCCGAGTCGGACTTTTGGCTACTGGGTTTCTTTTGGGACAGCTTCTACTACATTAATAGATTCTTACCATTCGGCCTACGCACCGCACCCTTCATTTTCGATCTATTCGCTAAGACCCTTCATTGGGTACTCGTTGCCGTCCTATTCTAGAGCATCGTTTTCCACTACCTAGACGACTTCTTCGCTATCCTTCCGCCCAACGGCGACGCAGCCCAATTTAGCGACGACTTTAATACCGTCTGCGATGACTGTGACCTAAAGGTGAATCACACCAAGGATAAGAAAGGTACTCGGGTCGAATTTTTAGGAATTCAGTTCGATAGCGAGAAGATAGAGATCAGGCTCCCTCCCGACAAGCTGGAAAGGGCGAGAAAGTCGGTAAAAGCCCTCCTAAATAGGCGGAGCATCCCCCATGACGAGCTTGAGTCAGCGGTAGGTCTGCTATCCTTCTCCGCCAAAGTGGTAATCCCTAATAGGGCTTTTCTGAGAAGGCTCTACTCCGCACTATCCAAAAAACAAGGATATTACCATATCACCGCCGCAATCGCAGCGGACCTACGCTGGTGGGACACCTTCCTATCCAGGTGGAACGGGATACGACTACTCCGCCGCACAGCAGCACGCCGTCACTATTCATGGGACAGACGCTTCGGTAAGCATGAAATGGGAGGGTATATCCTCGAGGATATCGCCACTCGTCCTGAACTAGACGATACGTTTAGTATGCACTTCGCTACCCGCTACCGCAAGAAGGACATCCAATTCAAAGAGATGCTTACCGTCCTTATGGCCATCCGCAGATGGCTACCCCGCTTACACCAATCACACCTTACGCTTTACTGTGATAACGGCGCCGTCGTCGAGGGTATTAGTAGTAGTTCTATGCGTGGGCCGGCTATGACACCGCTCAGGCAAATAGTCATGCTATTCGCTCGATACGATATCGTTTGCAATGTGATTTGGATCCCTACCAAGTGAAATGCTTTAGCCGACTTACTCTCTCGCTTCAAATTTGACAAAATTGCTGACTTACATCCACAGCTGAGCGCTCTCAGCCTACGCAGGAATCATTAAGCCGCGATCCACCTGAGTCATGGTACAAGGAGACTCCTCTGGACCGCAATGCCGCGAGATACCTCTAATAAGGTCTAGCCAATAAGACGAGAAGTAGCTATCAAACGGCGAAGGCCTCCTACACCGAGTTTTATGCCCTATCAAGGACTACCGCGTTTCCCGCCACTATTCAGTCACTTACCGGCTGGATAGCACGTCTAGCCGACCGTCACGTTCAGGTTAAATCCATCAAGGCCTACCTTATAGGCGTCCGGTCAGCCCATGTGGACATGGGATTCGAGGTCTTCCACCACCCACTATTACAGCGGGTGATCGCCGGTATTCGCAGACTACGTGATGAGGCCGATACCAAAGAACGCCGTCCAATCACACGAGACCTACTGCTCCACATCCTTACCCAATTCGATAAAACTTCCCTGGAGGGAGCCACCCTACATACTTCCTTTTGCCTCGCATTTACGACATTCCTTCGTGTGGGCGAATTCACATGGTCCCAAGCTGAATCCGAGGATAGCGACTTCGGACGATGGCATATCACAAGACGTTCGATTACGCTACATAGCCACCATATGGAGCTGTCGCTACCGTCCTCGAAGACGGACCCATTCAGAAGGGGGATCACGCTATCCATTGCCGCTGCAAATAATGACGCCTACCCTATTCGTTCGCTACGAAACTTGTTCACTCGCTTCCCTACCAGTGGTTCATCGCCGCTATTCAATCCGGGCAAGGCCTTTACAAGATAGTACGTCACCGCTACACTACGTAGCACTCTACACACACTCGGTTACCCGGGTCACTACTCAGGACACTCTTTCCGCAGGGGGGCCGCTACCTCCGCGAAGGACGCCGGCCTAACCGACGATAAGATTCAACTACTTGGCCGTTGGAAGTCTGACTCATACCGCTTGTACATCGAAACACACCCGGCCTACATCCTCGCCGCATCACGTCGCCTCCAGCGTCCTTATACAGCTCAGAGCTGACAGGTTCCCGTCAGATGTGGGCTATCTGTTTTAGGAGTTTTCCTAAGGCTAAGCTGCATAGTGGACCGCTATCTACGTGCTACTGGGCCTTAGGACCCAGCCAATCATCATTTAGAACTCATTTGTGCGTGTAGTTTTCGTGGGACGTTTAGCGAGACAGCACTAGTCGCCACAGCTTGACTGGGGGCTAGTGAGGGAGAGGCACAGCACACACTTATGGTGGGGTTTACTTAACAGTAACTGACTGGGGCCTTGATAGCCTATTTTGACGCCGCGGGCGATGATTGCGAGTAAGGTATTAGCGAATACCTGGTCGGGGTGATCCTTGAGCCATTTCTTCCAGCCGTCTTCCTTTAGTGGGCTACGTCTTTTTAGTAGGGGCTTACTCAGCGAGGTGAGCATGTACGGGAATGACTCGGCTATCGACTCAAGGCCCCTCGGTACCAGTCACGGCCGAGGGGTGGGAGGGGGGCCTTGCACCCAGCGGGGTGGTGTTGGCGGAGGCTCCGTTGGTGCAGCTGGTGGCAGGATGTGATTGGCCATATACGTTACACATGTGTAGGTAGCGATAGCCCCGAGGGTTGTAGGGTTTATTGCGATTGAACCGATTGCAGTAGAACGGTTGAGGGTTTTGGGTATTTTGGTGAGAAGGTGTGGGAGTAGCACCACGATATGCCTGGGGTAGAGCCTGGCTCGGGCGTGAATTGTATGGTGGGTAGGCTCCCGGTTGGGTCGGCGGGGGTCGCTGTCTCAGGATTCGATTTTCTAAGTGATTGTCGGGTGTTCGCTATGCATGGGCATCGTCTTGACAAAGCTGAATCCTACCATAAACGAAGATCTCGTGGAAATGGCGTACCGATTGGAAGGTGTAGGTAGTTGACAGGTCAGAAATGTAGCAGCGGTAGTCCGATAGGGCTTCTTGAAGGGGTAGGGCAACTGTTTCATGGGTAAAGAAACATATGATCTGGCTATAGACCTCGAAGCATCGAAGAAGTTTCTTAAGTCTCTTGGTCTCCTCATCGCCGCCAGCGAGGCGGTTAATGAAGCTATTGGATAGCTTGTTGAGGTGTTTAACATCGAACGTCCCGTGGTAGATTTGTTTGATGTATTCCAGGCGACACATCTGGCTGTAGGTCACACGAGCTCTACCACCATCTTAAGTTGATGCTGTCGAAATGTGGCCCCCGCGCATCCCAGCCACCATGTTTTTGGCCTGATTTTGTACTGTATTTAGGACCTGGCCCCGGAGAGGTTTTGGAGAATTAATCCGTCCGTTCTACACATCACATACCTGAAATTCTAACAGATGCTTCTCTTTCTCTCGAGTATCACTAGCCTCTAAATGCATCTGCAAAATGTATAGCACCATTCCAGGTGACCAGGTCAGCGCTTCGCTTTTATCCGAGCACGGCCTACCTCCGACTGCAATTGCAAGATATATACGGCGAGAAATCAGCAACGCGCTCATCTCCTGCTCAGGCAAGTTGTGAATTCCAAAATTTCCGTGATCACCATGCAGTCTTTACTGCTGCCATGTGAAGGCTTTTCTAGCGCATTCACTGACATTTAAACATCACCAACCTCCCGAATTCTTCCTCTTTATACATTCTCCATCTTTCGTCGACTTCCTGCTACGTTATGCAACCAATTCCATGCTGATGTTACAGGCGTTGTGACAGGCAACAGCATCACGTCTTTCAAGAAAGGGACTCAGTTCGTATTGATGCTTTTCTTCTGCTTAGGCGGCCTTCACGTACTTCAGCTGCGTGAATCTCTACAGAACCCGTGGTCACTAAACCGTCTTCACTGCAGCTATGTGAAGGATTCCCTAGCGTCTTCTCTAATGCTTACAGATCTCGCAAATTCCGACTTGTTTCTCTCTCTACGTTCTCCCTCTTTCATTGACTTCCTGCTACGGCATGCAAGCGATTCTATGCTCATGTCACAGGCACTGTGACAATGAGCAGCATAAAGTCTTTCAAGAAAAGGGACTCAATTCGTGTTAATGCTTTTCTTCACGTACTTTAGCTGCGTGAATCTCCAAAGAACGCGCAGTCACTAAGCAATCTTCACTGCTATTTTGTGAATGATTCTCTGGCGCATTCTCTGAACCTTAGATATCACGAACCTTCTGGATCCATTCTCTCTATATATTCCCCATCTCCCATCAACTACCTGCTACATTCTTTGGGACGTACGTTTTCATGATGTTACAAGCCCTACGACAGATTGCAGCATCAAGTGTTTCAAGAAAGACACTCAGCGCACCATCGTGTTGATGCTTTTCTTCTGCTCAAAGAACTCCCACGTACCTCAGCTATATGAATCTCCACAGAATCCGCAGTCTTCACTGTCGCCGTGTGAATGATTCCCTAGCACATTCTTTGATGCATACAAATATCGAACCTTTCGACTTGTTTCTCTCTCTAAGTTTTCATTTTTCACTGACTTCCTGTTACGGTGTGCACTCACTCCTTTGTTGATGTTACAGGCCCTATGACAGGTAGAAGCATCGAGTCAAGAATGGTTTAAAGTCTCTTGCTAAGCGAAATGCTTCACTTGGTTATGGATGAAGAGATAACAACCAAGTCCTTCGTATGCGACGAGAGAGGAGCGACAAAGAAGGGAAAATTGTCATTCTCATCCTCACTAGCCCCCAGTCCCACTGGAGCGAGAATTTTTCAGTCAATCAGGTGGGAGTATCCCCTTGTCCGTCGAGCCCTCTCTTTTTTTGGACAAGAAGCGTGAATCTCTACAGGTTGCGTAATGTACATGCGGTTTTCACTACCGCGGTGTGAAGGCTTCCCGAGCGCATACCCAAATAATTAAAACTCTCAAACTCTCCGGACTGACTTCTGTCCACAGCTCAGTCCTTACACCGTTCTCTTACTGCATGTCTCTCCTAATAATGATTCTGGAATGTCAAGGATATTACAGCATCAAGCATCAAGTCTTCCAATCTGCTCCACCATCAGCTTCTTACTTTGAAGCTTTACGGAGCTGATGCGAGCAACCTTGAGCCATGTATGAAGCATCTGAGCGCCTATTATTCTCTCTTATACCTCGGCCGGAGTTTTCTAGAAGGTGAAAGAATGAAGGAGGCTTGACCTGGATTGCAAACGTGTCGGACACTTCCACCCTCTCATGTCAACTGGGATCCAAGTTTGAAAACTTAGATTTCAAAAGCGCAATTACGCGTCACGATCTCGTCAAGGCGAGTGGGTTTCTTGCTCTCAATTCGCCTATGCTATGTCTCTTGTTCTGATTTTCGGGACTCTACTTCGAATTGATCGATCGATGAAGGAAAATCAGATACATGTTGCAAATACTTTGCCATCTCTTTGCTAAGCCTCAGCTACAATTTACTCATCTTTATTAGCAAACCAACAAACGAGATGTCGTCAAGGTCAGAAGATTTGGAAAAGTCTCTCAACCAAGGGCGCCGGACCCATAGATCTGTTTGGCGCTGGACGGTAACGCAGAACACGTCCTGAAGAGAAAGAGGCTGGGGATTCTCAGACCAATGTCATGGAAAGTCCGGTTTCTTGACGTGTTGACTGGCTCCAAGAAACCGACCGACGTTGTCGTTCAGGCGGGTCATACCACCCAGTGACAAATGACCATACACCGGAATTACCATGCGTAATGCGACGACGAGGAAGAAGTATGTATATACGTACCCCACGGTAAGCTGTTGCACTTTAACAATTTTTTAGGCACAAACCTTCTGCTACATATCGCAAACTTCTTTGGAAAAACATCAGTTGACTCTGCAAGCCAAGAGCACTCTGTATGGCATTTTCAGCCAGCTCGAAGCGTATGAAAAGCCTAAGGCTTGGGACTCAAGACTCGTTCAAGGAGGTGGTGCGAAGACGCTCGGTAAGCACTGGAAAGGCACTTGTGGTAAGTCTTCTTAGTCTGGCAGCTCAGATTCTGTAACTGAAATACTGATGCTTTGTAACAGCTTACTTGCACGACCTTTTCGAGATGGATCTTATGGGTCGGTGCGAACCTGGCAAGGAATACTTTTTCACCGACAGCATCGATCACCATGACCGTTTTCAGACTCTGAAACTTGACTTCGAACGTGAAGCAAATAGAGCCCGTTGGCCAAAAGTATTCGAATCTCACCTCAATGCCATGCCTACCAAAGTTCTGTGCAAGAGACTCGACACGCTCTATAAGACTACTCCTCAAGCCGTACGAATCCCACGTGTAGGACGTCGCACAATGGCAGGATATACTCGGGGCAACCTCCGTGAGCAACCTCCTCAAGAACCACGCTCACCACCAGGCACACCGGGCGTGAATCGCGTTGACATCGAGCTACCGCTGCCGCGAAAGAAAAAGCCATGTTCACCAACCTCGCCGACGTTTCCTAAGCGCGGTGTTCACTATCACCAGTTCAGCGGCTCAGGCAACGATACCGAACCTTTCCACTGCAGCGGCATCCTGCACTCACTGCCGCCTCAAGAGGAGATCCCGGGGTGATACCTTAACTCGATGATGAAATACTTTGACCCTTTAGCCCTCAAGTTCACGGGCCTATCAGTTGCAGGTTCTCACAGCAGATATCGACATCCTCAAAACATACCACCACAGTCCGACAGCATCTGAGATCCTTTCCAGTCCTCACCATCTGAGGGGAACACTCCATCCGTGCCCTACAAGCCAGCCGGCGCCGACTACAACCTCAGTGTCGGAAATGTATGAAGGATTGATTGATTAACTATGGAATGGTATGTAGGCTACTTATATACCATGTGAAGCCCATGCTAATTTGCCACCTTGAGGGGTAGCTACAACACAGGTGCTGCAGCAAATCTCAACACACCCCCATGATGCAGCATCTGGCCACCCCCATGCTGCAGAATGGCTAAGCCGAAATGTGTGTGCTTGAATGATCTTCGAAGTCATTACCCCTCGAAGTCATAGCCAATTTGGCCTGGAACTTTCGTGCCTGTTCTGCACTCTTTCCTTTGCGTTTTGCTTGTTCTTTCATTAGTTCTTTGAACCAATCCGGAGCTAATTGTGGGTGTTCAATATAACAGTTATCGCTGCGATGACCGAATCCACAGTGCTCGCATTTCTCTCTTTGAGTGGCCTTGTTTGTGTTGACGATTGGCTTCGAGAACCATTTGGCGTGCTTTTTCAGCCGTGATTGAGGGCGTAACAGCCCAAATTTGAATGAGATACTGGTACTCTTGTGGTAATGATATGGAGAGACAGAGAATCGTACGGTTGTTCGTATCGAGTGTGACCTTTGTGGCATCGATTTTCTCTTCGAGAACCTTGATGTGAGTAAGATACTCGGGTATTGTTTTGAATGCTTTGAATTGAAGCGTGTAGTACTCTTTTGAGAGACGCATGAACTCGGAGAATCCCGTGGGCTGGAGTATGGTTCGAAGTCTTGTGAGCATGAGGTAGCCGTCATTGAATTCGGCCTCCGTAAGCTTCTGTTGAACACCTGGACTGATCGTTGGAGTCATAAGATCGGCTGCTTCCTGGGATTTCTCTTCCCAGTCCTTCATTGCCTTCTCATGTTTCTTGATAATTGGGGGAGATATCTCTGTGTCCTTCTCTGAACTGGCCATTGCCGTAGTGACTGTAGAGTCTTCAGACTCGAACGGTGTTTGTGTGTATTTCCAAAGCTTCTTTGAACGAAGCTCTGCACGAATGTTGACGAACCATGATCCGAAGTTTTCTTCGGACAGGAGGTCGAGTTTGTGATCACTATCCTTTGATGTGGACAAATCTCAACACTCAGTGATATGCATCAGGTCGATGATGATGCCCAGGTCAATGCTGGATGCTGGGCTTATGAAGGTGTGGTTTTGCCCGTTGGCATGATTATGCTGGGGAGATGGTGGAGCCCGGTGGATGACACCGGGTTGAAGAGACGCATGAGGCCGTTCATCTTCTGGAATATGGACAAGGATCGAAATATCAGATGACGAGCTTGCGGTAGAATTGCCATCCTTGTCTGAGGAAGAGAGGGATCTACGTGAGTACATGGCTACAATGAGTTTGCCACGGATTCGTGAGGAACGCCGAACTCTTGGGCCGCGTTCAATGGAGTATTAGAACTGCAACCACCTCGCCACTCTAAATATATACACCTCATCGCAAAGTAAGTATACTTTAGTGCTCCCCTCCATGTCCTACCTCTTATGTCCTACTTATGACTGACTCTTGCTAGCAGAATCGAAAACTACCGGACGAACCGTGAGCACAAGAGGATTGGTAAGTCACAATCCGTTTTTAGGTAATGCTCTGAAGTAACTGACCCATTCCATAGATCGTGTCACCATCGTCAACGCTCAGAGCGTACAGGCTGCCAGCATTCCAACTGGTGTGACCGAAGCCGCTGAGGGAGGTTTTCAAGTCCTCGGGCAAGGCGTCAAGAAACTGGTGCAAGCCATCTAGGAGCTCCGTCATCTTGGAGTCGAGTACTTGATCTTGTTATTACCTCACATCGTCTGTGTAGGAGACCAAAGCGCTGGCAAAGGTTCGCTAGTCGAAGGAATCAGCGGAATCAAGGTTCTCTGCGGAGCTGGTACCTGCACAAGATGTCCCTTGGAGATAAATCTTTGCGAGAGCACTGATCCGGAAGAGCCGTGGACATGTAAGGTGTCACTTCACAAGAAGTACATTTACGAAGGCAACCTTATCCCCGGTAGAGTCTGCGCGAAGGACTCCAACAAATTCGAGGGTGCTACACGTGCTCGGCCACTAGGACCGTGAACCCTTCAGGAGAGCGAAGAGTTTCATTTTGCCACTCTGACGTCCAAGGATGAGGTCGAACATGTCATCCATTTAGCTCAGCCAGCTACCTTGAACCCAGGTAGCCCATGAGAGAGGCACCGCCCAAGCAACCCGAACCCGAACGAGCAGCAACAAGTCAGGCTTTCCCCGAATATCATCCGTTTCGACATCTCTAGCCCCGAGTTGCCCAATCTATCCTTCACGGATTTGCCCGGGGTGATCAGTGACTCCGATCAGATACGAAGAGTATGGTCGTCACACTCCCTTCCGCTTGGTCAAATTTGTCAGGATGGGACGATACAAGCAAGGGCGGGGAAGTTTCAAGGAAGAACGGCGGAGACTCAAAGAAAGAGGAAGGGCCGGTGGGTGTAGGGGTAGATGCAGGAGCAAGGACGAAGAGGCGGGGAATCGTCACACATTATGCCAAATGCTAGCATCGGTGCTGTGGCATGCCATATCCTGGCATTTGTTTCATGGCATCCGAAAAAGCTTTACAACATACCATATCCAGATCTTCCCCGTGCCACAATAGTAGCAACCCCTGTGATAATTACGACCCAGAGCACATGTTCATAGATGATTGCAGTGCTAAGGCGGGACCATAATGTAGCTCCACCTCTTGCCAGCCCATGCTGCCCGCAGTGACCTTAAGCGATGCTGACGAAGAAGAGGAAGAGGAAGAGGAAGAGGAACACTCGAAGAAGGCGGCGACTGACCCGAAGAAGGTACGCTAGACGGAGATGGCTTGGTGAAGGGCTCGAAAAAAGCTATTCGAACATTAGATCACGGCAGGCTGCTGCTACCGGCGTGCTGATTTATGTCTGGACCCACTCTTCGAGCCTGCATTTGTCCATAGATTCAACAACAACCCCCTTTCTCCATGATGTAATCATCGTACCAGCTTTCGATCCAGATTCGGTGTAGCTGTTATTTGACTGCTTCGGTTCCTAGATCTTCTTTGAGTAATCAAGCAAGCAAGTCTCTCGCCATGCCCAAGACTACTGCTTTTCAGGGCAAGTCAAATATAGAAACTTACTCGACCCAGAAGTATGTAGTGGCGATTACGAAGCTCGGCCGCGTGTAGATTGTCTTCAAGTCGTCTATCAGCTAACAAAGCGTTTAGGACGGTAGGATCGCTCAGCAGGAAGCTTAGGTGGCTAGCTTCGAAGATAAGGGGGTGATTATCAGTTCCCTTCTTGTTTAGAAGCAGCAGTGCTTACGGCAATCGATGCATATCAGCTTGTGATGCCGGCGCGTAACAAATCTCCAAACGAGAGGGAGCTGGTGGTGGAAAACGAGAAGCTCGATCGTCGCAAGCATGGCTATATCAAGACAGCAGCCCCCACACCTTTACAGGACACGGCAACTGATGAATGCGCAATGCAGCAAATTGAGACGATCGATGAAACTGGCGGGATTCCGTAGGCAAGAAAGATGGATTCGTAATCGATATGCCACGAAGCAGGTGTGGTCGCGAGGAATGTCAAGGTTGAGAGGATGTTCAAGAAGGGTTGCCGTTTGACTTTATGGGCATTGCTGGCATTGCCGGTATTGTTGCATTACTGACATTGCTATGAATCTCTTCTCTCTGCAATCGTAGGGTTGTTCAAAAAATCTTGGCCTAATCATGGCTAAGATCATAAGATGGGGGTACGAAGAGCTCTTGACGGACTCTTGTTGAAGTCCAGAGAGGGCCATGAGGGCGGGCCTACATGTCCAGTTGCGACCCTTGATCGAAATTCCTCTTTCCTTTTCAGGGTCGTAGGGTGTAAATGAAAACTGGAGGCTGTCACAAAGAGTGTGGTAGAAGTCACTATTGGAAGCGGCAGGGCAGCACAGCAATTGTTTTGAGCGGAGATTGTTGTAGGTATCCTTTTCAGGGAGTACCTTCGACGTTCCACAAGTCGTATATGCCCATCAATGGGATTCGGTTACCGCTACGGCGCCAGTGCCCTTTGCCGTCCACTGGACCCAGCGTCCAGCGTTCCACCTCTTTTCGCAGCTTCACTCCGTCATCCATCTGACAACGCCCCGGTCCCGTCTTCGCCCTCTCCTGCCTACGCTTCTTTCGAGCCTCTCTTGTCTCGCTCTGATCTTCGACACTTCTTGCAATAACCGCCGCCCGGATTCTGAGACCCTCGATGCCCTTCTGGTTTGGGCACCGCAGGTACGGACCCCTCATCAAGATCATCAATACATATTCCATCATCCTTTGCATGTACAATCCTCTGTTTCTCTTCAGCCTCTGAAAATGTGGTATTAGATTGACCCAGTTGAAATGCAGTCTGACTGAGGACCAAGAATTTCCCACCGTTCTCATCGTCGCGTGTGTCGTCGATCGATGAAAGCCAGGTAGCTTGAGGTCTGTTCGAGCCAGGTGAGGCTATGGGCGACGGACTCATTCGCGTAGAAGAAGGAAGACATGGCGGAGATGCGGTCATGTTCGAGAATCGATTCTTGTACGTGATTGGGGAAATAGGATGGAGAGAGCGCGAAGACGCCATTGGGGGCTGTGTGTAGGCGCGTGCAGAGGCTTTATTGGCGTAGACACCCGGTGGGAGAGGAGCAGTCTTATACGACGATTCTGAAAGGACGCTCGAGGCTTGAGTCTTTCGAGAAGGAGAGAGGCCAGAGGAATCATGTTTGGGAGTGAGCGAACCGGAGCCAGTCAACAAGCTATCGAGCCGTTGCTTTTGAGACTGTTGCTGAAGTTCATTCTGCTTTTTCTAGCGAGAAAGTGCGTTAACATTATGAGTACGTATCCGCACAGCGAGATCTCGAGCCTGAGTCCTGACCGATGCTTACCCTTTTGTATGCCTAGGTATTCATCCTGTGTCGTCCTTCTTGAGCATCTTTTTGACTTCGGGGTTGTCCCGATCTGAAACGCGCCCTGCAGACGAGTGTTGGGATTGAAGCCTTTTCAATAGTTGGCCTGGTGAGGGTCTAATACGCTCCGTCAGCGCCTTCAGTCTAAATTGCTGACGGGTATAGCAGAAGGATAGTAGAGCCTGCTCTGGTTGGGGTAACCTTACGCCATATTGAGGTATATCGGCGCCGTCAAGCTCTCGAAGCAACAGTGGGTAGCGATTTCTCTGTGAGGTGGGGTTTGGGAGCATGGTGAGGTGAATGTAAACAAATGTCCCATCACGGAAATGGTTCCGAACCACAGATTTTACAATAATAACTTCGTATGCAAAAATGGCAAGAATCCACTCACCCCGTTCTTCGACCTGTACGAGTTTTCAGACACGTCCAAGTTTGAAAAGGTGAGATCTTCATGACTGCGCTACAGAACGTCGCCAATACCACAACGCGTGATATTAAGCTGGAGGGGGTGGACGGGCGATTTCCGTCGTGTACATTTTCCCCATATCTATGATTGCCACCGTCTTATCTCCGCTTATACTACTTCATTTAACCTTCTGTAATTTAGGATCGCGTCCTCATCAGTCCCCTCAGTATGGGCTGGTGGGGAGGAAGACATGTTACTTGTGAAGAAGGTGGGGCGAATTACTAATTCATACCCCAAAAAATGTAGGGGTATGATTCGGTAAGGATTCATACTTTTGGGGTATGATTCGGTAATTAGCCCGAAGAAGGGGAGACCTCACGGCTACCAGGAATCCAGGATAGAACTCTGAGTTGGCTCTTGATATGTCAGACAAGAAAATTTGGTCCACTCGCTACCAGTTGCCTAGCATCCTGTCCAAATCCGATTCAAAGGCGATGCGGTGGAGTTGGGTCCGCAAACCCAAGTACCGCCTCAAAGTTCTAAAAATAACAAAAAACCCCCGAAACAATTAGCAAAAACATGATGTCATGCCGGATACTTTTTCTGGGGGGGTATGACGGAATTGTGGCTCGGCAATATAATGTTCCGGCCCCCCCCCCCAAAAATGTAGAGTCTGAGTACTGAGGCTAACGATATCAAACCGTACATGATCTAATCCCTAGATCTCAGTCATACTTGATCTGCCCATGCCTGTGACGTGGTTGCCAACAGGCTTCCAAATTCTCTTCTTTTGGTCTCCTGTACGGAGTAACCATAGCACGTGGATTTCAGTGTGGCGGTCATACCGCTTGGCACAAGGTTCGCCCGGGATGGAAATGCCCGGCAGGGAATAACGTCTCGGCGTTAAGCTCGAAGGACTTTTGTCAACAAGCTTGAGGATGGCGCCCATGTACTCCATGAGGATCCTTATGGACCTTCGAAGGAGTCGTCAGAAAATCCTCGAATCGATGTCAAAAGAGGCCGACTCGGCGAGCTACTAGACTGTCTACTTACTCAACAGCTACTTCACTGATCTAGAGGCTGGCAACGAGATCCACCTGTACGTGGTGCCGGCTACGAACCCTCTGACAAAGATTCCTACCCGGGGGTCTGCTCTGCACCTGTTTAGCAGCTGCTACGCGTTGACCGGGTCCCAATTCGTCAGCTGCAGTGGGCGTAAACTACGGTCCGGCACGTCGGAGGAGCCAAGAGATCTCAAGGGAGCGTACATTTACACATGGGTGTACGAGCGGATTCTTCGATTACGATAACATTCAACTACGTACGAGCGAAAATCGGACAACGAGACGCGCCAGATCGAGAGTTAACGCGTCCCCCTCGAAGAATTCGGTATCATCGACATGACGGCGAGCCCTACCCCTCTCAGTCGACTCATACCTCCCCCCCTCGCTGATCGGTAACTCTCCCCTAAATACCACAAATACCCGGCTCCGGCCACAGACGAGCCGGCTCGTTTACGAGAATTGTATGGAGGTCTTCTACAGGAAAGAGACCAGGCAAGAGAGCTGATCGAATGTGCTTGGAAAATACCCCTTGACAGCGGAGTCGGCGAGTACAAGTGATGGCCGTATACCTCCCAGCCAGCTATCGACGTGCGAATAGGCCTCGATTAGGTCTCGTATCCCTACGGGAACCGAAGGAAGAGCTCAATTTGGGTTAGATTCCCGGCTTCGGTTTGATAAATGTCACTATTCTCTCTCTTACGTGATGGCATACAATGGCATACTGGGTGTCTGAGTGTACATGGAACAGAGAGGCTAGAGCTTGGCCCTGAGAAACCTCGAGGAAAAAGCTTCGGGGGAGTACATTTCTGGTTGCAATGGAGGCTTTGAAATTTCTCAACATAGTGTACATAGCCGTGATTCTACGGGATCACGATTATCTGCCGTACCTCAAATGGCGTACGGATGCCGGACATGGTCGTAAGGCCGTCTGGGCTACGCCTTTCAGTGGAAAGGGGTACGACCAGGGGCTCGGCCCTCCGATGTAGGAATGACACACACACACACACACACACGCACGTCACTGATCTAGATCAGATCCTGGCATATTACTTGGAGGGTATTCGCGTACAGGACCTTTTCGCTCTCTCTGCGCCTGTACAGTTTTCGAAAGATCTCTCTATCCCCGGAATCAACGATGAGATACCGTATGATGACCAATATACTGCGGACGAAGATGTTAGCAGTCTGCCTTTGGTCGAAGCTTACAAACATTGGTCGTATGGTATAACTCGATCTGTAATGTTCTTGACGAACACACTTGAAGTCCAATGGGCCAAAAACAACCTTATTGTACAGCTCAAGCCAATAAGAGAAGAAGCAACTGATAGTACTCTAGAGTATACAGGCCAGAATCAGCTGTATTAGAAGCGAGAGCGAATGATGTATCCTGTCTAATAAGTGCAACTACGATCCTTTCTTTGTAGATAATACCTTCTGCACAGAAAGAGCAGTTAGTAGCATTGTCAAAATTTGTACAATCTGCATATCGTGTAACAAAGTTGTCGACGTTGCTGATGTTGCCAGAGCTGCTGGTGTTGCCAAAGTTGCTAATGTTGCCGATGTTGCTAGGGCTGCTAAAGCTGCTGGTCGGGTTGCCATTGGCGCCAACTGCGCACGAGTGCTAAGACATGTCAAGATGATGTTGGACCGGGGTGTTTGGAATATCACTGATGCGGGGAACTCTTCCATTGTAAGGCCCCAACTTGTGGGCAACGATCGTGTACTGACAAGGCCCAGAGGAGACTTTCGCGAGGCTTTCGAAGTCGATGATTGTACTGAAGCCGTGTTCAAGGAAAAGGGCAGCTAGTGCTAGTGAGCTATGTGTCGTTGCATTGGCTGTACATGAATGCGGACGATATCTTGTAACGCAGTGGGGAGAGTGGTGCTACGTGAAAGTCATGAAGGACTGGACTATACCACGCAACTCGTGTATTTTGGAGGTAGCTGATACCGACGCAGTTAATCGTAAAAGAGAATAGCCCTGCCACCTTTAAGAGTAGCATGTCTTCATTTACCAAACTCGTTATTGAGTTTCATCTTGCATCTTGCCTCGTAACCTTGATATGAAGATTCTGAAGCAAGCACATAGCTCGCTACCATCTTGCGATGACCATAATGCGCTCCCCAGTCCCCAAGCAAGCAGTTATAACCACGCCCCCACTTGCCAGCCGGAACGCATTGCACTAATTGCTCAGCGGCAGCTTCTTTAGCGGTAGCAGTAGCGGCAGCGAGGGTAGTGACTAGTTGAGCCCCCTCCTGGACAGCCTTTTCTTCTGATCAGCATTCCTCTGTGCGGCCCGTTCGATGGCCTTTTGGCGTCCTGAGCATCAATTGAATTTGCGATAACGATCGTCAGTGGGCGGCAGCAGCTCTCTTTCAAGCGGCCTGATCGCAAGCCAGATCCGGGGGTGCCTGACGCTTGCCTTTGCCTACTGATGCCTTGCTTGTAGATTGTTAAGCGGTCCCTCTCAAAACGGCTGGAACAACTGCGTGCTATTCATGAAGTTCATGGTGTCTCCTGCCGTGCGTTGACTCTGCACACTCACATTGAGAGCTGTGTCTTGAGGATGAGCCTGATTCGCGTCTTCGAATTAGGACGGGAATGGGTTTATGTGTCGAATAGACACGCCCAGCAGGCTATAGGAAAGGGTAGGTCCTGGGATGAGAGTTTGAAACAGGCCCGGATGACCCCGTCGGTAGCGATGCGAAGTTCGAGCGTGGGCTTTCGAGCTCTTCCCACTGCTCCTTTGTCCAAATTTCTCGACAATGTGCCAAAGTGGATACCAGCGGTGGTGGGCATCTTCTAAGGTCTGGGCAGAGCTGTATTGGCCCATCAGATGGGGCATGATCGATGCCTCCTCTTTATGGGCTTTTTTGTAGCGATTGCCGCTACCTGCTGCTACCTGTTACCCCTACTCTGAGGACAAGGCTCATCCTGTTGACGTGTTTCGGCTGCCCAAATCATCCCCTCGCCTGTTTCCTTGATGTCGGTGTAGCCCTGCTCCTTTTTTCGAGTCAAGCTACCATCGTCTCTTATCTGGATTGGGCGACAGGTAGGAGGTATGGTTGTGGACTCAGCAATCGCCGTTCGTATCCGGAGATAGACATGACTGTGTTGGGGTATGGCGCAATGTCAGGCGATTACGAGCAGTGCTAAGGTGGCGTCAGAAGTTGGATAGCATTTTGGTTGTGTATGGCTTCGATATTCGAACAAAGTTTGGCTTGCTTGAAGAAACGAGGCTTTCTGGTATCTTTGATTCTAATAGGTAAAGTCTGAGAGGGCAGGCGGATTGAATGTGATGAAGGTAGAGATTATGAGGATAAACGCCCGATCGTGCGCCCCCTGTTCGGTAGCGCGGATTTACTGAGTGATTCCCTGTTCGCTTGAGTTAGCGAGTGATAAAGAGCAGCTGTCGATTATACCCACTCTTAAAGGCCTCTACATGCTCTCTCAATCTGCTGCTTAGTCCTCTGAACAGGGCCGTGCGAGATATGATCTTCAGCTCCTGTATCGTGTGGCAACACTCTTCTCTCTTGTTCCGTTGATCATCACGCATGGCTTTCACCCAACCCCTTGACACTTTTGCCGGTAATTTTGTGTTACCTGGGAGCTCCTCTCGATTGTTGCTCTTATGTTGGTTCCCTCACAATCGCTTTTTTGACCTTAGCTTTTGAACCAGACAATTGCGGAAGACTCTGGTACCGACGTCGCTGTAGGTCACAATCTAACGTATACGTCCTTTGCGTTCGTCTTTATACATGTTCTTTTGTCTTCTGGCCAACGCCCGCCCTTTCGTTGCAGGGCAGTCCGTCATGAGGTTTAAGTGGGACGACGAGATGAGTGGCTGCTGAATAGAGCTCCATTCGTGGCTTGCGCAAGCTGCTGTAGCCTGGCAAGATACAAAGCTCCTCTGTTCCGGAAGAGACGACGGGCAGGGTGGGGACCTGGAGAGTCCGTAATAGAGTCAGCTTCTACACTATGAAGGTGAGAAAGGTATAGGATATTATCTCGCCATCTACCCACATCCACGTTGCTCAGCAAGATTGTTGTAGTGCCATAACAACACTGCGGTTCATCTCATGAAGCGCGGCCACTGCGGCGTGGTTTTCATCGAGCTAGGCCATTTGCCGTTAAACAACATCTTCTCACTTTTTTTACTGCAGGGGTAAGGTATCTCACTCATTCTCTTGTCTTCATTATTGTTGGCCACCTACCCGGCTTCAGGTTATGTGCACTGTGCCCAGGCAGCATGCTCCTTTGAATATCGGCGTTCCCCTTTGAAGGAGAACACCGCATGGCGGATAGCTTGTAGAGGATCGTCCTCGTCACTTTCTCGATTTCCGGCCGCCTACACCGCACTACCTGCTCAATAGGGTCACATTACATACATGGTTGCTTGCAGAACTTCCTTGTCCTAATACGTGTCACTTCCTCTTTCTACAGCCGCGTACAGGGCAGTCTCCGAGACTTCGCCAAATTGTGCTTCGCTGCAAACGATAGATTCCTGCATTTACCAGGTCTCACTTTGTGAGTATTCGTCCCTGATTGCAGTCACCGCTCTGACTTTTAGCAGGTTTCGGTAATCCCCGATCTATCGACCCGCAGACTAAGCCGCCGCGATGGCTCCCTCCCTCTCCGCTCTACGTGCAAGCAACATCTGTCTAGCATCTGTCATATTCAATTCGCTCACGAAAAAAAAAAAAAAAATGCAGCAATCGGCTAAATGCAAGATCTTGGGAGCCTTGGATCTACATGCACAAACGAGATCTGTCACAATCTGTGTCTTTTACATCGCCTAAGCCGTCATCCAGACCGCCTGCGCGACTTGGCCGAGGATACCATGGCTGGCCTGCCCTACGCTCCTGCAATTGTGAACCCCGCGATAATACGGGCGACGCGAAGCCGTACGATCATTCTGCAGGAAGCGCATGATTTCGAACGAGAGTAAAGGAGTCATGGCATGAGACTCTTCAGGCGGTAGCCGACAAAATAGATCTACCCTCCGACAAAAACGATAGCCAGTTCAGCCATAAGTGTCTCAACAAAGCCCAAGTCGCTCCTGTCTTGGTTGCCTCTTCGGCTCTCGACATACCTTTCGGCTATCCACTCTATCTCAGCAGGACTTTCATTCATCCCTCAACTCCTTTGCCATTCCGGGAACAGCCAGTCCGTTAGCCTTCTGGAAGCATCTGAAAAGACTTATGAAAATGCCATCGAGTACATGCAACAAATCCTTTGCGCTGCAGGTAGGCCATACGTCCTTTCAACCAAATTTAGATCCTGACTGACTCACTCATAGTCTCTAGTGTCCACACACGCCCCACTGGATGGCGGCATCTCATATGACCAGCGTACCAAAAGCCAGCTCATTCGTGCCGTTCGTGAGCGCAACATCGCTTGCCATTGGGAGAGAAAGCGAAAGACAAAGGCCCACATGGCGGCGGACCTCCATGAGGATGATGCTATTACTAGGTCTCTATCTAGGCGGTCAGTATCGGCACAAGAGACGATATCTCAGGAAATAGATCATTGCGCCGTAATAGTGTCAATCGTCCGTCATTCGGGTGCCGCCGGCGATGACTTGGATGCTGCTAAGCTCCGGGACAAGAGAGCAGTACGAGAACAGGCCGACCATTTTATATCTCGATACTTCGCGGTCGACAAACGTCCCACGGTGACTCCCATTGTTCTTTCTCATTGGAGTGCAACGAAGCCCATCCCGATTGCAGGAAGGAGTCTGCTCCATCGTGCCTTATCTTCTTCACTAGGCGCACTATCTTCCGGAAGCAAGGCGTGCATTCTTCTACGCTCGGTATCAGGTCTATCCACGAATCTCCGACATTGGAGAAATGTTCAAAATGCATATCCTAGGGTTCAGATTATCTTGGCCATACGAGAAGACGCACACCATCTACGAAGTGGCTTCAGAACCAGAAATTGGTGTCGATTGCGTGAGACATGGGACGGACCTTACGAGGGGCGTTTCTGGTCGGTCTTTCCCGTGGACCGCCTACAGGGTGCCGCTACCGATTGCAACGCTTTCGGTAATCTACATCTGCGTCGGGCATTGGCAGAAGCAGATAGAAATCGACGTAAAGACCCTCAACGCTGTGAACATAACCGCAATACCTGACAATGGGAGTCGGAAAAGCATTTGGCAGCGTTGGCACAAGAGCCCGCGGCAGTCTTCGCGAGGGCCAGGGGATCGAGAGCGTAGTGCTGAGCTGACGCCATTGTCGGGGGAAAAGGGCCTGATGAGGATAAACGAGCGCCATCGCTACTACCTACGCCACACGGACATCGTTCAGCTTTCGAGGTTTAACCAGATGTCCCTTCGCACGATCTTGCAATGCTGGCAATGCTGGAAACCATCTTCGATATCCAAGTTTTGAAAGAAAATCCAACTGGTGCAATGTTCTCTGCCTCCAAGATTTGAATGTCGTAGAGAGAAATCGGTTTAATTAATTGCACTCTTGTGTGGAATGGTCAATCCAACCCATGCTTCTCTATCTGCTCTTCTCCGATAATATATCCTTTGCACTTCACCAACTGACATTTGTAGTGAAGCGCAGTTGGCGTAATTTGACAAGGTTGTGATAGTAGGCAGCCAGTCTCTTTTCCATCCATCTATGAGGTCTCCTTGGATACCAAAGCCCGATCGATTCCCAGTGAGTAAAGGCGGACTCTGAAATCAAACCCTGCCCAAGAGACACATGTGAGTCCCGTAAACATGATTACCAAAACAACTGCAGTGCCATGCGAGAACCTTGGGAACAGCGTTGTAATCGATCCTCGACTGTCAAAGTCAGGGTTTGGTAAGATGACTCGTACACTGCGTCGGCTTCGTTGGAATATTAATCTATGTAGTAAAAGGGAGCCTCTCACTCAGTCGCCTTCTTCCATGCTTCGCGAAGATTAATAAGAATTTTCTTTCTCTTCTACGGCAGCGTATTCAAGTTTTAAGGATGCCGGCCAGAGCAGCTGTGAGTCTGGCGCTTGCGAATAGTGTTCTAATGCCAAGCTCGCTTTACTTATTAAATGGCAGGCTTTACCCCTCTATTCTTAATCATTGGGAAACAAAAAAGTTCCCGCAAGCACCCCTCTCTCGAAAATTGAAAAATGAAACTTCTAGGATAACTTTACAACGATAAAACTTTGTTTTGGGGCGCGGGCATCCCAGGTAGTGATACGTTGCCAAGAATTCAAGGTTCGTAACGAAATTTGATGCCCCCCTTAAGCCCCCGGACAGCCTCGTACTATTTCCGAATAACATCATAATAATTTTCAATATAAATCTAAAAGTGATATTTATTAAATTGAGAATAACGTATTTATACTTCTATATTAATTGCGCAAAATTTAAATCGCTTTTAATTTCAATATTAGATTATTTTCTTTAATAATTCACGTAGATATCGAACTTTGATTTAGCGCACATTTTTTAAAAAACTAGGGTCCCGGAGTTGGTTTCTCGCAAACTCGATAATGTGAAAAAAATCTTTTTTTTAGTCTATCTTTACGAAACTTTACAAATTATACTTAGATTTAAATTGTATCATTGGCGCTATAGGTTGCTATAAATTTATTTTATTATGCACGTATTCAGGTAACGTTAAAGGTAGTAAATTGACTAAAGTAAAATAAAGTTGATGTACGAATTTTGGTTGCCTAATCTTTTGGAGTACCCGTGTTTAGATCGAAAATGAAGAAATACCCCTGTATTCTTAGTCTAGAATTAGTGAAAAAATCCGAAGTTCCCGATTGGCACTAGCCTCTTAGCGAAAAATTGAAAAATGAAACTTCTAGAATGAACTTTACAACGATAAATTATAATTTTCTAAAATTTTCATAATTATTAGAAGATATAATAAAGATTATAATTTTTAATTTTTAGAATATTTAAATTATCTACTATATAGTAAAATAAAAATCTATTAAATTCTTAAGATTTTTTTAATAAGTCTTGGCGATTATAGAATAGCCGAGGTAACTTTTCAACGTAAAGCGTATATTCTTAATTCATACTGTATCTTACGATATCTAAATTAAAAACTTCTAAAATTCTTAAAATCAATTTATTTAGTATTATGAGAAAAGATTATAAAAATTGTAGATTATAAAGACTGGTGGTTGTAAAGCTATTCAAGAAATTTCAATTTTTGGTTTTCGAGGGGGGGGGTGCTTGCGGGAACTTTTTTGTTTTTTAATGATTAAGAATAATATAGGGGTAACTCGTACGTGGTCTAGCCAGCAGCTCCTCATTAGCTAGAGGTTTTCTCCCCTCTTGAAGTGACAGGTTCACTGCCCGCAGCCTTCTTGCCACTCACCAACCATCTTCAGTCTTGATTACAACGCTCTTTCGAGGAGGGTGGCTCGACTGCATTAGCTTTCGTGTTAGCGAAAGCGGTGACTTCCTCAGCTGTGAAACGCTTTTGAAAGGTTAGAGTATGTCGTTATTGGCAAACGCTGCAGCGACACCGCGATTTAGTTAACAGGCGTGACTTCCTTGCAGGCATTTGCAGTTAGCTACATATTGAAACTACGGAGATCGACATCAAAAGTCCTAGACAGCGCTAAAATACTTGGCACTCTTGGCATTCTTGGCACTTTCTATATAGTTACATTTATTTAACGATAATACTTTATATAATTGCGTATATACTCATTAGCTCGCTCGGCGGAGTCGTATAATCGTATATTACCTCCTCTACGATCTTTTCTATACTCGTTATTATCTTTAAGACGTATTACCTCCGTAATATATCTCGATATTTACTCTATTTACTTCTAAATCCTCTTTTAAATAAGCTTATAATTTTAGTTATTATCTTTCGACTTTTTTATAATATTTTTAATATATCTTTTTAAGTAATATAACGTTTTATTTATAATTAATAAGACTTAGTAAGTATTTAAATTCGAGTCTTATTATTATAATTAATACTTTAAATATTAGATATATTAATAAAAGATAATTAAGATAGAGAATAATAAGAAGATTTCTATTTATTATACTATATAAATAAGACTTATATATTAAAAGTCTTTATACTCTTTCTCTATTTCTTTACGCTATAATTAATACTTTAATATTATTACTATTATATATTCTATTAATATCGCTATTATATATATACTACGTCGCTATTATATAGAGTACTAGTACTTATTAAAATAAAGAATAATAATGCTATCCATAAAATTTGGAAGTATGCCAAGCACTCAGCCCTACCTGGACCCTTGTCTTGGCATGTCCAGGACTTTTGGTGCCGACCTCCGTACTTAAGATAGTTTCATAAGGAAACGTATAATACTAGGAAATGCGCAATTTTTAAATCCGATAAATCCGACGTAATATTAAAATGTCTACTTTCCACTAAATTTATATAATTAGTATATATAAAAGAATAAAGTAGGGCTGAGCTATAAAACCTTGAATTTGTATGTGCAGCCAATCATAAATTCGTCAGATCTACGCTTTTTGATCAGATCGGCTAAGTCACCACGGGTAAATAAATTAGCGTCCGCAACCATTAAAATCTCTTTCTCTACTTTCAACCCTTTGATAACTTTACTATTTTCTATTAAAATTTTGAGATTTTTTTTTATTATAGAGCGAAGATTGCGCTTTTCAATAACGTAAAAATTTCAAAGTTTGGTCTTATAATTATTAAACGGTAAGAACCTCAAATATCGCTCATCAAAGTTCGCTCGACAGCCCTGATTAAAAAGTAGGTATACATTATTTAATTTTAGAATAATATTTTTATTTTCTATTAGAATTTTTTAATTCTTTTTTTAAATTATAGAACGTAATATGAGCTTTTAGAAGAAAAAGAAATTATTAAATTTAATCTTATAAAAATTTAAAAGTAAAGGATTTAAATATCGCTTATTAAAGTTCGCTCGATAGCCCTAATTAAAAAATAAGGGTATATTATCTAATTTTAGAATAATCTTTTTATTTTCTATTAAAAGATTTTAATTCTTTTTTTTTAATTATAGAACGTAATATGAGCTTCAAAAAAAAGGAGAATTATTAAATTTAATCTTATAAATATTTAAAGATAGAGGATTTAAATATCGCTTATTAAAAACTTATTTACTCTATTAAGAATATTATTTTATATAAGCTTAAATAGTCGAGTAATAATAATTTCAATAAAATTCGAAACTATTTCGCTTCGTCCTCGATTCGAATTCATTAATCTCTCTCGCTAAAAAATCGTAAAATCGTAGAAATCGTAAAATTAATAAAAGTTCTATAAATTATAAGAATAATTAAAATAATAATTAAAATGAAAAATCTATAATAGATATTAAAGTTAACTTCTTATTAATTAAATTTAAATTAATTTAAAGTTAATTAATTCTCTAGAGATCTATTATTAATATAACTTCTCTTTTTTATTAAAATTTTACTATTATTTTTTTAAATTATAGAACTTATTCTACGCTTTCTAATAATCTAAAATTTATAAAATTCGATTTTATAATTCTAAGTAAATATTAAATTAAAGTATTCTCACTCTTCGAGAATCGAATTTAATCCCGATATTAGAAAAAAGAAAAAACTTTTTATAAATTTAATTTATAGGCCTAAACTTGTATATTAATAAGATAATATTAGATTCTTTTATTATTAAAGCTTCTACTATAAAGAAATTAATAATTATATCTAAATTTTATTAATCTATTAATTTATTAGTTTATAAATAAATCGTTTATTACGGATCAATCCTTCATACTCGGTATACCTTTCTAATTAGGCCTTAGCGCACCTCTCTCCGCACATATGTGCCTGCAGACCACATAGATTAATAGAACATCTTTCCACCACACACATATATGAGTCAAACCATAATGATTCCTTAACAAATGGTAGCAACACCTGGCCCTACTTCATAGGATATCCAGGCGTCTTTCCAGACGTTTATGCAAAGTCTATATTAACACCTAATAGTGTAAAAGCCGGCCCTCACATACACTCGTTGGCCATCGAGTATCATTTGACCAAAAACCCACGTTCAAATCGATCCTTTTCATAGGCCTGTCGATCTCATCATGTCTACCACTACGAGAGGTCAAAAGCAACACATGTCAGACCTAGAAGCAATGATGCAGCGTGTTATTATCAGCATAACTACTAATATGGATGCCATGGAAGAAAGAATGAACACCAGAATAGCTGAAGCCAGATCAAGGCCTTCTTCACCTACTATTTCGCCATCTCATTCAACTACTCAGTCACTCAGTTAGCCACTCAGCCAGAGCATTCAGTTAAGCAGAAGGAGGAGCAATGCGGAACGGAGAACACTGCGGAGAACACTGCGGAGAACACTGCGGAGAACACTGCGGGGAACACTGCGGAGAAACCAAGCGACAACAAGACCACCATCATCAAGAACATGGCTCAGCTCTCCAAGATCCCACGTCATGTGCTCTCCACAATCCCACGTCAAATCGCCACACAGCCCGCGGAGAACGACACTACAATTTGGCCTGCTGTCTCCACATGCCTGGGCAATATCACATTGTGGTACATCACTGCAATGACGACACAAGAGGAGGACCTACTACGACGGTCACAGCCAAATCACTATGGCTATGGCAATTGGACCTCTACAGGAGGACATCGGACGATGCATATTTGGACGAATTGAAACCGTCTGATGTCGTGCTCCGGTACTATTCGAAGGGCTTCACTGCGGCAGGAGATATTGTGAGATCCACACCACTAATTAGCTCGGTGTCTCCAATTCTTTCCGGTATTTCGATTCTTGCCATGAGGACATGGCTATTCTTGTTTTTCGTGGGCACTTGTTACGGATCAATCCTCCACACTCGGTAGACCTTCCTAATTAGGCCTTAGCGCGCCTCTCTCCGCACATATGTGCCTGTAGACCACATAGATTAATAGAACATCTTTCCACTATACACATATATGCGTCAGACCATAATGATTCCTTAACATCGTTATTATTACTTTTTTTATTATATCTTCTTTAATTTTCTCTTTTTTAACTTCTCTTTTTCTATTATCTTCTTTTTCTCTTTTATCTCTTTAGTTTCTCTTACTTTCTTTATCTTCTTTTTAAATATATTATTATAATTATAATAGAATTTATAATAGAGTCTTTAATAGAGTTTATTATTATAGCGAAATAGCGTTTTCTCTTTTTTCTCTCGCTATTTGTTACGAGCGTACCCTTGATACACCACTCAGCCCTATGGCCTAGTGCCTTGGCGGAGGCATCTCCTACCATATCATGCCTTCTTCCCACATACATAGTTCGGTAGCCTTATTATCCTATTCTACCTCACCCATACTAATATCGCATCTATACTAGTTCTAATACTATTATTATTATAATAAAGCGAGTAATGATAATTATAATAATTATAATATAAGAATATAATTATAAAAAATATAAAGATTTTTTTAAACTTCTATCTCTCTTTATATTTTTAAAATAACTAATTTCGTTTATTATAATTTTTAAAATATTTATTTAAGTTATTTATAGCGAAGTTATATCTTTATAATAAATAATTTAATATTTTTAATTTATAAATCGTTTTAGTAAAATTCCGACTATCGAGAAGATTTACTTATAAACTTTAAATTATTAGAAAGCGTAGAATAAGTTATATAATTTTGATAAATAGTCGTAAAATTTTAATAGAAAAAAGAGAAGTTATATTAATAATAGATTCTTAAAAAGTTAATTACCTCTAAATTAATTTAAATTTAATTTATAAGAAGTTAATTTTAATATCTATTATAGTTTTATTATTAATTTTATAATTAATAGAATTTTTATCAATTTTACGATTTTACAATATCTACGATTTTATAATTTTACGATTTTACTATTCTTATATTTTTACGATTTTTTAGCGAGGGTGATTTATGGATTCGAACCGAGAAGGGAGCGGTATAGTTTCGAATTTTATTGAAATTATTATCACTCGACTATCTAAGCTTATATGAAAGAATATTCTTAATAGAGTAAATTAGTTTTTAATTAACGATATTTAAATCCTCTATCTTCAAATATTTATAAGATTAAATTTAATAGTTTTTTCGATTTTAAAGCGTAAATTACGTTCTATAACTTAGAAGAAAAATCTTAAAATTTTAATAGAAAATAAAAAAGTTATTCTAAAATTAAATAATATACATCTATTTTTTAATTAAAGCTGTCGAGCGAACTTTGATGAGCGATATTTAAGTTTCTTACGCTCTAGACTCTAGCGACTTTAATAACTATAAGATCAAATTTACTAATTCTTTTTTATCTAAAAGTCTAAGATATATTCTATAATTTAAAAGAAAATCTTAAAATTTTAATAGAGAATAAAAAAGTTATTACATGTATAAATAAGATATATCTCTTTTAATAAGAGGTCTCGAAAGGGCTAGTAAGCTAAACTTAGTCGATTTAATTAAAGAGCGTAGCGAACTCGAATTTATAATTATCAGTATATATAAAAAAAAAGATTAGAAAAATAAAAAAACACCCATCTTAATTACATTTATTTAACTATTTATCATGCAGTATTCTCATCTTTATTCTTTTATAAACTTCTCGTAAATATATATCATTTATTAAATCTCTTTAAATAAATGTAATTTTAATAAATATTATTCTTTAATTTTTATAATTTAATATATTTCGATAATATAAGTTTTATTTATAATTAATAAAACTAATAAGTACTTAAATCATTTATTATATAATTAAACTTAAATTTAAATATATTAATAAAAGATATTAAGATAGAGAATATAAAAAATTATTATTAACTATAAAATAAGACTATATTACTAACCTTTTTTTCTTTTCAAATATTAAAGATTAATTATAGTCTATAAATACTTAATAATATATATTCTATTATATCATTATATAATATTATTTAACCGGCTATTATAGACCCGTCTAAAATAAAAAAATGATGCTATCCATGAAATTTAGTATGCAAGCCCACGGACCCTTGTGGCATGAGGCTTGAAAACCTTGAATTTGTATGTGCAGCCAATCATCAATTCAGGGTTACTACGCTCTTTAGTTAGACCGGCTGAGTTAGCCCGCTAGCCCTCCCGAGCTCCCTCATCAAAAATTTATGTGTAGAAGTTTTACACTTTGAAATAATCAGCTCCCTACGGATGCTGTTACTTCATAATTTCGAAAATTATAGAGCTCAGTCTGCGCTTTCTAACGATGTAAAAATTTTGAAGTTTGGCCTACTATTGGTGGATTAAATGGACATTCAAATATGGTAGTCATGGTAGTCACACCAGACGCGTCCGGGATCGGATAATAATCCTTCCACCTGTTTGTGTAACCATTCTTCTTCCACCATTCTATCAATTTATCAATCAAGAGGAGGAGCAAGAGGAGGAACTACAACAGGCAAATGCGGAGAACACTGCGGAGAAACCAAGCGGCAATAAGGCCACCATCGTCAAGAACACGGCTCGGCTCTCCAAGATCCCACGTCATATGCTCTCTATGGAATAATCCTTCCACCTGTTTGTGTAACCATATTTCTTCTACAATTCTTCCAATCCACCAATCAAGAGGAGGAGCAAGAGGAGCAACTACAACAGGCAAATACGGAGAACACTGCGGAGAACACTACGGAGAACACTGCGGAGAAACTAAGCGGCAACAAGGCCACCATCGTCAAGAACACGGCTCAGCTCTCCAAGATCCCACGTTATATCAGTCATCCACTCAGTCAGCCACTCAGCTAGCCACTCAGTCTGATACTCTATAAGAGGAGGAGTAAGAGGAGGAACTACAACAGGCAAATGCGGAGAACACTGCGGAGAAACCAAGCGGCAACAAAAGGCGGCTCAGCTCTCCAAGATCCCACGTCACATGCTCTCCACGGTTCCACATCAAATCATCACTCAGCAAGCGGAGAACACCACTGCAACTTGGCCTGTCATCCCCACTACATTAATATGATATATCACTACAATAACGTCACAAGAGGAGGATCTACTGCGACGATCACAGCCAATTAGGCCTCTATAGGAGGAATATCGGACGATACATATTTGGACGGATTGAAACCGTCCGATGTCTTGCTCTGACAGCTATTTCATTATTCGAAAGATTTCACTGCGGCAGGAGATAATGTGGGATTCACACCACTAATTGGCATGTTATCTCCATTTCTTTCCGGTATTTCGATACTTCTTACCATAAGGACATGGCCTTTCTCTGTTTTTTGTGGGCAATTATTACGGATCAATCCTCCACACTCGATACACCTTCCTAATTAGGCCTTAGCGCGCCTCTCTCCGCACATATATGTCTATATGTAGGTCAAAAACGCATAGCAAGCGATCAGAGTTCGATTTGACTTAGGGCTAGGGCTAAAATTCGATTTGACTTAGAAAAATCCAACTCCATGAATTTAATTCATGGGCCTTTACTTGTATAATAGAATAAGATAGAGCTAAGCTAAAAAATCTTGAATTTGTATGTGCAGCCAATTATAAATTCAGGTGCGCTACGCTTTTTAATTAGACCGGCTGAGTCACCGCGGGTAAACAAATTAGCGTCCGCAACCATCAAAATCTCTTATCCTACTTTTAACCCTTTAATAACTTTACTATTTTCTATTAAAATTTTAAGATTCTTTTTTTAAATTATAGAGCGAAGATTGCGCTTTTCAATGACGTAAAAATTTTAAAATTTTATCTTATAATTATTAAAGGGTAAGGACCTCAAATATCGTTCATCAAAGTTCGCTCACTAAAGTTCGCTCGACAGCCGGCCATTATTTGATTTTAGAATAACTTTTTTGTATTCTAATAAACAAGTAAAGGCCCATGAATTAAATTCATGGAGTTGGATTTTTCTAAGTCAAATCGAACTCTAATCGCTTGCTGTGCGTTTTTAACCTACATATAGACATATATATACGAAGAGAGACGCTCTAAGGCCTAATTAGGAAGGTGTATCGAGTGTGAAGAATTGATCCATAATAATTGCCCACAAAAATAGAAAGGCCATGTCCTTATGGTAAGAAGTATCGAAATACCGGAAAGAAATGGAGACAACATGCCAATTAGTGGTGTGAACCCCACATTATCTCCTACCGCAGTGAAATCTTTCGAATAATGAAATAGCTGTCAGAGCAAGATATCGGACGGTTTCAATTCGTTCAAATATGCATCGTTCCGGAGTGATGATTTGATGTGGAACCGTGGAGAGCATATGAGGTGGGATCTTGGAGAGCTGAGCCGTGTTCTTGACGATGGTGGCCTTGTTGCCGCTTAGTTTCTCCGCAGTGTTCTCCGCATTTGCCTGTTGTAGTTCCTCCTCTTGCTCCCTTGATGCAGTGGGGATGATAAGCCAAGTTGCAGTGGTGTTCTTCGCTTGCTGAGTGATGATTTGATGTAGAACCGTGGAGAGCATATGATGTGGGATTTTGGAGAGCTGAGCCGTGTTCTTGGTGCTGGGGGCCTTGTTTCCGCTTGGTTTCTCCGCAGTGTTCTCCGCATTCGCCTGCTGTAGTGACTTCTCTTGCATTGGCTGAGTGGATTGGTGTGAGATCGTGGAGAGTAGGCCTGTTGTGTCACTGCTGCTGATGACTGTCTCCGCAATATTCTCCGCATTTACCTGCTGCAGTGGTTCCTCCTCTTACTGAGTATCGGGCTGGTGTGAGACCGTGGAGAGTAGGCCTGTTGTGTCACTGCTGCTGATGACTGTCTCCGCAATGTTCTCCGCAGTGTTCTCCGCATTCGCCTGTTGTAGTTCCTCCTCTTGCTCCTCAATGTAGTGGGGATGATAGGCCAAGTTGCAGTGGTGTTCTCCGCTTGCTGAGTGATGATTTGATGTGGAATGGCTAAGTTGCAGTGGTGTTCTCCGCTTGCTGAGTGATGATTTGATGTGGAACCGTGGAGAGCATATGACGTGAGATCTTGGAGAGCTGAGCCGTGTTCTTGACGATGGTGGCCTTGTTGCCGCTTGGTTTTCGATTTTTATTCGAAATTATCGTAGCTATAATTTCGATAATTTTAAACGATAATTTCGAACGATAATTTCGAGATAAAAAAAGATTAAATTCTCTAGAAGTATTAATTAATAACTATTCTATATATTAATATATATATAAAATAGAAATTCTTTTCTTTATTAATATACTTACTTATTTTTATTTATTTTTTATTTTCTTATATCTTAATATATATAAAGATATTATAAAATTAAATCTACTTTTTATTTTTATTTTATATTTTAAAGCTTTTTCTTTATTATATAAAATACTATAATCTATTATATAAAATATTCTATTTTTAAAAATATTCTATTTTTAAAAATATCTATAATTTTAGATATTATAAACGTTATTTTTTAAATAAATTTAATAACTTAGTTATTTATTATATTTTTTATATATAATTTTTTTATAATAAATTTATAAATAATTCGAAAATTTCGAGATATTTCTATAAAAACTCGAAATTTTCGAAATTTATAAATACTTTTAAATCTTCGTTATAACTTTATAATTATCTTAAAATTTTCGAAATAATTCTATTATTATTAATTCGAAATTTTCGTAATAATTCTATTATTAATTTAAAAATTTTGAAAATTTTAAGACTTTAAAAGATAATTCGAAATTTTCGCGATAAATCTATAATAAACTTAAAATAATTTTAAAAATACTATTATTAAATTAAAAATTTCGAAAATTTCGAGACTTTAAAAGATAATTCGAAATTTTCCCGATAATCTACTATTATATTAACTCCAATTTTTCAGACTTTAAAAGATAATTCGAAATTCTCGCGATAGTTCTATAATTAATTTAAAATACTATTAAAAATACTATTATTAATTTAAAAATTTTAAAAAATTTTAAGACTTTAAAAGATAATTCGAAATTTTTATAGTAATTCTATTATTATTAACCCGAAATTTTCGAGACTTTAAAAGATAATTCGAAATTTTCCGATAGTTCTATAATTAACTTAAAATAATTTTAAAATTCTATTATTTAAATTAAAAACCGTAAATTTCGAGCTTTTAAAGAAAAGAAGAATTACTAAATTTAGTCTTATAGATATTTAAAGGCAACGATTATTCAATATAGCTCACTAAAGATCGAACTTACTAAAATTTATAATATAGTTTTCTTTAGCTTTTTCTTTAATATCTTCTAAGAATTAATTAACTCAAAATAATCTTAAATAATTATCTTTCTTTAACCTTTTCGAGACTGCTTTTACTAATTTAAGTATTATTAAATTTCTTTATATTGTAATATTTCTAAGTTATCTAAATCTTATACCAGAATAAAAATAGATCGCATTTGTAAGCTATCAGCGCGAACGCTATTCTACTATGTCAGGTCTATAGAGGGCTGACTAAGCGAATCGTTCCCCGGCCCGCGCCTAAGGACAGTTACCATGGTAGTAGGCCATTTGAATGAGTGATAGTGGTAGCTATGTTAGTCAAACATTTTGTCAATATGGCACACCGTACCTAGCGCTATTTGGCGCAAGTAACCTCACCCGATCAAACATGGTCAGCAATAAACATAAACACAGTGACCAGCAATGATTGACTTCGTCAGGTAAATATGCCCTCACACTATAAATATTTACGCGCATAGCCATGCTAAGTGCTCCTGAGCGTCGGTAGGTGGTGTCGCAGGCAGACCGCAACACGCGGTCCGGAATTGCCAAAGACCAACGGGGCTACTGGGGACCCGAGCTGCCTCCAATCGCTACCTACAACAGAAGACAACATTAGCCTGGGGACTGGAGCGATCGACCGTGATCCCGTGTACGGCGACCCGATTAGTGGACCAAGAAAGAGACGCCGAAGCTACAGCCACAGCCACGGGGATAAAGATCGCGAGCGGCCTGTCGAAGCGCCACACTCGATTCTGGGAAACTCAAAGAAGCGGCGACCCAACTCCTCCTCCTCTCGTATCAAGGATTCCGAACGCTGGGGCGACGAACGCCCTTCTAGCTCCGTATCCGATTCCAATGTAGAGAAAAGTGATGACCCCTCGAGTGGTATCCGCCCCGCGTCGGTGTCGTTAATGAATTTATCTGAAGGGACAGCTTCAGCAGAGGAGAAGTTAGTTTCTAAATACGAAGATACACTGAAGGGAAATGAGAAGGAGTGGTATCTCCGTCTTCAGAGACTTATGAATACGATTCGGGAAAACTCAAAGGAGCGGCGACCCAACTCCTCCTCCTCTCGTATCAAGGATTCCGAACGCCGGGGCGACGAACGCCCTTCTAGCTCCGTATCCGATTCCAGTATAGAGAAAAGCGATGACCCCTCGAGTGGTGTCCGCCCCGCGTCGGTGTCATTAATGAATTCATCTAAACGGACAGCTTCGACAGAGGAGAAGTTGATTCTTAAAAACAAAGATACACTGAAGGGAAATGAGAAGGAGTTGTATCTCCGTGTTGAGAGATGCGTGGATACGAAGATGTATCAGGATGGTGCTTGGGAGACGAACGTGACCAGCATATGGGAGGAAGAGGCTGCAAAACTCCAAGCTGAGAAGGAGGGGGTGGTTGCAAAGCTAGCATCTCCAAGTATCACTGCCAATATGACCGAAGTAAGAAAGGCCCCATTAAAAAAGCAGGTCATTTCGGTAAGCAACATTTCTTCTCAACTGAGATATCATGTAGACTGATTTGCATTTAGCTTGAGCGCCGTCAAGAGCGAGCCCGCCAAAGTCTAATGAGAGTCTGCAAAACGCACATTAGAGAATGGTATAAGCTCGATGGGCTTTCGCCAGACGAATTAGCTAAAAGAGTCAATTATCTCCTGGACGAAGAACGCTTTCAATCTCCAGAGGACCATTACGACGATAGCAAGGTTTATCATTTTCGTTGCTAGATTTGGGACGTCACTAACGAAGACAGGGTCATCCATCATTTCGTTTCCACGCCCCACAGCTACGGAAGCTGACCGTTGAGAGGTTCTTTGCAAAGCCACAAGGCTCTGGACGTAAAAATCCGACGTTAGCAAAGATCTACGCTTATGGTAAAGCACCCTGCATCTATGCAGCAACAGTCCATCAGTGCCTCACGGCTTGGAGAGATGGAAGCTTTGATAAGAGCATCAAAAACACAAAAGCAGTAATGAACAAGATTTTGCAAAAGCAGCTAGCAACTTGGAACAACCTATCAGACAACTATCGGGACAATGTCTGTAGGGGTTTAAAGCAGAGTATGCTGGAGGCGGTGCCTGAGAACGACAGATGGGAAACCCTGGTTCAACCACGACGTGAGCCTACAGATTGCGCCAACTTAGATCGAGCTCAACACACATACTGACTCTGTCGTCAATGGACTGCGTAGTCGCTAAGCATTTTACACTTGTAATTCTGGGACATTGCAGCGATGCGTTTGTGCACGCTATTTGATCTCCATAGGACGATCTAGCCGCCTAGCCTTTTGCCTATCCGGCGACTTGGCATCCAATACTCTCAACTCATTGCATTCGCCCTTGGCCAGAACATCGTCGAATCCCCATAAATAGACTAAATAGGTAGTATGACCTCGCCGACACTAGATACGTGATTCATCTCCCTCATCCCCAGGTCGCGTGTACGCTACTACGTCGTGCTTGGAAATGCACCGAAAAGGACGCTTGCGGTATTGCTGTACTATGATTATATCGTTTGCAGTTGGGGGGAATGCAGGGCAGTCTTTCCCAACTTTTACGTGCATCAGATACAGGGATGAATTCCGTTTTCGTTCGCTAGGTGGCAGCTGGCCTTTTTATGTGGAGGTGTTAGTCCCGAGTCTTTTGCGTCAGGAGTCTGGGTTGTGTTGAGCAAGGCTGGTAGAAAGTCAGCCGGGTGAGGGAAAGGAATCCTACTTCCTCTGTATAACCTCATAGTATACGACCTTTCGTCCCCTTTGAAGGGCAACACGATTACAGCTCTAAGGAGTACTAGCACGGACGCACGTAGGACAAGCGTAGATCTTTGCAGATCAATATATTATGACATTTTCAAAAGCCGAATGCTTTTGAAGGTTATAGAAGTTTTAAAAATTCATATGTTTTTAAAACCTTTAAGAGCTTTAAGACCTTGCCTAATTGCTTTGCCACTTTACACAAATACCCACTCCATCACTGGGTACTGAGGGATTATTGTTTCTGTTTGTACATATCCACCTCTTCGTCGACTATCAGTAGGAAAGCGAAGATGACGACCAAAGCTCAGCGCAAAGCGGCTCTCATGAAGGATTGGTAAGTTAGGTCACATCAAAAATAGGGAGAATATAGTCCACGACGTAGGTAAATTACGATCTCTTTATCTGAAGAAGTGGCGGAGAAACTAGCAAAATGCACTGGAAAAGTGCATCGCCGGATCAATTTATCCCTATTTTCTTAATCATTGGGAAATAGAATCGCGATTCTGGCACCCCCTTCAAAAAATAAAAAAGTGCTTTTCTTGAATAGCTTCACAACGATAACTATAACGTTCTAAAAATTTCTAGATTTTAATAATTATATAAGATATTAAAAATATTAAATTATAGAAGAACTTAATTAGTTATTCTATTATAGAATAAAGATTTAATAAATTCTTAAATATTCTTAAGATAGTCTTAGCGGAAAAAAAATAGCCGAGGTAAAATTTTCAAGTTTGCGATACGTTCTTAATTTTTATATTTTACTTATAAGATTGAGATTAAAATCTTTCTAAAATTTAGAGGTAGATTACTTGATATCGTAAGTAGAATTCGTAAAGTTTTTAGACTGTAAAAATAAGTGGTGGTGAGGTTATACAGGAAAATTCAAATTTTAGATTTTTGATTATGGGGGTGCCAAATTCGCAGTTTGTTTTAGTTCCCAATGATTAAGAAAACAGGTTCAACTATAGATGTCGGGCCTTACGCTCGTCAGATTTACCACCTCCCTCTCCCAGCGCTTATCGAAACGAGCAAATTCCCTTGCTTTCGTCTGCTTGATATTGGGCCCTTCGCGCTTTTATCTTCGCACTACTGGGCTCCAGGTACCTCAGTAATAGCCCTCGATGCCTCGCTTAGCCATTTAGAAAATTAAAAAGAATGCGGCAAAGCGATTCACGGTTCCTTTTAAACCTCAGCCAACGCTAGTGTACGATACCGGAGAGTCAAGGCCGGACAGCCACATTCCCCGATTAGTAAGAGATTCCCAAGAAAGTAGGGGCGGATCCGCCTCCTACGCATCCCCCATACCTCGCTGTCGCCCTCCCCAGACCCGCCCGTCAAATCTTCGCGTAACCCCCTCTTGTATAGCCCAATGTCGTCCCCCTCCGCACGTCAGCCCCCTCAGTACGGGGGCTTCGAGGATACCAGGAGGGTGGATGATACGGTAGCAACCGGAGGGCATTAATCGAGACCGCAGCCCGAAGGCGGAGTTTAGACGACGACCCACCCGATGCAGGAAGAGGATAAGAAACGACAGCGACGGCGAATGGAGTAGGGCCACGTATTCTGACGCGTCTAGATCATCGTCACCGAAATCCATTACCCCTCCCTCCTCTTCCTCCTTGAAACGCAAGGCCGAGACCTCCTTAGACGCGTCGATAGATCAGAAAGAGTCTCGCAAGGGGACCAAGCGAAGGAAGACGCGTCTGAAAAGTAGCCGTCTCCCGTTTGAGATCAACAATAGCCTCCGCCGAATATTGAATAATTCGTCAGACCCTGTTGATTAAGAGGGTCCGGTGGACGGCTGAGGAATTCGCCCAACTGTGGCCGTTATGGAAACTTCATGGGTCACCATGCTCAGAAAGGCACCGGGCCAATTCGTCAGCAGGGAGTTCAATTGGCCCTGGAGGATCTCATCAATGCCGGCTATGACGTGTCCAAATTGCAGGCGCCCACTAACCCTGCAAAGGTCTCAGTAGATAGCGAGGATGAGGGTTAGCTAGCTAAACCCTCAATGGAACCCCATAAAGCGACGGCGAGGTAGATTTCGTCTCGAGACGCTAGAAATATTAGGACGACAGCGACGGTCTTCTCATTAGATTCCGCCCTGATAGCCCCGAGATACCGTAACGGTAACGACGTCTTCCCACTCAAATCCCGCCCAGCCTTGCTAAGTCGTTCTCCGCCCCATGGGAGGCGGCAGCGAGGTCTCTCATTATAACGCAAACTCCGCTACACCTCCCATACAAATCCCGCCCTAACCGGTAGCAATGCCAGCGGGTACAGCTGAGAGGTCTCCGGCGACAGCGACAGCGACAGTAAGGTGTCAGCATCGTCGCGCCTTATTTTGGTGTGGCTACCATACAAATCTGGCTCAGCCACCTTGTAAGTACGCTAATGGTATTTTTCTTAGCATTGGCTGAGGTATAAAAGCTACCATTCAGCTCCGCCTCCGACTTTTTGTTAGCGCCATTCATAGAAAATTGTAGAGAACGTACTTTTCAGAGCCCTGCAGACGGTGGACTTGTGGACCTCGACATCCCACTCCTCTTTCAAGAACTGCGCCAATTCGTCTTGATACAGCCACGGCTTTTGACGCTGGTAGTTAAGAATAGCGTCTAAAGCAGCAGGTGAGAGGCTGCGGCATCGCCCTTGTGTATGAATGTACCTGTTATGAGGGATCACGGTGTCACCATAGATAGCAAGGTTCCGCTCTCATCGATACGCCGTCGATATACTGGAACAGGCATCCGCAGCTACGGCTTCAGGTCGCCAATGGGATTCGAGTAAGAGTTGGGCACGCTGGCGTATAGAGGGATTCTTTCTAAATGGTGGTATCGCGTCCGAAGTAAGGGCTGGCGATGTGGCTATTACACGCCTAATGTCAGCGTGTCTAGTTTCTTCTATGCATGCGTCCTTTCTACGTCCTTTCAATTCCATTATTGTTTCTTTCATGTAGCTAGCCATAGATAGCCGTGGCTTTGTTCTCTATTAGTTACATAATAGCTGATGGCCCCACCACTGAATCTACACGCTTTCTATAATCACCAATGCTATGCCTCGCTGAGACCTAAGTCAGAGGCAAAATACTAAGAAAAGCGTGTATACCCACTAGCTTCGGTATCACGAATGTCTAACTGAGGTAGCAGACGACAGTGGCTATTGCAAGAGTGGCAAGTACGTTCTCTACAACTTTCTATGAATGACGCTAACAAAAGTCGGAGGCGGAGCTGAATCAGCTTTGCCAAGCATTCTTATTTAATTTGCAATTCATAAATTCCGCGCGTCCTTCGTTCTCCTCACCCTTCTTTTTCATTCGAACTTTTCCTTTTAACCCAAGTCATGATCTCCTCAAGCTTCTGCATCTCTTGCTCCCGTCATAGAAACCGCGTTGGTAAGGGGCGGGGGCGGGAGGGGGCGCTAGTTGATATGATCATGGCGTCAGTATTTGGTAGCGGTGACGGGAGTGCTATCGGGCTGAGAGGGACGGGAGATATGGTTAGCGCAGCGGTTAGTGATAGCATTACCTATCGTACTACGATAATAATAGCTGGTCTTTCCGACTGATCCTATCTGAGGTATAACGAAACAGCCTCTATACTTCAAAAGGTTTTTAGCCAGAAGACTAGACGGGAGTGAGATATAGCTTGAGAGAGCTCGTTGTACCCTATAGCATGCAGAATTGTATGATATCACAGGGTATGCGTACGCCCTCGCCATGTCGCAAAGCTCTCACTACTCGCATTGGGCTGGGCCAAGGCCGTAGCGTGGCATAGAGTAGGTACCTATGTCTTCATGCCAACAATTACCACCACTATCTAGAACCATATGCTATCCCAGACAAAAATGGTAGCAACACTTGATTACTGGCATAGAGCAGATCGTCATATATGCTCACCGATTTCTGAAAGCACCAAGGAAGATGAATTCTATCGAAGGCGAAAGGCTTGACATGTTTGAGCAGAACGCTCCTGGTGTCGGTGGTGAGGTCGAAGCGACCTAAAGCGATAATGGTATGTATACCCTCCACTTCTGCTGAGCCAATGGAATGTTGTCTAACCTTACAGCCGACGTCAAACCTGACCACCGCAATTGACGGAAGGTTGAAGAGAGTTCGGAGAGCGAAAGTCAGGTCGACAAGACCATTTGCTCTCCCCCCTCGACCCTACCGCGTTTTTGTAAGTTATCGCCTCGACGGTATCAACTATCCATACTCCCAGCCGGAAACCCTTCGAGCACTTGCCTTCAAATGTTAAAATTTTCCGTAAACATTTCTTTATAAGCTGACACGACTAGATAATGATGACCTCTAATCTGTCTCCCTGAAGCGTGATAAGAAGATGAATCAAGACTCAACTATAGAGCGTGATGAAATGGAAGTGAAGGCTTGACCACACAGGCTGCTAAGGATGATGGGGACCTCGATAGCGATTTTGATAGAGGCGCCAATAGGCGATTTGACGAGGAAGACGGAGAGAAAGCTACGAGGCCTGATGAGATGGGGACAGACACAGAGTCGATCTTCAGTGATATTGAAGGAGTTGTCAAACTTACAGACGACACCAACAAGGCAATGCAGCCCACGATGAACGAGAGCGACATCATGTCCTTACAAGAACGATCAGTTCTAGTCTATTAATAAACACAGCTGACAACTACTCACTATTAATCCAGTGTCAAGAACCTCAGCACCAACCCAATGCGAGCAGCTGGAAGACGATCAGGATACGCTTTGAACTCAGGCTACTTTGCTTGCCAAGATCAATCCAAACGAGACGGAAATAAAAAGTTCCTTCAACATTCCTGAATTGGCCTTTCTTTTGTTTTAGTATCAGGTTGCCGGTGTTCTGGATGCATTGGAACGCGAGAAGAGGACGGAATGGCGGTGTCCTCGAAGTCGATATGGAGTTGGGAAAGGTAAGAGATATACCGGCTAGAGAAACCACCAGATACCCTACTAATGATTTTTTTTTTTTTTTTTTTTTTTTTATTTTTAAATTTTTTTTTTTTTTTTTTTTTTTTTTTTTTTTTTTTTTTTTTTTTTAATTTTTTGATTTTTTTTTTTTTTTTTATTAAATTTTTTTTTTTTTTTTTTTTTTTTTTTTTAAAAAAAGTTGGGGGGGGTTTTTTTTTTTGGGGGGGGGGGGCCGGGGGGGGTTTTTTTTTTGGGGGGGGGGGGGGGGGGGGGGGGGGGGCCCCCCCCCCCCCCCCCCCCCCGCGGGACCTTTTTTTTTAAAACCAAATCATACCCCCAGCAATGGCAAATTACCAAATCATACCCCATATTTGGGTGAAATTTGGTGTGGGGGTATGATTCAAAAAATTGGGTTTTTTTTGGTAAGGATTCATACTTTTGGGGTATGAATTAGACCATAATTCGCCCGGCGCTCGCCATAGCTCCCCTTGAGATCTTCCTGCAAAGGGCACACGCTGAGGTCAACGCCTGCCGCAATGCCCCTCCAGGCTCGCCACCAGAAGCTAGCCATTTGCCTGCGTCTACCAAAAAGACACCCCGATCTCCAGATGCAAAAGCCCCCTCCGATCCCTCCTGGCAATCATGTCCGTGCCTTGAGTGTTTGTCTGCGACCAAAATGACGCTCAAGCTGGGCTGCCTCGTCCTGCTCATACCACCAGGCCTCCACAAGGGTCGGACAATGGAAACCAAAAAACTAATCAACGAGGAAGAGCTCAAGATACTCGGCATAGACTTCGTCCATATCCCAGATCCCGAGTTTTCGGCCTGAGAGTGTACTTGCTGGGATGAGGTGAGTAGCGGTCTGGTTGTATTTCAACTGGGCGTATGGAGGCTCATAACATTAACACGCTCTCTCGACAGAAGAAGAAGAGCAATCAGTATCCACGTTCCGGCCTCTTCCCGGACTCCAGTCGATTAGCCGCCAAAGGCGCCTCGGCTATTAGCGTGTGCAGAAAACGTTGGAATACTTGGCACTGAGATTCTCACACACACCCCACCAAAAGTAGTACTGAGTAGATGAATCTTCTCCCATATCGCATTCTACCACCTTCCTCATCATATTTGAAGCTCCTGTATATCTCGCTTAGCCAATTGTCTTCCAGGGCCGCACGTTCACGGGCGGCTTTGGCATGAGGGCCTTCAGGTCTGGGAGCGGGGGTAGCTGCGCTTGGCTGACTGTTGCTGGGGCCCGGCTGGCTATCCTCAGCAATCGCTTGGGCACGGGAGGACGCCTTCTTAGGCCTCTTGGACTGTCTGGCCGGAGGGAGGTCGGTAGGGGGGCCCCTGACTGCGTCGATTGGGAAGCATTTCGAAACACTAAGGCAAAACACCAAGGATCGGCTAAGCGAGATATACAGGAGCTTCAAATATGATGAGGAAGGTGGTAGAATGCGATATGGGAGAAGATTCATCTACTCAGTACTACTTTTGGTGGGGTGTGTGTGAGAATCTCAGTGCCAAGTATTCCAACGTTTTCTGCACACGCTAATACCTCGTCGTCCCGGTTCCATAACAACCCTCAAGTCCATAAAAGCCAGTCTGGACTCTCAAACGCGACTTCAGTAGCATCATTCACCACTGCTCTTACAAGACAGGGGACATCCTCAACGGCGCCTTCGTCCGCTAGAAGAAATGAATTTGTTTTCAGCCTTACTACCATCCAGTTAGGTCACTTTGACACGGCATTCGAAGGGGCGGAGAAAAAACAAGGGATTGTTTACCAACAGAACGGCGAGGCGTACGCTCCTGAAGGCGTCGAGGGACTCGAGATGAGGGTAAGGATGGTTGCAACGAGTGTCCAAGACCAGAACAACGCGAGACAAGCTCGAAAGAAGAGCAAGATCGAAACGCGAAACATTCGCTAGCAACACGCAATGAAAAAGGCAGCGGAATTGCGGAAGGAGGTGTCCCACGTATGGACCAGGTTGGATTCAGTGGATACCGAGAAGCGCTGGCTCAGGGACCGTCGGGGTGTGATTTGTTGGCGGGTATGGAAGACATGTATACTTTTTTGTTGCTGACAATCATATAGAAGCCTATGGCCGAGAATGTGGCGACGTCTAGGGCTTACTATATCTTATACCTCACTATAGACCTTCCTCCTATGAATGATCGCCACTGCCAAAACCGATCATCAATCATTACGCTTGTTCAGCACCTCATGGATAAGAATCCATATAGCATGACTCCCGCAAAGGAGACTGGCAGTGGAGACTGTGTGAGGCAAATAAGTTAAGCTTTGGGAGACCAAGTGAGTGGACATGCAACCACTCCAGGTCCCCAAAGCCGGAGCCTTGCTAATGTCTCAGTTGCCAAGTATTAATGCTTTACTATGACGGCCATACGATCTGCCAGGCAGGGAACACTTTTAAAGAGATCGCTACAGGTAAAAAGGGTCTCTGTCTTGCGGGCCTTTAAGCACTGTATCTTCAACCAACCGCTGTTACAGACGCTAATGAATTATAGCAATTTGAACGTACTCTGAAACGCCTGTTCTCGGCTGCAGATATTTCCCCTGTTAACTTTCACCAGTTACGGTCAATCAAACGCTGTGTCCTTGTATATTTCTACAGGATTGCGACCACTTTCAGCCCGAACAGGGGCAGGAAGTCTAGTCGGGCAGGAGTGCACTCAACGAGTCAAGGGAAGAGGCGAAGTTAATTTTGGGACCATTAGCCTATCTTCTCGAGGTCAAAGATGACGGCGAAGGAAGAGTCTTCCGTGACCTACATCTGAGGAACCGAACGATCGCCGTCAATTATGAGCTACACTGAGGCCAAGACACTATACCAGGTGAGCTCTCCTCTGCTTACATTCAATGCTAGCATGACTGACGTTGAAGCAAGACAGGATTGTTACAACCTCGGACGAGGCACATAGCATTCAATGTCCTCTACCGTCGATTTCAAGAAATACGTTGTTGTTCGTAGTTTACGAGGCTATACCCATCCACCGAGACAGGGATGTTTATGAAATAGGGAAAAAGTAAGGTGTTACTCGATTCGGTGTTTTGGTGAATGGTCGCCATCGAGCTTTCTCGAAAGCCCATGCATGTTATCCTTGGGAGGCACAAACCTCCCAACTAGGCCAAATTCGTGTTTTCGTGGTGTAGCAATGACTCTAACCAAGAACCTCGCCGAGGCCGATCGCAGGGACCTATCCCTCCCCCCCCGCTGTCGCTGCGCATCCAAAAAGAGTGTATCCTTCGCTGAAGACGATCAATCTACAAGCAATGGCCCTCCAGCAGCCTTCCCCCTCTCCCTTCCCACACCCACAGCCCCTCCAAAGGGCAAAGACAAGCGTCAGGCACCTACTGAGGAACAGGCCACCCAGAAGAGGGCTGCTGACGCTCAGAGGCAGGCTGCTACTCAGGCGATTGGTGCTGCTCAGGAAAGGGTTGCTGCTCAAGAGAAGGCTGCTCGAGAAGCTGGGCAAATTACCGAATCATACCCCGAAAGTAGAGTACGAATCCTTACCGAATCATACCCCTAATTACTGAATCATACCCCTACACCAAATTTCACCCAAATATGGGGTATGATTCGGTAATTTGCCATTGCTTGGGGTATGATTTGGTAAGTTGTCAAAGTGGCCTCAAAGTACGAAGGAGATAATCCGCGATCTGGCTTATTCGATCATAGAAATAAGGGAGTTTCTCCGACCGCATTTGATAAGAATTCTATCAGACGAAAGCCGAGTGGGCGAAATTTCGACTAACCCGAGTTACCGCTAGGCTAGAAAGCTATACCCGGGGGTATCCGCACTTCACGCTGCAGACACCCCTATTCGGGTCCCGTAGGCCCCGTAGGGCCCCCGAAGAAATAATTCCTAACAATACCACTACGCTACGCAACGGGGCGGGGCGGGGTGGGCTTCGGGGGTCAATCCCCGCCCGGTTGCGCAGCGTAAATACCACCGTTATCAATAATCAAGTCGACGATAAGCCTACCGCTACCATTATCTTTATTAAACCCTCTCATATCAGGAAGCTATAATTTTTCAAATTATACCCCAAGCAATAGCAAATTAGGGTGGAATTTGGTGTAGGGGTATGATTCAGTAATTAGGGGTATGATTCGGTAAGGATCCATACTTTTGGGGTATGAATTAGTAATTCGCCCTCGAGAAGCTGATGCTGCTGCTGCTACTGCTGATGCTCAGAAGAAGGGCCAGAAGAAAGCTACTGCTCAGGAGAAAGCTGCTGCTGCTCTAAAATAATTCAACAAGCTGCTGTCGCCGCTGCTACTACCGATGTCGAAGAGTAAGGAACAACAGAAGGAAAAGGAGACGGAGAAGACGCTGACGCTGACGAAGAAGTAGCAGAAGAGGACGTTACAGAGGCCGAAATAAACGCATTCAAAGAAGCCCTGGAATCATCACGTACGCGTGTCTTTTCTTATCGAGTCAAAGCTACACTCAAAGCCCGATCCACCATCAAATGGGCCAATTCAATTATCAATGCAGACACACATGTCGACCAGTGGAAAAGAGACCAATTCAACACCGATCAATGGGGTCTTGCTATTTATACGACGATGAGCCAGCATGGATTCCCTGAGGAGTGGACCTCTACTGTTGCCTATGTCAAATCTGATCACAGCAGATCCACCAGACACACCGGACAACGCCTTGATTCGAGAGATCTTTCCTGGGAGGTCTGAAATAATACGGTGGAGGCCCACATGAAGCAGGGGTATTAGAGTTCCATTTGGTGTTCGCCCATAAGCCGAAGGAAGTCCTCTGCTTCGTCATCATGTCTGGGTCTCCCATCCAGCTCCACATGGGGTGGTGAAGGTTGAAATCTCCTAATACTATTTGGATTTCGCCCGTGTTTCCAGTCAGAACTTCTCGAAGGAGCGGGATTGTGCTTTGTCCCGTATCGTTTGGGGGGGGTATATACGTTCTGCACGTGTATCTTGTTTTCGTTCCCCTCCATTTGTACAGGTGACGGTAGTGGTGATAAGGTGCGGGGAGTGAAGGCTGGCGGCCCATGTGGCATTAGGGATCCTTTTGTTTACAAGAAAGCATATCCTTGTGTCTGGTTCGTCCAGATAGATGAGTTCGAAATACTGGCCGCAAGGTGTGTGATATTGACGGTGCTGTTTTTCCAGGCTTCTTGAATAGCAATCAAGTCGAATTCCTCTATCTCTCGTCCCAGAGCACACTTGCCATAACCTTATTCTCTGACCTCATTACGCTATACTGCAACATTGATAGCTTGGGCTTGCTATTCATCGATCGTCATGGATCGTGAGATCGCTGCTTGTGGTTCTAGTAGGCGAGGGTCGGTAGTATTGTCCTGCGGTTCCTGCTCCTCTCCACCTACTCGTCGCTCATCTTGCTATCTAGTATTGGTGTTTTTCGAGCGTTCCGTCCATGTCGATTCTTCCCTGTGATCACTTGTGCGTCTTTCCTTATTTTCCATGGCCTGGAAGAGGTCAGCTTTGTTGTCGTCCTCGGCCTGAGAGTGACGGGTTTCTTTCTCAGGGCTCGAGGCGCTACTCCTGCTACTTCCGCAGTCCTCTTCCTTTATTGGGTGGTGCAGGTGGTGGTGGGCGGCTGTGCGCGTGGCTCGGTCCCCCTGCTGACGCTCCACTTCCGGGTCTCATCGAGCCGAGAATCGTTCGATTATCTCTGGGCTGGGGTGATACGATGGCCGGTTTCTCCTCGCCTGTGCCAGCTTGGCCAGCTGAATCTGTCTGATCTGGTAGGCGTTGCTCCATGCTGCGTGCGGTCCTTTGCACAGGAGGCACTTTGGTGTGATTCTTTCTTTCGGCATAACTTCGTGTTGTGAGATTCTGCGCAGTTTCCCCATGTTTCTTGGCATTGCACTGAGTTCCCATATGACCATATCTTTGGCATTTATAGTATTGCGTCAGCTCACAGCTCCTGTCGTATAGCTCGCAGTCGTGACGGAGGGCATCTAGGTGACTCTCAGCCAAATCCGAAGCATCATCGGTCAAAAGTATATCAGAATGCTCTGCTCCTCCTGCTCCTCCTCTCCGCCTGCTTGTTGGAAATCATACTGCAGCACCATAGTGTGTTGTAGCTACCCCTTATGGTGGCAACCAGGTGGCAAATTAGCATGGGCTTCACAAGGTATATAAGTAGCCTACATACCACTCCATAGCTAATCAATCCTTCATCCTCCCATCAATTCCAACACTGCTCCTACCCCTACCCCTCTTCCTCTCACACCTCCTTGTTTGCCCCTTGAGTCTTCTACATTCTCTTGCTTTTTTTCAGCCTCAGCAGGAGCAGCAGCTTGTCAAGTCGTTGAAAAGCCTCACAGAAAATGAAGGAGTTTTTTGGGGTGCAGATTTAAGGTCTACATATCGTCTGTTGTTCATTAACTTGTTCTTAACGCAGTAGAAAGCCTTCAAATAGCTGAGCTTTCATGATAGATAAGAGAGTATTGTCAGTGGGAGCGTTGACGGAGTCGCAGGATGCGGATTCACTGCGTGGTAGACGCTCGTCGCATCAAAGATCCGTACGATCTCGTAGCTGGCGTTGCCGTTAGTAGTGGCAGCAATTCTTTCATTACCATCATCGCCGGCTATCTCTCCGACCATTGACGGGTCCTTGGCGAGGTCAGATTTGAACTCTTGGATCTTATCAACAACAATTCCGGGAAAGGGGAAAATCCACATTCTGTAGGACTATCACTAAGACTAGGGCATCGCAATGCAGTAATACGGTGTGGGCTTGAGGCTCGGCTGTAAATTCTTGATATTTGGAAGAATTTCTGTATCCTTCTGATCTGGATTTACAGCGAATGCTTTGTAGCCCTCCAGGATTGACTTCGCATTAACGGTTATGCCTTATCCATCCAGCTCAATCTCTGTCTTAGACAGACTGCTTCGAGTCTCGAACACCAACTTATGCGAGCACCTCAGCACTTCTTCCCCAACTAGATCGTTCCATCAGAGTCGCCATTATCCAGCTCGTGAGTCTTATCATTTTTGTTATGTAGCCGTTCGTAGAGTGTGCTTTCGACCGCGACTTTGAGTTGTTCGAGAGCTTTCTGTTCTGCGAAAAGCTGAAGGTGTGCCAGGAGGGTGAGGGGGCTCATCTGCATCTGGACATCGGAGCGGTTGAGGGTGTTGATGATCCAGGGTCCATGAATCCACATTATGAGCACACAGCTTCGCAAAAGCTGCTGCTGCCGATTTGATCCAGCGCTGTTGAAGAGGAGCTTATGGCTAGTTAGTGAATGTATTCAAGTCCGGCATCCAGCCCCTGACAACGTACTCCATGGTTGATATCAACAAAAAGCACCTCACACCCGAGATGACTGACACGTACCCCGTGAACATGAAATGTTTCGTCCTGACACCTTAAAAGTTCATCAGGAGGGTCCTTAAATTCCCTTTAAATTGTCAGCGTTCGCCATCAATAGTCTAGATGGTTTTGCCTCACGATTGTTGCAGTTGAATGAATCAAAGCGTCAACATTTGATTGGTGCTAAGTAGGAATTAGTCATTGTGGCACTTGCAGCGAATAATCTTTTAAAGATAGATGGACTTACAAGGGGTACAGAAAAAGGGGGTAAGAACAAAGTTTAAGATCCTACTCACTAGGCGTACAGCCCCTATCTACTAGGCGTACAGCCCCCTAATCGGGTTAGCGGCCGCGCGGAAACTAACAAGATCTAACCAGAAATGGTAAAGAACCCGCATCTAGTGTCTTCGAGATTCTTGCGGAGATGGTTGGTGGTAGCAGGGCAAGCCTCCCTATGTCTCTCCCTGTAGATTTACAACATCGGACGGTTTCAATTCGTCGATTAGTGAGGTCTTTGAATAATTCCGCTATGGCGATAGCTGATTGGCTGGCTACCCTCTCTGCTTGCTACTAAAAATACGCCCATCATACTCAAATATCCACTACCTATCGGCCAGCTGGTCTTCCTACATCTGAAACGTATTGAACATAGCCTCGTTACCCTGCATGTAGGCCGATGTAGCACCACCTCGCTATCCTCTTGTAGCCTGTCCAGCCTGCCCACCTCGCCGCCCTCCTCGTGTAATGCCTAGTCGTCGGGGTGGCTGCTGCAGCGGTCGCAAACCCCCCTGTGACGCTTGCAGTGTAGAGGTAGGTGTAGAGGAGGTGTAAGGTGTAGAGGTAGGTGTAGAGGTAGATGTAGAGGTAGGTGTAGGTATACGCTCTGATCCTTGCCTATGGCCTTCAGTACCAAAGAACGCGTCTGCCCTGTCCTCCTCCTCTTGCTGTTCCACCTGACCCGCCGTGATTGCCAGCTGTCGCATTAAGTGAGGTGTCCGTCCAGTCATCGGGAGGTGGAGCTAGGGCCATTGCTATTGAGCGAAGGATGTGGGCGGGCGGTGGGGTGGGAGTTGGTTTTACTACCATAAGGTATCCTACTGTGAAGGCATTCGGCTCGAAGACACTAGATGCGGGTTCCTTACCATTTTCGGTTAGATTCCGTTAGCTTCCGCGCGGCCGCTAACCGGATCAGAGGGCTGTACGCCTAGTGAATAGGGGCTGTACGCCTAGTGAATAGGGGCTGTACGCGTAGCCGCTACCCAAAAAAAATTGAATAAAAAGGATTTGCCTCAAATGGGATACCGTACCCCAAAGTAAATTACCCCCACACAAGAAAAACAAAAAAGAAACAACAACCAAAGAAAACCAGAATGCCCAAGGGAAACACACCACCCCAATCCCCAAACAAAAACCACAACCCCACACCACCACCAAGCGCACAGCGGGGGGTTGCGACCGCCAGCGCACCCCACACAGAACACGGGGCGAGGGGGCGGCGGAAGGCAAAAAACGAACACAGCAGGAAAGAAAACAAGGAAGAAAAGGAAATATGACTATTTTTAGTAGCAAGCAGAAGCGCCAACAGCTACGCAAAGACCCACTAATCACGAATTGAAACCGTCCGATGTATAAATCTACAGGAGAGATGGGGAGGCTTGCCCCGCTACCACCACTCCGCAAGAATCCGAAGAGCAGATGCGGGTTCTTACCATTTCGGTTAGTGCCCGTTACTTATCGGGTTCTTACGATTTTCGGTTAGTGCCCAATAGCTTCCGCGCGGCCGCTAACCCGATAGGGCTGTACGCCCAGTAGAGGGCTGTACGCCTACTGGAGGGGCTGTCGCCCGAGACAGGGGCTGTACGCGTAGTACTGCCTAAATTACCCTTCACCATTCACCAGTATGATGACTTCAATAATAATAAGGTACGCACGCGCAGCACCACAGACGTACAGCCCCTATTACTAGACGTACAGCCCCTATCTACTAGGCGACAGCCCCCTAATCCGGTTAGCGGCCGCGCGGAAGCAACGGAATCTAACCAAAAAAAGAACCCGCATCAGTCCTTCGAGTTCTTGCGGAGATGCTGGGAAGGGCAAGCCTCCCCCTTAGATTTATAACATCGGACGGTTCAATCGTCGATAGTAGGTCTTGGATAGCTGATTGGCTGGCTACCCCTCCTGCTACAAAAATACGCCCATCATACTAATTGCCACTACCTATCGGCCAGCGATCTCCTACATCTGAAACGTATTGAATATAGCCTCGTTACCCGCATGTAGCCGATTAACCACCTCGCTGTCCTCGTTAGCATCACCTCGCTGTCCTCGTTAGCACACCTCGCTGTCCTCCTCTTATAGCCTGTCCAGTCTGCCCACTCGCCGCCCTCCTCGTGTAATGTCTAGTCGTCGGGGGGCTGCTGCAGCGGTCGAAAGCTTGTAGGTAGAGGTAGATGTAGAGGTAGGTGTAGGTATGCGCCTGATCCGCCTATGGCCTCGGTACCAAAAACGCGTCTGCCCGTCCTCCTCCTCTTGCTGTTTCACCTGACCCGCCGTGATTGCCAGCTGTCGTTGTCGCTGCACGTGCTCAAATCGAGAGGGCTCGCGTTGGGTAGAGTCCTCGAAGGCTTCCTCGCGAGTCACTCACGGGAGGTGGAGCTAGGGCCATTGCTATTGAGCGAAGGATATGGGCGGGCGGTGGGGTGGGAGTTGGTTTTACTACCATAAGGTATCCTACTGTGAAGGCATTCGGCTCGAAGACACTAGATGCGGGTTCTTTACCATTTTCGGTTAGATTCCGTTAGCTTCCGCGCGGCCGCTAACCGGATTAGGGGGGCTGTACGCCTAGTAGATAGGGGCTGTACGCCTAGTAGATAGGGGCTGTACGCCTAGTGAGTAGGGGCTGTACGCGTAGCCGCTACCAATATTAAGTTACCAACAGGCTTAAATGGGCATGGACCTGAACATTTGTTCCCCCATAAGTATTTCCCCACCAAACTGGATTATCTTACTCCATATATCCGCCCAGCTCAGCATGTATAAGCCATAGTCGTCTGCGCGACTGCTACCAAAAATGCGAAAAGGCTTTCAGCCTACGCTCGGTAAGCTTTCAAAACCTTCTCCTGGAACCTGTTGACTGACTTTGGAAAATCAGAGCTACGGGCGTGAAGGCGTCCCGTCAGTATTGCCGATATCATCGTACCCACAGCTTTTCTCAAGTCTCAACCCGAGACGCTCCCATTCCTGCGACACCCATGCGTCCCTTTTGCATAGCTACATCTCAAACCTACAATGACTGAATCACCTTAAGACGTTACTCCCAGATGACCGGAGGAGAGGTGCCGCTGGCTGCCTTGCCCGACCAGCAGTCAGCACGACGCCTCGCAAGCGTCAGGCCCCCAAGAAGGAATTTGCAGCTTCCCGTGGTATCCTGAGCTACCATTCTGCTCTTTATCTGTAACGGATATACCGCCATCTTCTAGACCGTCCTTGATGTCTCTCCGGCTGCACAGATTTGACTTGCGTAAGGACTTCTGATATCGGCATCCCGGTACTCGAGGTGTCAAGACCCTTCTATGAAGCAAACTGGCCACAGAATTCAACGCACAGCGCGACGATGAGTTCGATAATCCTCCTCACGACGATTTGGTACCCGATGTTTGGCTGCGGCATGAGTTTGCGCAATTGGTCCAATAATAATGTCGAGGGAATTACGAGTCTTGCAGGCATTGACGTATTCATATACACCGAAGATCTCAAAAACCACTTCATGTTTTCCTTTCCCGATCTTTATTTAGCAGTTATCACCATCGAGCTCAAGAATAGCAAAACCTTAAAAACATTCTGCGGCACACACTATCCCTGTTGTGATAAACATGGTATTGTTTGGGAAAAGACGACAAAAAGGGGGCTTAACTGCTCAACGTGTATCAAGGTAGAGCAGGCGAAAGAGAAGTAGAAGATGAAGGAGCAAATCAAGGGAAAGCAAAGCAAGGCTACGTAAGTATTATTCTCAATCTCGCTTACATATTTTTTACGAGCAATTTGAGCGTGTTCCCAGAGTCTATGCTGACCATTTAGTGAAGCTGAGATTATAGTGAGCTTTGCTCATGTTTCGTAGAGCTGCGATAACGAAGAAGTTGCACTCTTGTTGCGTACAGAACACGACGATAGCGACGAGTGGAAAATGGGTTAAGATTTGCTATTCAACGTCGAATCTTTCCTTTTCTGACAACATGTCTTTGCTCTTCGATCAAACGTTCCATGTCTGGACATAGGAGATTTGCATACCGCATCTGGATGATGAGTATCCGCCCACGCAAGCTGAAGAGGACCTCAGTGATCATACTTATCGAGCTCTCTCAACACATCTGTCAGTAAGTTTCCTTTATCACATCTGTTGTTCTTCGCTAACCTGCTATGATGGGCTGTTCCCGTCCAACATCGGGACTCAAAAGAATTAAGATGACGATCTGAGAGACAATGAGGAGGAGATATCATTGAAAGGCAGTTCGGCTGAAAACACTTCGGGTTGTTTTCTAGTTTGATTACTAGATTCTAATCAAAGCTCTTTCTTCCTTTCTAACGCACTAACTTTAATTGACAACAGTCAGGCCAATGACGTGAATGCCCGCAGCAGCATTTGCACGTTCCAAAGTGCCATCCTGTTTGAGGCAAGTCGCCCTAGAAATCTACATCCCTATGATACCTAGCCGTTTTGGTGGCACCAAGGCTATTCTCAGCGGTGACACTCCCTTCAATTGAGACGTTCATGCTTTTGATGAGTTGCGTGAGACCTATTATCGTCGATAGCGAGCGTCCAGTCTCTTTCGACACTCCTTTCTCTTTGGCCACAGGGCTCTGGCTTAGAGCGTCAGTCTTACAAACCTCCACCTCGCACAGTAAATCGAGATTTTGTCGGCTCAATAGAGGATGTCTCACAATCGAAAATACGATTAGCGGTGCAGTGCGGTGTAGAGACAATGTTGCCGGCCTATACATTGAGCAATCTTGAAATTTGGTTGCAGGACTAACCATTTGGTAGACGAGAAGACCCCATTGCCGCTCATCCGCAAAGTACTCGCAACAGTTCTGGACAGATTCTTCTACGATCTCTGTGTTGTGTACGACATGCTACGACTCGATGGCCTCCGATCAAGGACTCCGACAGCGTCACAGCGATGACAAGCACGCGTAGGTAGATGTGAAGGCCGTCCGACAGAGTGCTGATGCAGCAATGACAAACACGGGTTACGGGGATGTTCTATCCCGGCGTCTATACAACGAGGAGGCGGGATTTAAAGACTAGGTCATGTGGCTCGGAGCTTGGTGGGGGCCCTGAGCGGAGGATTATCGATGCGCCAGTAAGCCTATGCCTCTACATAGGAGAATTGGGGCATTGGGGCACTATTTGTCCAATAAGAAACAGCTTTCAGGAAACACCATATCCATTCAGCATACTCTCCCCCCATACCATAAAACCGAAGCTCTGTGTGTATAGTATCGCGTCTCCGATGAGAGTGGCTACATACCCACTGACTACCTCCGCTTCTCGTGCTTGGCGATCTCCCTCTACAACTCCTCCAACCCCCTCTTCCGCTCAGGACCGACACTATAGTCAGTAACATTATGTATACGACCCCGAAAGTCGCTCACATCCTTGTCGCTAAGCAGTAGATAAGCGCGTATTAAATTCATGTGATAGATCTTGATCCCGTCGGGGCGGACTTCGCACCAGTGGACGTGGATCTTCGCCACATGTGTCGACCAGCTGATGCTGAAGGCAAATGAGCTGGTGTCAGCACCGAGGTCTTCTTGGTCGGTCTCCTTCGCCTCCGGGCCAAGCACGATAGTGTTGGGTGTATGAGTGGCGCTAACAGTAGCATCGAATGTAAGCTTTTCTCTAGTCCGCGAAGTCAAGCCATTCAAAGGTAGCCCGGGCATAAGGGGGGATCCTAAGATCTCTGGCATTGGCGAATTCACTATTTTAGCATCGTGGAAAAGGCCCTGAGCATGACGATATCGATTGGCAACGGAGGTTCAAAGAGAACATGATAGATTTATCACTGTAAAGCTCTTAGGTACCATGCTGGCGCGTCAGCTGCGTGATATTCCCTTCCCTACATGTCCGTATCTCGTACGATTCGTAGACTATCAAGCAAAGTCCACTTACGAATATCGCTTGGTCCGTCCTGATCTCTTCTACTTCCTTCTTCCTCGGTAGTCAGTAGACCAATTATACTGCCTCTTCTTGCGAGCGTGGTAACCGCTGTCGTGGTCATCATCGCTTTGAAAACTGGGCTTTCTCTTCCCACATTTTCTCCAATGTCCAGTCAAGTTGGTCGCCAAATTTCTCACAGCATCTTCTGAAGTCGACGTCGTCTCTAAGATCCTTTTCGAAACGGGATACTGTCTGCATAAGTGGCTTTCGAATTTCCTTGTCTTCTGCTGGCGTTGTCTCGAAGGTCCAGTGAATGGCTTTGACGAGGTCTGGTAGGTCTACCGGGATGTCTTTTGATTCCATATTTTGTAGTGTATCCACAAGAGCATACAGGGCGGCGGCTTTTAACATTGGGACATCAAACATCTCAGCGAATTCGTAAATTTTACAGTGTACTGAGATGGGATTATCTTCGATGAAATTGGCGGCATCCGATCCTTCCTCAGCCACATGACCATCCGCAATTTACCCATTGCCATACAGCCACTCTAGCATTGACTCAACAACAATGAATTCGTGAGCCGAGAAGTCGATTCTAGCCGTGGAAGGCTCCTAGATAAGTGTCAGGATTGCCACGTGAGCGTTTGCCTGCGGACGTTTGATCTACCTTAAAATATGGGCTGAAATGCTTATTGAGCACATCTGTCGCAGTACAAAGCGTCGACTTGTGTGCATAGTAGATGCGGTCCCCACAAACAATCTCCATGTCCGTGTGGGTGTGTTTCACTCGATCACTGCGGCTGTTAGCCTTGAAGCCGCATCTAGGATGTGAGATTGATGGAAAGCCTTACGAGTTAAGCTGGCAGTGCTGCTCTTCTTTTCTGGCGTCGACCAGCTTCTGTATCAACTGCGCAGACATAGCGAGGCTGAGGATGATATTTTGGGCTTGAATTTTCGTTGAAGTGAGGTTTCAATGTGGGCGGCTGAGGTTGATGTTTTGGGTTTGAATTTCCGATGAAGTGAGGCAATGTGGGCGATCACCATAGGGTAATTTGATTATCCGTCTGATTGTTCTTATTAGCTTGAGTTCGCCCTTTCGCGTGTAACTACCTAAGTCTTTATTGCGAAATAGGGGTCTTCAAGGAGTTGGAGGGCACAGATAGAAGGGTAAGGTCTTTTTGTCCCCCAAATCCCTTTGCCTCACTTTTTCAAGCTCAGAACCTGCCTGGTTGCGACAGATTCTGTGGCTGAAATGCTGACATCTTTGCAGTAGTCGGCCGGTCCTCTTCAACAATAACTGGCCCAAGCCTGGAACCATATGCAAAGTACAGCAATGTATCGTAGGTACTCACTAACCAGGAGACCAGAGCAACAAATATGCGAAGACGCTCCCTAACGTACCGCTGCCTTCGACCACCGTTGAGCCAGATGAGCAGAAAGGGACAGAAGAAGCCGGTCCAGAGGTCACGCTTCCGCTCTCAGAATTCAAAATAGCCTTTCGGATCACGCTTTGCATACCAGAGAAAATCAAATACGGGATTAAGAAGGGCATAAGGTTACACGACTGGATGGAGCTGAAAAGGAGGAACAGAGCCATTCGCAGACTCCGCCTTATGGCACGCCTTGGAAATTGATCTCATCAAGAATGTTATAGAGAAGTATGCTGCGCTTCGTAATTCCATTGGGGTGGAAGCTTCCAACGAACTTGGGCCTCAAAGCATAGGCGCCGGTGTCACAAACTCCTCGAATGTCGGAGCATCATCAAATAAGAAAATGTTTGTTGCGCAAAATACCCGTTTTCGGCTTGGAAATAGCTCTGTGCTAGTCTCGTGAATGGACAATAATTCCTCCTCGTACATGTCCGACTCCGCTTTCTCATGAACGCACAGTGCTACTCCTTCCGAGGCTTTGAAAGGGGTAGTCGGTTTTCCGAGTCCTCCTGGTAGTCCGAATCGCTACTGGGATCCTCGTCCGGAGTGGTATCCATTTCATTGACTCTAGGGCTGCGTCGGAAGGAGTTTGTATTATAGGGGGTGGAGGCGCGTTCATCCGTCCTCTTGAGGCAATCGGCGGCAATATGGCCTCGTTCGTGACAGTGGAAGCATGCATCAATCCTAGTGTCGCTGTCCCGTTGTTCGCTACTTGGTGAGGGACGTCGGACGAGGTATGAAGGTCTGGTGGCTGGGGAGGAGGGTTAGATCTGAATGATACACGCTTGGTAGGGCGTGATTCATTGGGGTCGCTGGTGGAGTCTCTCTCTTCGAGTTCGTGCATAGAACGATGCTCGTTATCGACTCGTACCAGGTAGTCTTTCACAGCACGTAACTCGGTGAACTGAGTTATCTAAGTAACCCAGGCGATTTCACTCCATCGTCTAGCATCCATAGTCTAGCAAAGGAGGATCCGGAAGCTTCTGAGACATCTTGCTTGAAACGGACGCAGTAGAAGATGTATCCTCACGCCTGTGAACGAAGGCAAATGATTTCCTCCTGGGACTCCTGTTCCTTCCTTCGTAGGGCCTCATATTGACTTCGAAGGTCGGCCTCCGTTGCCAACTGGTCATTGTAGTGAGTTGCTGCCTCAATACCGAGATCTCGTTGCTCCCGAAGCTGACTGAGAAATTCCAGCAGCTGGACAGGCTCTCTTCCGGCCCATTGCTGCAATTGTTCCACACTAGCGATGTCTTAGGGGGTGTTAACGTCGTCCTGGCCGAGGGGTGCTCCTCGCGCAGGAAGGGAGACGCGTCTGTCTCTGGTTTCTCGAAGAAGGGCTTCTAAGTAGGGCTGTAGCGCGGGGTAGGTCACCGGATCGGCCTTAGGTGTGACTGAGTTGCCCTCAGTACCCGCCTGGCCGCTGTCATTGCCTCGGGCCATGATGTGGAGGTATCAATGGCTCGGAGAGAGTTGCGGAGAAGATTTGAGCTGTAGGATTCCCCGGAGGATAGGGCAGGCTGGTTTCTTAAGCAACTGACGTACCCCGAAAATTGTGTAGTATTCTAATGCTATTCTTCAGAGGGAGGTAGTTCCGGAGTGATGGGTGATGAGGTTTTTCGTTACTGTCGGTTGTAACGTCGGGGAGCGCCCGCAAGCTCCTTCAGGATGTAATGGCGGTAGAAGTCTTCGCCTGGTGATTCTTTCTGTAGTTTCACTAGTTCCGTATGACTTGAGCCTTCTGGCAGCACTCCGTATGGCTTGAGACGTGCCGGTGTTTCGTGTACTGGTATCGTTCGGTGTCGGTGATACACACTCCCTCGCAGGTCCTTTTAGCTCGACTGCAGCACGAGCGCTATGACAGTAGTGAGTCTTAATATAGTCTTAGGATGGCTACCAGAACAAGTCTATAGTGGTGTGTAATTAGAATATTAAGATAACAGAAGAAAGAGATAAGGTAGCCAAAGTACAGAAAGTGGCTGCCAAGAACCTGTAGAGGTTATTCCCAATTAGGAAGGTAAGCCGGCCTGGTGTTTACATTACTTTAGGTATCCAGTCCCTCAGACGTGCCAAGATCGCTAATCCCCTTCGGGTTAGCCCGCTGATCTCTCGACCTTTATCCTGCTCTAAGTATCTAGTCTCAGTACTCAGACTCTATTAGAAGGGTTAGCGTAAGTAGGGCGGTGGAACCGGTCTTCTCTATAAAAATCTTTACCCACTCTAAAAAAAAAAAATTTTTTAAAAATTTTTTTAAAACCAATAGTAACTATTGAGTCAAATAGCAGGATTTTTTACGGGGTTTTAGCATAGATCATACCTGCTACCAAGAGAACGTTCGTTCAACTCTATTCGGAAGGGTTGGTGGTAGTGATAGGTCGGAAAAACCTTTTTCCGGGCCGAAAATTCGTCATACCCTTCCCTTAGAGGCCTTTTCTGAGACTAGCTCTATCACAGGGTAGTTTTCATGATGTAATTCAGGTGCGATTTTCAGCCAGACAGGTACTCCAATGGATGTCACACAAAAGACAGACCACGAGACTCCCACGAACTCCTTATGTCTCTGTTACGTTATGCAATAACTGCCAGTACCGTACAGATATCGCGGGAATAGTCTCGTGAGTATCCCCCCCCAGCAAAGCCCCCCGATGCTACTGTTCCCAATTCAGAACTAGCTTGTCTCCGCAGCATCTTCTCGATTGTCACGCGCCACATCTGGTCTTGGTTCTAATATCGACCGTGGCTCATCTTTCTTCCTTTGCGACTCCCAAGTATCCAGCTTCGTATTCCCGTCCTTCTGATGTGCTTTCCGAGTGGGGTAAATACAATCATTAGCTCTTTCCTGAGGCTGTCAGGACTGCCCACATCATAGGCCCCCAAGACCCAGCCAAGTTCTCCGCCAGTTCTGCATGTTTTGACGCCGTGCATATTGAAGCGCTGGATTTCAGACTGAGGAGCCTTCGGAAGGGAGGGGGAGGGACTCTATGTCGATAGCCACTGCGCCTCGGTGGTGATGCGGAATGCGAGTGGTTTCTTGGTAGTTGTTCTGGTATGGAGGCTCGAGGTCTGAAAATGATCATTGGCAGAAGTCTCAGGTCAGGGATTTTTCAGAGCGGCATCTGCGGCAGCTCAGCCTCTTAAATTTTAATTTTAGCTGGCAGTTCGATAGTATCTGTGGCTTCGTATGCTCTATGGGGCGAATGTCCATGATGTGGGAATGAATGGGGCCTGAGCCAATCCATACGAGAGCGTTGTTCAGGTATTGCTTCAGTTGTTGGTCGGTCGATAGCAGATGCAGTTTCAAGTCCAGAGCGGATACAGCACCAAATGTATGCAGGCATCTTCTGGATAAGACGTTCATGAACAAATTCTATTCATACTACGGTACGACACCATTCTGACGCATAGCGAGTTCCTGACACATCCGTTGTCTACCACAACATCCTCATCTCGGGTAAGCTTTCCATTATACAGAACATGCAGCTTACCCTTTTTGGAGAGAAGACGCTCCGTAAACCAATCGGTCATAGACAAGTCTTTTTCGTCCGGTTAATACTCAAGATTAATCTCCTTCCTCGCTCTTTCCCGTTACAAACTAATTTACGTAGCTTTTTGTACCATCATCCGTAATCGTCTCCTTGAACCACTCGTGCTCGAGAGCCTGCCGGGCGCTAATACGCTGCTTTGGATCAAGCATAAAGACACGCTGAAGAAGGTCGAGGAACTGCTTGTTGAACGCTGTATCTCCGAGAACGATCTCCTGTCGGCTATTTATTAGCATTTATCTCTGTAACGCGCGAAGAATTGCTTACGTGAAGGGGCTTTATGTGATCAAATTTGGGACCCAAAGTGAAGAATCTAGAATGAATTAGCATAGCTCGGTATATAGAAGAGATACACTACTCACGCTGCAGCTTCGTTGCGGTTATTCTTTCGATCGATACCTTGAAACTTCTGCGCCAATTTCGGCTCAATCGTGTCACTGCACACTCTCTCCATCATTGCGAGATGCTGGGGATCATTATCATCATGCGGTTGAAATAGAGCACCACCAACGGAAAGTTCGACGAGGATGCAGCCAATGCTCCAAATATCGCTTGGATAGCTCCATCCATTTTCGAGTATAATCTCCGGCGCGCGATATGGCCTTGTAGTTATGAGCGGGACGTGTTGTTCGTTCTCGAAAGTTGCCGACCCAAAATCAATAAGTCTGATCTCCATGTTGGGTTTTTGATATGAGTGATCGACGAGGAGAATGTTTTGCGGCTTTACATCGGTGTGTATTATATTAAGGTCGTGTAAGACTGGAGCGCAATATTAGTTGGACCGCAACCAAGGTAGGAAAGATGACATACACGCAACGCTGACAAATAGCTGCCGAGCAAAGCTCTGTATGTGACTGCTTGGGAAAGTCATAGATTTGTTATCGTTGAGAAAGTCGGAGAGGCTCTTGCCTAGAACATCGGTGACTATGCAGATGTGGTTGCAGAATTCGAAATAGTCACGTAGGTGGATGCATTTGTTCCGATTCTGTTCGTCGTTAAGGTACAAAGTCTGTAGCACCCGCAGTTCATCGCGGGCCTCATCCTGAACTCGAGTGATCTTGATTGCACACTTCAATTTTGTCTGCTTGTCAAAAGCTTCATGGACTTCGCCGGAGGTGCCCTTGCCCAGAGGTCTGTTGATAAAGTCTGCAAACAGTCACCACTCGGCCGTGCAATGGCAGTCCATTTCTAGAAAGGCACTCACATCTGTCACCTATGCGCCTATTCTCCTCCGTTACCATGTAATAGCCTTCAGCATCGTCGGTCTCCCCGTTCACAGTCGCAGTCTTTTGCAAAGTCAGCTTTCAGATTGCAATCTGTATAACAAAGGCCTTACATCTTTGATCGAACGCACATTGATATCTCCAGCCTTTACGTGGGGCTTCCGTGGCGGTATAGAGGAACTGTTGGCGTCTCCCACCACCTTAATCTTCTCTTCCTTCAACTTCTTCTTGAACTTCTTCCTGTTTTCCATCTTATCACGAATCGGTTGCTGAGTCACGCGTTTCCTCTTCTGCCCAACCGCACTATTCCCGTCGTGCGCACCACTGGTCCCATGAATCGAATGTGGCCCCAGTGATGTAGGTGCCGCAGTCTGTAGTGATGTGGTTCGATCCATCAAGATAGTGTTGGACTCAATGTTCTCATTCGAGTATGTGCGGGTATGGAAGAATGCCTGTTGGTCCCTTGCAGTATCGTGTGCAGCTGTCTGACTAGTCCTCTTCTTGTTGGCATGTTGTGAACCTCTCACTGTTGCTTGTGGCTGTTGCTGCTGAGGTCGCTCGTTCCCTTTCCAAGATGGCGGCTGTGGTGAGTCGTTACTTGTGATAGTGATCTCTTTCGGTGGTTCGTTCTTGTAGGACTCATGGCAATCAGTATGCCCTTCTTTTTTTCTCGACATCTGCGATGCTAATGTAGACTGTGAAACTGTCATGTTGCTAGACTGTGGCTGTCTTGAAGCTGAGGTATTGGAGGCCGGCGAAATAATTGCTGGTGCGCTGTTTGGAAAGTCGTAGGAAGGAGTGGTGATCGTAGTGAGGTTCATCTGATATCTTGGTGTTTTGCCGAAGTTAACCCGGCTTGATGCGAAAACAATACGCTGGACCTCCACTATGCTATCGCCCCAAGCCGGCTTGAGAGCCTGTGCCTTTTTCCATTCAGAGAACTGATCCACAACCTTAGCATCCTCGCTTGGAACGTCGATAGGAATGGAGCTTCGTGCAGGAGGTGCAGAAGGAGGTGCAGCGGGAGGTGTGGAAGCATACGCCTGAGGAAGCTGTGGAGTATATATCTGATATGCAGGCGGTCCATGTGGATATCCTTGAGGCGCCGGCGAATGGTATCTGTGCATCGACGAATAAGGAGGAGGTAGCTGATACTGCAGTTCTTCCTGACGCTCTTGTTCCTAACGTTCTCGTTCTTCACGGATCTGTTCTTGACGCTCGCGACGTGCGGTCGATCGCTGCACAGACGCAGACATTGAATCAGTCATTTGCAGTTGCAGCTGTTGCTTCTGAAAGGTCGCATATTCCTGCATGAAATCCTTCGACTCCTCACGATGTATTTTGGACTCCTCGTGATACAGCTTTGCCTCCTCCCTTTCCTGCTTCAGAAGCGACCTCCGCGGGTCAAAGATAACAGCGCCAGTTTTGGTCCAGAGCTTGTAAAGGCTTGAGGGAGGTCGATGAACTGATACATTCGATACGCCATTTGCGATGGCCTTGCTCCAGACAAGTTGATCATGATCCATATCATAGTGCTCGCCAGAGTAATCGACAAAGCACCAGCCATTCTGATTTTGAAGGCCGAAAGCGGCAGATTTTTCAAGCGTAGTAGGCCACTTCATTTCCCTATCCATTCGCAGACAGGCTGACGTTTCCAGTAGAGGGTCGTTGGTCTGATCCTCGAGCTCCAGTTCCTCTATTTCCGATGTGGATAGTTCCTGCGTCGCCAGTCTTGACTCATGTTCCTCACGACGATGACGTTTGGCCTCTTGTTCACCAAATTGAGCTACCTCGACCTCCCACTCCTCCTTTTCTTGCTATTTGTTAGCCCTAACTGGATCAAATGCTGCGGTCTGACGGCTCTGTGACTCCGCAAGGGCGTTTTACTGCATGAAATAACGGGCACGAGAGCCTGGACCTCCACCGCAATAAGCTGGTGCAGACGCTTTCTTACAGGCAGCATCAGTCTCGGCCTCTCCGGCGGCCTCTTTCGCTTTAGCAGAAGCTGTCTTTTGCCTCTCGGTGGGTCTAGCCGTAGGAGGCGTTGTTGCAGGAGGTGGACTGGCTGCGTCGATTGGGAGGCATTTCGAAACACCAAAGAATGTGCTAGGTGAGGTATACACGGATCCAAGCACTACGAGCAATGGAATTCAAGTATGGGAGACATGAATCATATGAGGCTATTCAGCGATACACAGATGGGTGACGAGCAAATTTCTCCGCGCCAAGTACCTTCACGCTAAAGTAATAGTCTCCGGACACAACGAAAAGTCTATTGATTGAGCTAGCATATATATGGACTAGTCTATGAACAAAGAATAACTGCAATTTACACTTACCTTAAAGTAGATAGCTACATAATACACACACGAATTGCACTCCTCGACTTGTCCCTAATTGTCCTATTTTCCATCTCCTTATATTCGGCCTTATAACGAACACAACGGTACTGGAGAGCCATACTCGTAGGCCGATCCAGCCACGCCCATAGTCGGCATATTTGGGCTGCTTCTCCACCTCCCTCAGTATATACGAGAATTCTGCGTGTACGAGAGTTCTGGTATACTCGATAACTTTGCTGATAGCGATACCGTCTTCAAGAGTATCAGAGAGTAAATCATTCAGGGATGAGTGCTGGCCCAGTTTACATTGCAGTTCGTGATATTTTTCAATTTCTACATTGATAAACATGAAGAGAAATTATGAAGAACACTACACAGCATCTTCCGTCTATACTGGAAAGGATAGTACGGGAGGCCGTTTAAGCTAGCCATGAATTATCAAGCTATGTCCGCTCCTTTCACGAGCGATAGAATCCCAGCTCCGGAATCTGTCATGTGGATGTTGCTGTGATGCAGCCATGGCCCCAGCTCTCCCGAACCCCCATCATCACCCTCAGTTATGATCAGTTGTGCCTCCAGCTCGCAAGACCAACGACAAAATAAGTCACACCCTCCCCCTTCTCCCTCCTCCTTCCTCCTCTTCCTCCTCCCCCTCTCATAACTCATACTCTATACATGGATAATCAAGAAGATCTTACCAGCCACCGAGACGACTGAAGAAGATGCAGGGACACATGAATGTTAGCATGCGGTCCCGTTGTCCATTGGTCATAGCTGTTTGAAGCTATTTCAGGGCCGTTATAATCATTCCTCCACCGTTCTTCTTCCACATTTCAACGACTCACCCCTCACCAAGCCATCTCCTCATCCTTTCAGCTAGTCACCAGCTCCTTCCTCCTCATTCCTCTTCGTGTTCAACATCATTCAGAGTCACTGTAGGCAGCATGGGCTGGCAAGAGGTGGTCCTGGAGCTGCATCATGGGCGCAATTCTCACCTCACCTCATCCCTGCACCATATCCTCCTGCTCGCGTGCTAAGATTTATCAAGAAGTCGTACAACGAGGTGTTTCTGACATGGTTCAGCCCTCTTACTACGCAATGTGCAGGGAGTACAGTCATAGAGCTTCATTCGTTTCTCTAAAAGAAAATCAGGAGGTCTCTGGTACAGAAGTTCTGCCAAATTTTCAGGAGCATACAAAAATGTCGCTCGAATGGCATCTTTATTGAATGAGGAATACACGTATTTGGTGATGGAATTCAAGCCTGACGTTCAATCCTAGTCCTTTGTCAGAGACTTCGCCACTTTCACTGCGTGTTCGATAATCGAGACTGGATCATCGTAAAGAGGCACCATTTCCGTAGGAAGCTTGTCCATGGACGATAAACCGGCTCGAGCTTGAGCTCTTGTATCGCAAGGCTGACTAGAAGCGAGATAAATTCTCGGTGGGAACGGATTCGGTAACGAGGCTGTCGAAAATTAATGAGCTCTGCCATTCAACTGAAGAGAAGGCGATCAACGTACAAACGAGAATGGTGCTTGAAAAGCTCGATTCCAGTCAGGACCCGTGACAGAAACATTAGAAACGAAAACCTGGCCATACTACCATCAGCTCATGAATAATTGGTTCAGCAGTTTTACGCTGGACGTGTAGCGTACATGATTGCGGCAATTGAGTTTGTAAAGGTGATGTGGTTAGGCGAAAACGTATTGTAAGCTAGATCGAGGACACTCGGCACAGTTCTAACGGACCAGGCATGATTTCCGCCCTGATATTGGCGATATTAGCCACAACTCGTGAAATGACTGATAAGACCCACCAGAGTATTGCGCGAGAAAGTTCCGGATGAAGATCATAGGCGAACATGGTCGTAAGGACGGGGTGCTGTGGCTGAAATTAGCATTGAGTGCACGTAGTGGGGAGTCAGCATACCTTGTGAACTCTCTAGATCTCGATACCCAATCTCTTACACCGGCTACGCGTCATCATCCTAGAACCAATTGGATAATGCGCCCTTTGACACATCGAAATCTGGGACTGACTGAAGGGTCGACTAAGGTCGTTGAGGCGGCGCTTAAAGACCTCGAGGTCGGTGAATGATTTCTTGAAGATGCGGCAGCCATTAGAGGAAAGCTGAAGGGTCATGGTGGCTTTGGGTATGCCACGAAGCCGAAAAAGGCTCTGAGCACCCTGAAGATCCATGAAGGTGGATTTATCATTGGTCTGGATTAGCGAGCGCGAATCTGGGCCGAGGACGATATTCAAGGTCTGAATATTGATTGTTTGAGCGACCTTCCACGATTCTGCGGTTGCTTTACCGGAATATTTAACTTGAATGTAGTGAGGTTGTCGAAGGGAGTGTGGCGAGCGGGTCTTGATGTATGCTGTCATGACATCCAAAGAATTAAACACAGTACTGATAATTTGGGAATTGCGATATGATTGCGAAGCAGTGAACGAGCGATAGTGTGCCATCTCATCGCGAATTTGTTTGCATGTCGCTGCTAAGTTTCGAGAGGATACAATGCGCTCTTTGTGATCGTCTGTGGTCTTTATTGCTGGACGTAGCGCACTCGAGGGACCAGGGGCATTGTACTCCTCGATGTCGCCTGTTCTTACGAACTCCCGGTAGATCTGATTCCTTAGTTCCTGCGGTATAGACAAGAGAGCCATGATAGACGAGGTTGTGATTCGGACTGGTAAAAACCAAATTGTAGGGAGTGAATGGATTCTGAAGTGAGTTTTGGACCACTTAGTCAGAAGTGCGGTAACCACTTTGCCTCAGTCCCTCAGACCTACCAAGATCGCTAAGCCCATTCGGGTTAGCTCGCCTCGCTAAGCCCCGGTTCCGCAGTAAGCAGAAGGCGCTAACCTGAAGGGGCTTAGCGATCTTGGCACGTTCTGAGGGACTGAGGCAATTAAGGGGGACGCCAACCCTGGCTACCAAGAAGCCGAGCAGCCTTGGAAAGTTACAAATATCGCGAATTTCCACTGCTATTGCCTAGAATCCTTTTCCATTGAATCCAATGTTCAATATCATCTGCTAATACGCGTGCAATTATGGCGAAACACGCAGAAGAGACCTCCGAGAAGAATAGCACTGGAAGCCTGCCGAGAAGCCTACTCTTCAAAGCCTGCCACAACAGCCTCCTCGAATGAGCCAACCTCCTCAAAAGCCACTCTCCCGCCTCCTGCCAAAACAGACTCAATAGAGAGTTCGGAAGACAGCTCAGAGGCGGATAGGCAGGGGTCGAGCTCAACTGAAGATGACGATGATGCCGAAGAATCAGACGGCTCCGATGCAGCCACCATCGCAGGGGCTGGAAAGGAGGAGGCTGGGGATTGGTTCGGAAAGATCACGACATGATGGACGACGATGGAAGTGGGGTTTAGTTGCAGTGTATTAGGGAGGGTTGCAACTGCTCTCGATCAGGAGATTCAATTCTGGTCATCATATGTGAAGCCCTCGCGATTGTGGACCATGCAGGATTCAAGATTACCGACCGGAACCGCCATCCTCTTCCCGTTTGTAGACATTCCAGGCCGCTGTAAATCATCCTCCAAAGCGTTATCGCCCCCTAGCAATGTCATTGAGGATCTCGAAAGACGACGGTATGTTCTCCCTGTAGGTCACTGCTTGGCTCCAAAGCACCTCCATCTGACACATGGCGCTCTCCGAGCCTTCCTTGCGAGGTTTGGATTGTACTCCTCGCGAATAGTGCGTCCGAGTCAAGCGTCATTCCGAGGAGGAGAAGCACTGACGTTGGCGTTCTAGGCGATTTGAAGGCTCTGTTGTGTTAGCTGAAGGTGCGAGCTGGTAACGTTGCCAGAAGACCTCGAAGGTAGAGCATTTGTATGATCATGGCAGGCGGGAGTTTGAGAGATGCTGGCGTAAGACGGCCCTGCGGCAGACGATCTAGCCTCCGCGTCCTCACGTTTCGTTGATGAAGGTTTCGACCACTGTGGTACTCAAATCAGTGGGAGGGATATTGTTGGTAGCGTAATATTACATGAAGTTGCTTAGCTCCTGAAGCTCCCTCCAAGTCTCTGTAGGGTCCCCACTGGATCCGACGCTGGTGGTGGGTATCTTCCCTCTTCTTGGATGATATTTTGTTGGAGGTGGTAAACGATGTAGTAGATATTTTGGTTGGAAGTGTCGTAGTTTGTATTTTGGGAGTCCTGGTTGGTGTTGGGGTGATGTATTGGAGGTCTGGTTAACTTTCTTTTTTAGTGATTGTTTTTGGGTAGGTTTCGCAATGTTGGTGTCTGGTATCCATGGCGATGCCTGAGTGAGATCTTGTTTGGAGCTCAGCATCATTCTGAATCCCAACTAGACTGCCAGCTCCCGATTGTATAACCTCATAGATTCTGTGACCTGGATACTGGGGTTTGATGGTATACTTGTTCAACGAAATGAAGTTATGCACCACTCTCAAGTCATCAGATCCTTTCTTCTTTGGCGGAAACTGACTCCTAGCACCCCAATCGCTAGCAGCGCTGGTTATGATGCCTGCTTCCTCCATTTCTGGGAAGATTCTAGCAGCAAATTCCCTTTCCTTAGGGGTGTATCGCTTGATAGAGTGATAGACCGGTCTGGCATTATCAGTGAGGTCGATCGAGTGATGCACAAGATCAGTAGGTTTGATGTCTCTCATCGTCTTAGCAAAGCAATCTCTCTAGGTGTACATGAGCCTCTTGGCAGCATCCTTCCGTTCCAGGGTATCTGCTACTGCACCAATGGTGATCTCACTCTCCGCAAACCATTTGTCCACTTCAACTTGGCTAGCATCACTCATTTCACGCAATTGAGGTCTTCGTTTAGTCGGAAATCCATGCATGGTCCTTAAGGACATTGGTTTACTTTCGCAAATTGCTGCATCCATGCTATACTGACGCAATTCCTTTCCCGAACTCCAAGCAGGCACCATGGCAGGAACCTTGAGACGCCCTCGGTCTAGCAAAGCATCGAACGGTCCTTCTCCTCGGCACGAGCCTGTAGGATCCTTGGATGCAGCTGCTGTCTTGCTAGACTCTGATTGTGTTCCACCAGGTTGGAGTTCACGCCAGTACACCCCCTGGTGGTTACTGACGCTCGGCCTTAGTCATACCCGTCCAACTCATCTGCCAGCCGAGTAATCTCATCCTCAGCCAAAGCGGTCCTCCATTCATCGACCGAGGGTTCATCAACGAGCTCAACATTAAGAGACTCTGCTTCAGTTCCCTGCACAACCCGCTTGACACCATCCTTGCTCCGAATGGTAAGAGTGTTTTCTCCATGGTCCTCGATCGCACGGACACGTCTCATCCAGCGCTTTGAGAGAAGAATGTCGTAGATATCACCCATGCCCAGAATGAAAGCTCGAATCACTGCTACAACTCCTGCGACATTGACAGGAGCCCATACATCCTGCTTGACCTGTGCTAGTCGATCATCAGCTAGCTGGAGTGTCCACTCATCATTAGATTTGCAAGTCGAGAAGTTCAACCAGCTTGGGGTTGATAAGTTCCGCCACCGCTCCCGTATCTGCTAAGGTCTTCTTTATAAGCGTCACTCCAACCCATGACATGACGTACAGGCACACAACTTCCTCTTCCTCATGAGCTTCAGTTTTCACAGCAGGAGCCTTGTCTTCTTTCGCCGACATCAGAGCTGCTACTGTGGTGAGTTTCCTTCCCCGCCGAGAAGGTTTGGAAGACGCCATCGCTCGTGCTAGCTGCGCTCTGATCTGGGGTGAGCGATCTAGCAGCTGCCAGATTGGCAATGTGACTGGGGCGTTAAGGAATTGGGAGACTTGGAAGCGTTCTCTGTCCTTTGCTATGTTGATGGCAACCGTCTCTTGAGGTCCATCGTGCTGAGGCTCCGAAGACGAGAGGGGTTGAGCCTCGTAAGTCTCTACCATGGCTCGTTGACGATTCAACTTACGCTGAGGTTCCAATGACGGTGGTAGTGATGGCATCGGAGGGTCAATGAATCGCACCCCTGGAGGACGCTGAGCATTATTCTGAGGTCTGCTAGGCACTCGGGGCTGATGTGGCAACTGTTGATCCTGAACTTCTTCCACGGTCGGCTGAGGTCTCATAGCGGGTGGCAAGGGGAGTTTCATTCGACTGACAGGCCCTGCTTGATCATCAACCAAGGTAGAGGGCGTTGCTTCTGGCGCTTGACGATCCTCCACCTCTACTTCATCGGTGACATCTTCCACTCGATTGAATTGTCCTCGTAGCTCAGGAGGACCCGACATTACACGCTCAGCCACTTTCCTAGCAGCTCGGCGAGGTTGTTGCCTATCAGCTTTGGCAGGTTGCTTCTGTACTCGATTCGCTGAGGCAGCCACACCATCGTGGTAAGCTTGATTCTCCTTGTCGTCGTCTACATCCTCGAATCTGACCTTCGGTCTGGATGCTGTGGCTGCTACTGCTCGCTCGGGATAATCATCCAATAATTATCCACGCCGTAAGATAGCTGGAGTCATGGGTAAGTGTGCTAAGGTCCTCCCGGTGTTACCCGAAAATTCATGGAGAGGACCTTCCGCTCTTTGGGACAGATGTTCTTGAAAGCGTTGGGCCACTGCAGCAGCTGGTGCCTGTTGTGGTAACGGAGGTGCTTTGCTAGGAGCATTCATCTCTTCGACCTTCGCTCTGTTGATACCTTTCTGCTTGAAGTTCACTTGTGGCTCCGGGCAGTTCGTGAAAAAATGGCCAGGTGCTAGACAGTTGTGGGAGATCACATCAGAGATCCCCGATCTTGGGTAGCTCCGGTACCCACCCTGATCCTGTTGAGCTGGTTTTCGGTACCCTCCTAATTGCTGTGGCGGAGGTGGCAACGGCTGCACGTATTGGTTCACGACTGGTTGCTGCTTCTGGGTGGCTCGGAGGCTCCTGAAGAACTCTAGCAACTCCGCATTGACCTCACCCTGTGAAACATCAGGCTTGCTAGAACTGGCAACGGTTCTTTCCACATCGAAGGGACTGGCTCGACCGATTCTGCTGTATGCCTTGATGACAGCAGCTTTGGCAAGCGGGAAGGTGATCTTGGTCTCCGATGCTAGGTACAACTGCACCATATCCAACTTGCTATCATCAGCAATGCCTGCTACAAACTGATTGCCCATGTAGTCCTTGAGAGGTTCGGGGCATTTGCGGTACAAGTGCTCTGCTTCAGCGACGTATTGTGCAATGGGCTTCCGGCCTTGCTTGAGGTTGGACAAAACGTTGAAGTACTTATTGGGATCTTGCTCAGCTTTTGCCTCGAGCTTGTATTCGATCTCGAAAGCTTTGGATAGCGACACCCAGTCACCCCGAGTAGCGGCATCCAATCGTTGGTACCAACTCATGGCATCATCCTTCAGGCGAGCTCGGAACACTAGACGCTTCACCATCGATGCTTTAGCAGCTTCCTTGTACTTTTCTTCCACCACGAAATTGATGGTCTCAAGATGTTCAACTGGATCTTCCGTAGCCATCCTTCTTCCCATAGAACCAGGATACACTCTCGATGATTCCGTCCATCTTGGGAGCAGGGATAGCGTGAGGAAGGGAGGGAGGTAAAGGTGTGATAGGTTGGGAAGTGGCGATAGGTTCCGATCTCAAAGGTCTTGGAGTAGACCCTGGTGACGTCTCTGGGAGGTCACTTGCTAGGGTAGCAGAGTGTTCACTTGCTAGGGTAGCCGAGTGTCTTGGTGAGGATGGGGTGTTTGCTGGTGACGTCTCTGATGACGAAGAGGAGTTCTCCACCGAGCTGGTAACGAAAGCTGGGCCTGGAGTAGCAAAGAGAGGGGAGGTAACGCTTTTGACCGGGGAACGTGATCTGCTAGCCTGCGTGCTTCTCTGATAAGAAGGCATTGTCAAAGGCCGTCGTGACATACGGAAAGGCGGTCTGGTACGAAGAGATTTCAGTAGAATTGGCTGAGCTCGGTATCTATAAGTTCCAACCACAAGGTATCGTCGATGTCCAGTGGACTTGCTTGGAGTCAGAGAATCGTGGTAGCCACTTGGCTAAACCACTGCTGACGACACAACTTGTCCTCCCTGAGGGATCTGGATAGGTGCTTCTGCTTCACAAAGGTATGTACGATGATTTGATCTATTACACGATGGTAATCCACAAGAGCCCCGCCTTTGGCTCCACATGAAAGAGGTGATTCTCGTGGTGTGTAAAGGATGATCATGTTCTTGCTACGAGATTGCTATCCATGTGGCCACGCTATCGGCCTGCAAAACCGTAAGTGGGAGCGCCAAACTAGCGGCCTGCCCCGCCATTTCTTGCTGGAACGACCGCCCAAGGCACGCAGGAGGTATTTCGCATTACATAGGTATAGAATCACAGTCAGGTAGCCGTAACAGTAGCCACTATAACCATCACGCCACCTTTCGAAAATTTGGCAGAACCTCTGTACCGGGGCTCTCTTGAAAAGAAATTGGTGACAGAGCTACATTGCGTACGTGGAGGGCTGAACCGTGCCAGGAAATCTTAGCACGCGAGTAGCAGGGAGTGGTGCAGTGGTGAGGTGAGGTGATTTGCGCCCGTGTGATTTGTGCCCAATGTCCATGCCGTAGCTTCAGCACCACCTCTTGCCAGCACATGCTGCTTGTAATGACTCTGAATGATGCTGGATAGGAGGAGGAAGGAGCCGATGATTAGGTAATGAATTATAAACCGTAGAGGTGACGAGGTAGCTAGGTAGGTGAAGGGCGGTTAGTGGAAATGTGAACGTAGGAACGGTGGAAAAAACTCAGGCCTCAACTAAAAGTATCTTCGGACAGTCCCCCTCCGACAGTCCCCGGTCCACACTAATGCAGCCTCCCGCGCACGATCTACCCATCAAGTTTTTAACCCTCGGGCTATCTAATTAAGATAAGAAGCTAGAGTACGTTAACTCTATATAATATTATTAATATGTGCTGGAGCCTGGAGCGCGGGCTTCCCAGTGGTGGAAAGCTTGCCGAGTTTTGCGCCATCTTAAATCCGATAAATTCGACATACGGTAGATAGCTACTAATCGTATGAGGATACACGCTACACCTATTACTTAATTCAATAATCTACTACCTAGGTATTCGAATCTATTATAATCACTATATAATAGCATGGCACATGTCGTATTGTCTATGGATCTGGACAGATAGGGGAGCCTCTCTGCAACTGCATGCCGAATTACAACAAAGCCTTTACCCTCCTTTATACGTGACGCATAGCTCCAAGTTCTTGCAGTGTTACCCCATTTCCTGCACTACTCCTTTTAGCGCAGCTCAATCAGCTGCTCTCCTCTCTTTGGATACCGATAGCTGTAGATAACTCATAGATGGATTGTGCGGCAAAGACTGCTAGAGCCGAGAGTCCTTTGAAGACTTCGAAAGAAAAGACGTGCAGGTCTCTAAAGAAGCAAAGTAATAGATTCTGTGATTTGGATGCCTGGACACAGCGAGAATACTCTAAAAGCACGATTCTCCATTCTATATTCTTGGCGGTGGCGGAGAAACGATTCTCCGTGAAGCTGTAATTAGGTTGTTGCGGGATGAAGGAATATGTAAACAACGGCTTTACATCAACTTCGCTCTCCCAAGGCCTTCATGGTTTATTTCTCACTTGCATCCTCGGTCTTCTACTTACTTCAACACCCATGAGTGAGCGCAATTGTCCAACCATTGCCGCCTGGCTATCTGAGGTACCTGACGTTTCTCAAACCCCAATCACCCCAACCAACCAACGCAAGAGACTTGATGACCTTTCTGGCCCTCCACAAACTTGTGGTCCTCTCACTGATCATGCCATTGCTGAAATATCACCCAACATGATCAGAACGCCTTCCTCATCGGACTCGAAGGGACGCAACAAGAAATTTAAAGTGAGCGTTCTGGACTCACTCTGTTACTACGCTGACGCGACTCTCTCCGCAAGGCTTTTTCGACCCCGCAAACGGGCGCCAGCAAGCTCTCATACGAAGCTGTCTCGCGCTCTATCACCGACACTTCCTCCTCCTCCGATATCAAGCAAACAATCAACGAAAGCAGCGTACGCGCTGCTTCAGCAGAGCAAGGAATGTTTTTCGATCACGAAACTGCCTATGGAAAGTATCCAGACCTTCAAGCCCGCGTAGATGAGCTCGTTTTTGGAAACAGGGACTCAAAGATGCGCGACGAGTCGGTTAAGAAGATCCATGCTTGGAGGGCGGAGAATGCGACCAAGGATAAGAAGACATATTTCGCTGGATTAATCCCACAGCTTCTTAAATCTGCGAGAAAAGTGGCCACCAAAAAGCGCACTTTCGCAGAAGAGATCGTTTCTCAAGCCCAAGCGTTCACAGATGACGGTCTCGACCGACGCGAAGACTGTCTCTTCGTTAAGAATATTATGCCTCTCCGCACGGAATATGCAGAAGCCGCTCAGCAAGGAGTCACCACTCCGAGACCTGACTTCGTCTATGGACTCAAACGCTCGCGCCACCCCTCTCTCGTTGGACCGCCCCTAGACATTGAAGCGAAAAATCTAATAGGTGTCGCGCCGGAGATACGACATCCCTTCTTTTCGATAGACAACAAAGGCTCTCAGCACAGTATTGAAGCCGCCGAGAATCAGTCCATGCGGTCTGGAGCTACGATGGTCGCAGCGAATAGGGCCCTTAAACGCAAGGCAAAACGTAACCTCGAGCTTATTCGGCCCAAAGATGATACTGCGGACACTAGTACTGTTGTTACCGACACTGCCATCGTCAACGAGGCTACTGCGAGCGATACTTCGTTTATCGCTGCGGACGGTACAGTTGACACCATCCCACCAGCCCCGCAGGCGAACGTGATAAAACAAGAGAATCTCGGTGCCGATTTTGATTCCTTCACATTCACCTGCAGCTGGGTCCCACAAATGGCTAACATTCACGTTCACTGGTACGAACGCCGGCCCAACGAAACCCACATCTATCATATGAACCTTGTCCGTGGCTATTTGATGTCTGATAAAGGTCATCTGACGGAATTTCGCAAAGATATATAATATGTCCTGGATTGGGGTATCGCAATTAAGCGGAAGACGATGTTGGAGGAACTGGAGAAGAAGATCGCCGAGCACGGAGGTCGTTAGTGGGAAGGCGGGCTCTGCTGAGTCGAGATATTGCCCGGTCGTTGCATAGGCTCTAGCTTATAAAGACATAATCAGGGGCAATAAAGCATCGGTTGGTATCTGCTCTGCAGATACAGCATAGAAAGGTTCATAGGAAATTGCATGTCATCATGACCCTTTCGCCGACTTGTGCAGAGACACCTCTAATACTCCACCTCACACTTCAGCTTTACTCTGCACCTAAGAATATCTATATGTATTGCCTACGATACTCAGAAGTACGCCACTTTTTATGCCTTTCCATACTACAATTTCTAACTGAGCCAATCACAGCAACGCCTCCCGAGATCATGGCCGCGATAAACTCATGGCTTGGTATCGAGCCTCTGAGCTCGAGATTAGCGCTGCAGGGCTTGGTCAGACACAACACTGTTCTGCTGTTTTCTAACTAGAGAGAGCTCTGAGCATGTAAGATAGCTAAACACTCTACATACTATCAATGTAAGCACCTTAGCACCTGCTGAATATAATACTATTACCGCGTTTGATGCTCTGGGTGGATTCTTAATGCTTTTCAATCGTAATTCAAAAGAGAAGAAGAGAGTTAGACTAATGAGATATCACATTATACACCCTCCGCTGTCTGTATTTGTAAATCTTCCTGCTCCCTCAACAGAAGACGATATTGAGGATGCCGAAACAGCCAAGAATGACAATGGAAGACTCAAATCTTCAAATCAATCGACAAAATCCTGCTCTTGTATCTACGTCCTCACTTTATCATCAACTCTTCACCTCAACTCTTCTCAGCCTCAATCTTGAAACCTCTACAAATACTACACTCTACAACGTCGGCCGCGGAGCAAGGTACTGCAGGATAACAGACAAAGACATTATCCCGCAAGAATGTTCCCATATCCCAGTACGTTTGAAAGTCTCACTTACGCAAGCCTAACTCGTATCTCTTGTACCTCTTGCATACAACGAACATTAATCGCCTAGTATCTCATCCTGCACTGGTCGCGTTGCCCAACAGTCTTACCACCGCGTGGATGCCTCCTACGTTCGACGGCGTTACACTGTTCGACTTGTTCAATCAAGACACGCCACAAACCCGCATCATGCAAGAGATGTATGGTCCTAGCACAAAGAGCGATGAACTGTACGAATCGTCCTCAGCATATGTAATACAGCCGAAATGGGGAAATCCTTTTCCGACACTCAGCGGCATCCTGGGTACCGACACGGTTTGCTTAGCTATTGCTGGCCGGCAGGATGAGGTCAATGCTGTTCGGCACTCTGAATATGCATTCATCTCTTCGCGTTGGGATGATCTTACTTTGCAGCGACCTGGGCGTATACTGACACGCTATGGAGCAGAAATGGTGGCCACAAAGAACATATGCCCAAGACACACCTCGGAAATTTCGAGCCGCGCGGCACATTTCTGTCCCACCTCCATATCGACCCTGGAGAATGATGTCGGAGAGCTCGGAGGTCCAGCTGCAGCCTCAATCCCAATAAATCCTTCCGATATAGGAAAACGTAAGGTCAGCCATATCGTATCCCATCGTCTGGCGGCAACCTGTACCGGAGAACGATTAGGCCGACCCGCCGGATTAGTAAGGCCCTCCCATAGTAATTTGGCAGCCCTCCTTACCTGTTGCACTCTTCTTCTCCATACCTCGCTGTCGCCCACCAATTTTTTTGAAGCTATCCACAACTCCGCCCGCCCCGCCTACTACTCCGCCCCGCCCACTATGACCTCTCAAGAACGCGTCGTTCGCCAGCCCCCGCAATACGGGGGCTTCGAGGATACTCAGGAGGAGCTGGATTGGTACGGTAGCAACCCTGAAGGCATTGATCGGGATCGTCCTCTGCCAGAGGTTCTCTCGGAAGACGATATGGCCCTGCTGCAGGAGAAGGATGAGAGTGACCCCAGTGATGCTGAGTGGAGTCGCGGCACGTACTCTGACGCGTCTAGATCGCCGTCGCCACCATTCAACACCCTCCCTATCTTCTACCACCCCCCTATCAAGCGGAAGGCCTCTGTCAGCCTTGATAAGCAGAAAGAGCCGCGAAAGGGGACCAAACGCAGCAAACTCGCGCCTATGATACCCTCGGAGGTCGCGTCAAGATATCTACGATGAACCAGACGGCCCCAGTAAGCATATGCTGGATGTTCGCGAGGTGCTCGAAGAGATCAAGACGAAATTCTACGATTTGGAGGCCGGTACGGTGGATTGGGAGGACGATGTAAGGGAGCGTATTTCCGCCCAGTGGGTGGCGATGTTACGCCAAATGACCGGGCCTTTTCGTTAATAAGGGGTTTAAGAGGCCTTGAAGGAGCTCGCCGGCGATAGGTATAATAGCCCGGCTAGAGGCGCCAGCGAGGCGGAGTGGGGAGGATTAGACTAGACTACATAGGCAACACCACCGATAAAGTCCTCTTCTCTATAAAAATCCCCAGCTCCGGTGGCGGCGAGTCTCCTTTCCGCCCTGTATGCCTCGGGAAGGCGGAGAGCCTCCATTGTACGAATAGCCTCATCGGTGACAGCGAGATCTAGCGACGGTGTGATAGTGACAGCGAGGTTGCTACGAGGCCGCGCCTTATTTTGGTGTGACCCCCATACAAACCTGGCGCGGCCTTGTAATCCCGCTACTGGTATTTTTCTTAGCATGGGCTGAGGTTTAAAAGCATCCCGACTTGTGGGTAAAATGTCTTGGCACCCACCACCAAAAATTTATTTACATGGTATGGCCTCCAAATACTTCTTCCAACAAGCAATATGATTACATATCGCTATTCCACATAGCTTACAGCCATATATACCTCTTGGGGTCTGCTGAGGCCGTTTTCTTTGGCCCTTATCTGGTATTCTGACGGTGTTAATAGATAATTCCAATAGTGGCTTCCTGATCTTTGACCATGGCTGTGGGGGACGTCCTTTTAGGACTGTCGTAGGCTTTGGATCCTTTTTCACGTGATCAAGATTATTTGACATCTTATTTCGAGGCATTTTTGTTGGTTTTCTAGGCTATTTGGCTTTCATCCGATGTCTGGTAGACGCGTTGTTTTGGTGGTTCGTGTGGTCAGGCCGGTAGTGCTGAACCCCTGAATTTTGGGTGCTTCCAAACCTCAGCCAACGCTAGTGTACAGTACCGGAGAGCCACTAGGCCGACCCAGCCACATTCCCCTGATTAGTAAGAGATTGCAGTAGTAAATAGGGGACACGTCCTGGCTGGTCTTACCGTCTTCCCCATACCTCGCTGTCACCACCCTCTACCCTCTCACCCCTCCCACACCTCGCTATCGTTAAATTTCGCGTATACCATTCCCGATAGCCTCAATATCGTACCCCCGCCTCGTGCGCCCTTTGAGGATACCCAGGAGGAGCTCGATTGGTATGATAGCAACCTCGAGGGCGTTGATCGAGACTGCACCCCGGAAGCAGAGTACTCGAACGAATTTTTGCCACTTAAGGAAGAAGATAGTGGCTCCAGCGATGGCGAATGGAGCAGGCCCAACTATTCTGACGCGTCCAGGTCACCGTCGCCCCCCTCGAAGCCCTCTAGCTCCCCCTCCTCCCACAAACGCAAGGCGTCTACCTCCCTAAACGAACGGAAAGAACACTCCCGAAAGGGTACAAGGGTAGCAAGCCCGCCTCAGTAATACCCCCCGAAGCTGACGTCAACAATGCTGAAGCTACCCCCTTATACCCCAGAGACGCGTCAAGCTGCTTTCTCGTTAGGCACATCTATTTGCTAGACAGTTAAAGAATTCCCCAATAAAACTCCCAATGGAACCCCTCTATAGCGACAGCCAGCGAGGTATCCCTGAACCCCCCATAGTAGACTACCAACTCCGCTACATCCCTCATACAAATTCCGCCCTAAGCGGCAGCAAGGCCTGCGAGCCTCGATGGCTATCTAGAAGCCTTCTCCACCTCATAAGAGGCGACAGCGAGTTCTTTCGAAACCTCCATAGTAGGCCGCCAACTCCGCTACATCCCCCATACAAATTCCGCCCTGACAGATAGCAATACAGGCGGACTGCGATGGCTAGCCTAAAAGCCTTCCCCGCCCTATTCCCCGCCCCATTACAAGTAACAGCGAGGTCGCTGACGACGACAACGATGTCTCGGCGACGTCGCGCCTTATTTTGCTGTGGCGCCCATACAAATATGGCGCAGCCACCCTGAAACTATGCTAACGGTATTTTATTTAGCATTGGCTGAGATAGAAGCACCCCTGAATTTTACCCCCTGCCAGACGATGGGATAGAGTCAGAAGCCACGAATTCCATAACAGCTCCAACTCACCTGGAACTCACCTTCCACCTTCGATCTACCACCTTCCATTTCAACACAACATCATCACCATGTCTCCTAAGTCAACCCCACGAGACCCAGTCAAGGCACTCAGTGGAAAACTAGGAGGGCTGTCAAAGGAGATCAATAAGCACAAAGCAACGGCACGCCGGTACCACAGCTGCTACAAGCAACCTACGATGGAATGACCAAGGAGAGTGCAGAGCGCAAGCTCGCAAGCACGGCCGAGAAAAAGGCGAGTCAATCTGCTACTACCATGGGACGGGTGAAGTCTAGTTCCAAAGATAGCAGTAGCAGGATGAGTAGCACCAAACAAGAGGATCTCGATTTCGACGACTCTGATGCGGAAACGCTCCAGTCCGATTTCGGCGGAGCTGGATCAGAGACCCAGATCAAGGAGGAAAGCTTGATGGATCTCGACGACTTGAGCATGGGCGACTTTTCCGACAATTCTAGTAAACCTGCCACCGCTGGGTTCAATGGAGCGGATAGCAAGACTGCTAGCAGGCACCCTACGGAGGGAGCGGATAGCAAGACTGCTAGCAAGCAGTATACGGAGGAATCTGGTAGCTCTCGCAAGCGGGGTAGCAACCCTAGCTCCCAAACTGAATCAAAAGAGCGCAAACGACCAAAATCCACTCAAGGTGGCTTCAAAGGCATCGCTACTGACGGAGGGATCTTAAGCTTCGCTCCAGGCGACAGACAACCTTCCTATGTTCCCCGTACGTTGGTTGCACCATCCTCTTCGAAACAAGCAATGATTGTTCTACCTGTGGTGATTCAGCTTGACGGGGAGACAATCCAGCTTGAGGTGAAGAGTAATCCTGGCGAAGGTGACAAGTGTTTCTGGACGGAGCTGAACGGAAGGGTCAAGCAACTGGAGACAGTGCTAGCAGAACCCCATTTTGGTGCTATCAGCCAGGAGGAGTTGGATCAACTTCGAGTCGGTAGCAGCCTGCTACCAAAGTTGCTAGGACAGGATGGACGTCTGCAGTATGAGGTACTGGCCAAAGGTGATCGTGTTAACAAGCAGGATTATAAGAAGTTCATTGAGGTCATCTCTAGCAATGCGGACAGGATGAAGGCACGTTACCAATACGGTAAAAACGAGGCGACATAACAGAATCCCATCACGAAACAGCACGTAGCAAAAGCCTTGGAAGCAGGATTGCGAGGCAAGGTGCAGGTAACCACGGAGGAACATGGCCAGGTTCTTCGAGCCCAAAATGCCTTCAATACCTCTACGTTCGGAGCAATTCGACGAGAATTGCTCACCTATGGATTCACTTTGAGCAACCTAGCAGATGCCGCGAAGGTACAGCGTCAAGAACTATGTGGCATCGCTACATACATTCTCGGATACATCAAACGCCATCAGCAGAAGCCTAGCAAACCCCGATCCTCTCGACTTGGAGCCTCCTGTCCTTGCGCCTAAGACATATCTACCTCGAGCATTTATCACCTACATTGGAGCGCATTCCTGCAGCTGTCAACAATGCGACCCCGAATACCAACAGGATCTTCTTGATACTGCCAGAAATCGAGCAGCCGAACAGTATGCCAAGGACTTGGAGGACGAAGTCATCACGAACATGAGAGGTGATGTGATCCAACAGCATTGGGATGAGATCAACGCCGAAGCAGGAACTTCTGCTAGAGATATGATGCGTGAGCAGATTCTCCGGGAAGAGCTCGACCGGTACAAAGAAGGCTTGCGCAAGGAGTACCAAGAGGAGCTTCGAGCTACGATGCGCAAGGAGATCGAAGAGGAGGTGAGACGGGAGTTCAATGCGAAGGTGGCGAGTCTTCAGCTTCTATGAAGCTCTGGTTCGATCTGCTAGGGATTCAGGACTGGGTCGGGGGAGGCACATTTGGCACAAATTTTACGACTTCATGACTTACGCTGTTTCTCTTTGCTTCAAGAAGAGCTTTTCTGCAGGCTGCTCTGCGCTCAGGCTGGACGAAAAGTTGCTAGGACGGTTGCTAGCATGGTTGCTACGGTGGAGTGTTATGGTCTTGGTTGCTACTACTCTTATGACCATAAGGCTTCCTATCTGGTTGGTCTCGTTGCTAGGGCTTGTTGTTACGGGGGATGGCTATGATGATGAACTTACGACAGCAGCATTTCGTCTTGCATTTCGTCTTGCATGGTAGCAAGACATTGAAAAGGGGGTGCTTGTGGGGGAGGCTCCTGCCTCTTCGAAAGAAAAAGGCTCTTGCTAGGCCGTTTATAGCCACATAGATAGCAACCTCGTAGCAAGAATATGATCATCCTTTACACGCCACGAGAATCACCTCTTTCAACGCCAATAGCATTATCTACTCTCAGGGAGTCTGGGCAAATGAACATCTTGTTGAGAGCTGATGAATCGTCGACACCTGTTTAGAATGTTTCAGTCTGAAGAATCAAGACGGCTAATCAGCGAGGGTTCTCCATAGGCCCTTAATATAGGTTGACCCTATGGAACGTAGCCCAACACAAAGATTATATAACCAAGTCCAAGATTTTGCTGATATCTCCACTGTATTGTTCCAGCGCCGTCATCAAGGACCAAGGGCATAACGTTTCAAAGTGTATGAAAGACTTCTATGGCTCCTTCGCGGTTTTATTGACTAGCAAATAATGGATCGCTATGACCATGACGTGGTGGTCTTGTTGCATCGATGGCACCGTAAATTCCCAAATATGGAAAGCCATGCTGATGGTCTCCGCGTACAACATAGTGTGCCAGTAGGAAAGCTCCAGAAATTCTAGACCAATGGCTTTTACGGCCTCGCTGTTCCCTCCAGGTGGTAGGAGTCTTCTTCCAGCATATGCCTAACTACTCAACATCAATAAAAAAGCCCGATCAGACAATTTCAGCTGCAGCTGATCCTGGTCCAGCACAAGTGAGAGGGTGGAAGCCGTCGTTCGATTATTCCAACTATATGCCCTGGACCACTCCAGACCACGCTCAATCACGTGGCAGGATCTCCTCGTTGGTCGCCCCCCAACTGACTGGTTGATATACATGAGTACTCCCCTGAAGGGTTCGTCTCCCTCTTCTCCAGCGGCCACTAATACTGCAGCGGCTGCAAAGCACACCTATCCTTTATCACGTCGTTATAGTACTGCTTAACGAGTTTCTCGCTAATTGTAGAATAAACTCGCCATCTCCATGTTTCACTGAAGGCCCAAAATAGCTCCTCGCAAATTTCGACCTCCTGGAAGGACACACACCTCAGGACGTAGCATCCGCTCTCTTGCTCGAGCCTCAAGTAATCCGCCAGTGCATCGAAACGCTGCATAAGGTACCTTACCACCACCACGTCCTTGGTCCCCTTGTGCTCGCCGACCTCCACCAGCGCGTCAAGTCTCGCACCATCGAGCCTGCTCACAACCCCTTCTTGAAACCGCACCTTGATTCCATGGTATACCGATTTGCTGTTGAACATAGGAGATCAGCAAAGGCGCACGCCAAATTTGAAGTGAGTAGGCAGTAGACTCGGAGAAGCCGCTTACCCGTGCGCCTCGTGCGTGTGAGCCGGCGCATCGGGAATCACCTCGCTGCCGAGGCTATCCGTCTCGCTGCTGAGACTATCCGTCTCGCTGCTGAGACTATCCGTCTCGCTGCTGAGACTATCCGTCTCCGTATTATCACGGTCTGGGTCGTCCCCATATGATTGTTCCTGTTGCTGCTGACGAAGAGGGGTGGTGCTGGATCATGTGAAGTCAGTCAGAGTCTGCTTGCTACCGTGCCTGGAGATGAACTGACCTTGGAGCAGAAGCCATGATGATGGTGTCTTGCTGGGATGGATGCGAATCGGAGGAAGAATCTAAAACCAAGTGTTTTTTCGGGGTGGAGAGAGAGAAAGGAAGTCGGGCCGTGAAGAAGAAGTGGTTGGAAGTGAGGTCGGCTCGTCAGGTGAGATATGGCCTTCACCCCACCCTCCAAAGGGTCATTTTAAACCTTTTGTGAGCCGCTCACTGCCTTCTCAGCATATGGTACGACCCTCTTAGACGCCCCGGCAAAAGCGCTGCTTGTCAGAATCCAGGCTGCATATCCAGGCTCTTCTCCACTGTATCCAGAGTATTGATACTGGAGGGACGAGGAAAGAGGAAAGACGTTTTGCCGGCAACTTGGCAAGAAAGCAGTCTCCAGAAAGCGAGCTTCATTGTGAATGTTAGCCTTACAGCATTTCAAGGATCAGATATCGAGAAACAAAGTCTTCCTTTCAGGAAGAGAGCTTTGCTAAGTATCGTTTGACACATCGCGTTCGACAGCAGAAGCTGAGCAGAGCCACACCTTTGATTGCTCTATTCCTTGATCAGCCAGCTCGTATAGTATCGGTCATGATCTCTTGGTCTCCGGTGCCTCTGATCCATTGTTTTGTGCTCTTGCTAGATTTCTCGGTCCTTGCCCTTGCTAGATGCATGGATCTGGATATATCCTTCAGTCTTCACCGTCTCCTTATTTGCCTTGCTGCAGACGTTGCCACCTTCATCATTCTTCTCCGGCTTTAGCATAGTGGCCTTCGCCACCACAGCCGCGTGCTCGGCCATTGGCTTCTTGCTGTTCTCCAGTTCTCTAAAAACATCTAATCCCCTGCTTCTTCAGACTCTTGGCCTCATCCTCCTCATCCTCGGTATCACCTGGCTCTCGTTCAGCAACAGCTCTCTCAGCAACTCTTGCAGCAGCAGCCTCTTCAGCAATAGCCCTTTCAGCAGCAGCCCGTGCAGCAGCGAGACTCTCATCAGCAGCTCTTTCGGCAGCGAGAGTAACAGCGATTTGTCAAGCCTTCTCCTGCGCAGCCTTCCTCTTTTGTTCAGCAGCTTTCTCTAGCCCGGCCTTTTCAATGGCATTCCGAGCATCAATTGGATTGGCGATAGTCAACCGATCGTTTCTGGGCCGCAACAGCTCTCTTTTGGGCGGCTTTTTTTTTGATCCTGGTCTTGGTCGGCAGGTGTTTTACGCTTGCCTTTGCCCTTGTCTGCTGAAGATTTCCTTATAGATTGATCAGCTAGGCGATCAGTGGAAGACACACGCTCTGCTGGTACACGAGGACGAGGGGTGCTCCGGCGATGAAGGAGGGAGGAGAGAGGAGTGCTGACAGGGCCATGAAATCGGCCTCGACGGGGTTCTTGGTCAGAAGACATAGCTACACCACGAGAATCACGATTTCGGCCGTTTTGGTGGGGCTGTATAGCTTTAATATGGAAAACTTGAAATTTCTGTGGCAACAAGGTTTAATGCCAGGACATCGGCACCCAATTTCTTGGCGTTGGCAATCTGTCGCAACCCCCATACATTTTTGTACTGCAGAGCAGACATCTACCCAACAACATCAACAAAACAATTGGGAGCACTCCAAGTGGTTAAAATCGAAGTATCACAAACCTCAGCTCTATATAGGCCTCATTATGCCTCCCAAACGCTCCAACGACTCTACCGCATCGGACCCCCCACCCCCTTTACGTACTCGCCATCAAAGCCAGAACAATCCTACAGTCGCAGTGCTGCGCAGGAGGCTGAAAAACAGGCTAAGGCTCAGGAGTAAACAAGGAGGAGTTGAATCGGGCGGAGGCCCCGAAGTCGCGCAAGAAGGATGAGGTTAAGGCTAAAGTAACGCCAAAAGGACGATGTCTTAGTCAATGCTCAGACAGAGCGCGAGGATGAGACTCGGACTGAGGTTTTAGCTGAGGCGCAACTGCAATGCGGGAAGGAAACGCCTTAGCTAAAGCTTGAAAGGTCGCTGATAAAAACGCAAGAGAGGTGGTGGAGGCCGCAACTCCAGAGTCAGAAGGGCAATGACAGGGGGACTGGGGCGAAGATCAAATAGGTCGTCTTTCAACAGACACAGCTTTAGCTGGTGCGTTTAACGTGGGGTCCTCCTTCCAACGTACGCGGTCGAGTTTTAGAGAATCAGGCTTACGATGCTCTTGAGAAACAGGCGGGAAGAGAGAGAGAGAGGGAGAGAGGGGGGGGTTACTGGGAGGGCTGCACAGCGAGGTCCTGATGATGATGGGGATATCTATGAAGAGAACTCGAGTGCAGGGAGGGAGAGAACCATTTGGCGAACCAGAAGCACCATTCTTATACGCTGTGACCTGTGGCTTAAAAAAAAGGGCGAGGAGGGACAATACATGCTGATGCTCATTGGCAAAAAAGCATTAGAGAGCAAGACTGGCTCTACGGTTGTTTTGATACAGACGTCCCCGGCTCACACTTATTCGCAACAATGGACGCATTAGCATTTGATGAGGATACAGTCCGATAAAGCAGTGAAACACTTTGGACACGTAAGCCTTCCAAGAGACATTCTTTAAGACATCTAGGTAGAAGTTGCTGGCTTTGTTTGGGATCCATGATGTACCCGTGGAAGGTCGCAAGACTCGTATATAAACCCAAGGCTTTTTGTAGATCGTGCAAGTCTTTTGGTAACGAAGAGAAGGACGCTGCTTCTGCTATCTGGATCTATCGCTATCACCCATGCGTTACGTACATGGAAAATGACTCGCCATGCCCTTTCGTTAGGAAGACAGACACCATCCAGATCAACTGATCAATACATGTGTACGCCCTGGACGTCGCCACATTCTCGGCCATGGGCTTCTATATGACCGTCAGCAACGAACAAGTATACATGTCTTCCATACCCACCAGCAAATCACACGCAACGGTTCCTGAGCCAGCGCTTTTCGGCATCCACTGGATCCAACCCGGTCCATACGTGAGACACCTCCTTCCGCAATCCCGCTGCCTTTGCCATTGCGTGCTGCCAGTGAGCGTTTCGCTTTTGGATCTTGCTCTTCATTCGATCTTGTCTCGCGGTGTTTTGGTCTTGGACACTCTTTACAATCATCATTGCCCGCATCTTGAGTCCCTCGACGCTTTCAGGAAGGTAAGCCTCCCCGTTTCGTTGGTGAACAATCCCCAGCTGTTTCTCCGCCTGTCCGAATGCCGTGACAAAGTAACTTATTTCGAGGGTAGTCAGGCCGAGATCATATTCATTCCTTCTAGCGGCGGTTGAAGGCGCCGTTGAGGATGTTCCCTGTCTTGTAAGAGCAGTGGAGAATGATTTTACTGAAGTCGCGTTTGAGAGTCCAGACTGGCTTTGATAGTTGTTGTGGGACCGGGACGACGAGGCACCATTGGAGGCTAAACGACTGGAGTTCGGGAAAAGGGGGGAACGTGGATAAGTGCTCTTCCTCTTCTTCTGTCGAGAGAGCGTGTCAATGTTGTGAGCATCCATACGCCTAAGTGAATCCAGCCGAGACCGATACTAACCTCAACCCAGGCCTCGCCGTATTCATCCTCACCGATACACTCTTTCAACGTCTTGTTGTTCTTGTAGGTATCTGGGTGTGGCCAAGTGACCCAGGGCTGGAGTTGCAAATTTTGGAAGGTTGTGAGCTCACTACGTTCTGTTAGCACCATCCATTTGCAATTCTTCAATGCGTATGGAAGACAAAGGTCGGGTCTGTACTAAGTACGGTGTACTTACGCCATGTTGAAAGCAATGCAAGGTGCGCAACCCTTGAAGGAGGTGTTTTGTTAAGCTCTTGAGGCGTTTTTGCAGGATTGTTGCTAAGATGTGAAAAAATGAGATGAGGTGAATATGGAAGCATTTGATAACAGTGAGGTATTGAACTAAATACACCACTCCATCCCGAAATTACCGTAATTCACTTCACCCACTCCTCTCACCTCATGTTCTCGCCTCTTTCTAGAACGCACGTTCCTTATTCTATCGATAGATACTATCCGATTACCATGACGAACCAAAGTCTTAGCGAGAATGGAGTGCACACTAGTACAAGGGTTACTTTTACGAATATGTGGGGGACTGAAAAGCTCCACTACGAGAAGGAGGAGGATCGCTCAAAAAGATACGAACTACCCAGGGAAGTGAAGGTACACTTGATCAAATGGATGTACGAGAATCAAGTCTTCTACATGAACAACTTCGTCCCCAAAGTTGGGGAACCATCCCTAGAGCATTTCTTCGCTTGTTGTGGTCTTGAGGATACAACGAAACCCATGGAGGCGCGTAAATTCTTCACAAATTCCATTCGAAGTTTCGCAAAGAATTTCACGCGCCAGATCAAGGACCTAACAGGATATGACGGTGACCTAATCCCAATAAGAGCTGGACAATCTGAGATCCGCAACGCGAGGTACTCGCGGGGCTTTGAATATTTCAGCGATGACCACTGGGATGGCAAGGTCGTGAAGAAGTTTTTAGAACCCGAGGAGTTGAATGAGAAAGTTCTGTACGGCTTGCAAAAGCGCTTGTATACCAAAGACGAGTTCGACAAGATCGCGTCACTGATTGCAGAATACAGCCAAGACTACAACCAGTCACCTTCAAGCGATAATGACTTTAGCAGTCCGCTCAGCAACACGCAACTCTCTTCTTCCACACCAGGAGATGCCACGAGGGTAGGAATCTGGCTGTCTTCATTCCCTGACACCTCAGGAGCCCACGAAGAAGTTCTATTGCCGTCAGCCCCTTCGACCTCATGCTCGTCCGCGGTATTTCCTTCATCTTTTGGCTTGGCTATCAAAGGGCTGTTACTGACAGCGAACAGTTCCCTAAATTATCGAAGGGCGCTCCTCGCGGCAAAAAGCGCAGCGCAGAAGAAGAACTTGAAACCATACCCGTCAGTCTTTTAGCAGTCTGCCTCCATATCGAAATATAGCTGCTGACATAGATAGTCCATTTCTACCCCCACGCCATCTTCGACTGAAGCCAAGAAATACCGAAAGGCAAGTCAAAACAAACGTGTCACTACGAAGACTTTCGAAGTCCTCTCTTGCGTGACCGGCAACAGCCTTCAAACATGATGCCAGATCCTCCGACGGTACAAAACACCTTAGATCCGTACGTTTCCATCTGCTGACTAGTGCAAAGGAGACCTTTCGATACGGTGTATATGTGGTACTTCATTGGAAATCTGTTGAACGACGTGGATTCTAGGGGGTTGATCTAGCTACATTCGAAGGAACGTGTGTGTGGCTATTGATGTAACATCGTTTGTCCCGTTGACACAAGTGCAATGTAAATCAAATTACCAAGAATTCGAGCTCGAAATAGATTGTGGCTTTAACCAGCTACAGCGATGGCAGGATCGTGGTAATGAGAATACGAAAAATATGAACCCAAGAATCATGGGGTATGTTTACTATTATCAAATAAGGAGAATCAAAAAGTCAATGTTAAATACTTGTTCGACAGTCACAGCCTCACTAATATCCTGTGAGTATTTGACTTCCCTATGTAATGAATGACGGTACGCGCTCTTCACACCCTCTTTCGATGCTCAACCGCCGCTTCTCAAACAGCTTTTGTTCAACGATCAAGAAAGTAGTTCTCCACTGCTCGGAGAAGTGCTCTAGACAATTTTATCCGTTCATTGACATTGGATAACGGAGTTGCTGTGTAGTGTTTTTCACAAGATGTCGTAATTTCTTATAATGTTTGCCAATGTAGAAATCGATGAATATCACGAATCGCTTTGTAAAGTGGGCCAGCACTCGTCCTGAGATGGTTTACTCTCTGATACTCTTGAAGACGGTATCGCTATCAGTAAAGTCGGACACGCATAGCTTCCGTACATGCAGAACTCCCGTAGTACACGCAGAACTCCCGTACACGCAAAATTCTCTTATATACATGTTTCCGCGTTTCCGCGCATCTCTGATACACTGCTCGCTGGAAGGGATCGCTCGAATGCCTCCACGCTATAATACGCTTTCTGGCCGGGTCAAATGGTTTTTACCCGAGTACGCCATTCTCTTCGTCTTCCATTCATCTCTCCCCCTTCTGCAGAACGTCGGAAAAGAGCTTTATATCGCATGCTTTGCACAATAGGTTTCCCCCTAGGCCTTCAGATTGAATGCTCGCCTCAAGATTCGTCCAAGTAGCCGGGATTTGCTTCCGAGTCCACGCAAGGTTGATTCGGATGACGACAAAAGCCTTCTCTGTCTTTGTAAGGCTCGTCGAGACCCTTGTAAAATGCTCCTGTTTCGGCGCCTGCAGTATCATTGAGCAGAAATACTGTTACTGTCTCTGGGTTTGCTGTCATGTGCAATGATCGATTGGCAGAGTTCATCCAGTACCATATTGTCTCTTTTTCTTCAGCCAATCAGGGGCCAGCTCCGGATGCTCGTCCCAACATACGGGTCCATGAAGCTTTCCACAAGTCCTACACAAAGGCCTATCAGCCCCCGCCCCAGTCTTCTTTCCCCTCTTTCTCTTCTCTTCCAAAAGCATGGAGCGTGCTTTATCAGCAGTCATATCTGCCGTAACATCCAAATCTTGGTCAATTACTGGAGCTCATCGGGAAGGGACATGGCGAGACAGAGAATTGTCTGCTTGTCAGGCGTAAGAACGACTTTCGTGGCTGCAATCCGTTTTCGAGTAGCTTGATATGTGTGAGATACTCGGTCATGGATTCGAATTCATCGTATTTCAGAGTGTAATACTCTTTGGTGAGTCGCATGAATTCGCCGTCACCGGTAACTCGAAAGTGAGTGACTAATCGAGACCACATGAGAAATCCACAGTCAAGTTCATGTGCCGAGAAGCGATCTTTGATACGGTCGCTGATAGTGGGTGTCATGATGTCTACAGCTTCGGGACTGGGGCATTACAATGGTACACACAACGTCATTGTTGCAAAGAGAACGCTTGAGATCAACAAGTCTGCAAGTGAGCAGTGACAGCGAAAATTGGAGGAAGACGGAGTTGAAGAGGGAGAACTTTTCTCGACAGGTCATTGCATGGCAAACAAGCAGGTGAATGGTCTTGCCTGGCCATTCCGAGCCTCAAACATATTCATCCTCGAACACTTCCTCATCTTCCACGACATTCATCAACCGTCCCCTACCACAAGAGCAAACCACATCAATTCCATAGTCCTGATGTCCACACCCCTCGCACTCCCAGACTCCGCGCCATTCACGGTGTCCTGAGCTTCTTGCCACAGCTTTAATTCTCAGCGTTCTCCCTTTCTGCTTGTGTCCTCACCGTCGCCTGCGTCTGTGCTCGACATTTCTGTTGAATGCGATATGTCTTTTTGTTGATCTTGACCCGTCCCACATAGAGCATGTATGCGATAACTCTATTGGGAGAGCCAATCCGATGGACTCGCTCCCAGAATGCTCGTATCGAAGTCAACATATAGCCAGTCGTCGACACGTACTCTTGCGCCCCTTGCGGAGGGGGTACTTTCCTCCTCGCTCTCGTTCCCTCAGGCTAAATCCAGACGAGAAGGCCACCTCCTGATTGGCTATGTGAGCCTCTTGCTCCCTGCGGTCGATTTCGTCTTCATAGGGGTCCACAGGATTTCCAGCGTCAGAAGAGAAGATCTCCCTGGGCGTTGTGTTAACCTCATACTCCTTCTGGGGCTGTTGCTAGAACCTCTTAACAGCAGCGGCATGCTCCTTCTCCTCTTTCTCTTTCTGAGCCCTCTTCGCAACAGCGGCGAGAGCCTGATTTTTGAAGGAGTACCCCACCGTCCACGCAACGGCTGCAACTACTGCTCCTGAAAGCTGACCTTGTTGGTTTTCGCCCGAGTGTTTTTTGCCCCAGTCTCATTGAATTTGCCCTTCCCTCCTTGCTCAGCCTTATAATTTCCTCTTGCGCTCTCTTATCAGTAGCCTTCCAGGCCTCAGCCTGAACCATCTCTTTCGTGCGGTCCTCCTGGGCCTTGGCTTGCTTCCAAGCCTCATGCGCGGCAGTTTTGTCAGCATCTTATGGGTCATCATGACTCTGACGTCGAGTATGAGGCGGTAAGGGGGCAGACGAAGACCCGGTGGGGTTGTGGATACGTTGGGAGGCATGGCAGGGGTGCTTCTAAACCTCAGCCAACGCTAGTGTACAGTACCGGACAGTACCGGAGAGCCATTAGGCCGACCCAGCCACATTCCCCTGATTAGTAAGAGATTGCAGTAGTAAATAGGGGACCCGTCCTGGCTGATCTTACCGTCTTCCCCATACCTCGCTGTCGCCACCCTCTGCCCTCCCACACCTCCCACACCTCGCTATCGTTAAATCTTCGCGTTAAATCTTCGCGTATATCATTCCCAATAGCCTCAATGTCGTACCCCCGCCTCGTGCGCCAGCCCCCACAGTATGGGGGCTTTGAGGATACCCAGGAGGAGCTCGATTGGTATGGTAGCAACCCCGAGGGCATTGATCGAGACCGCACCCCGGAAGCAGAGTACTCGGACGAATTCTTGCCACTTAAGGAAGAAGATAGTGGCTCCAGCGATGGCGAATGGAGCAGGCCCACCTATTCTGACGCGTCCAGGTCACCGTCGCCCCCCTCGAAGCCCTCTACCTCCCCCTCCTCCCACAAACGCAAGGCGTCTACCTCCCTAGACGAACGGAAAGAACACCCCCGAAAGGGTAGCAAGCGTGGCAAGCCCGCCCCAGTGATACCCCCGGAGCTGGCGTCAACAATGCTGAAGCTACCCCCTCATACCCCAGAGACGCGTCAAGCTGCTTTCTCGTTAGGCACACCTATTTGCTGGACAGCTGAAGAAAGCCATGGAAGCCCAGGACGAAGGCGAAATCCCGCGGAGTCTGAATGACGAACTCTCGTGTACCTGCGTCTTCTATCGACAATATCAGCTACCGTGCTCTCACCTCTGGCAGTTTAATCTTATGAGCAATGCCTTTGCGGACGCTGATTGGAAGAGGTGGGCCTACATGTTTGAAGAGGGAGGCTTTGAGATCTACGAGAGTACCACCAAGGAATACGTCATCAAGGATATCTACGATGAACCCGACGGTCCCAGCAAGCACATGCTGGACGTCCGCGAGGTACTCGATGAGATTAAGACGAAGTTCTACGAATTGGAAGCGGGTACTGTGGACTGGGAGGATGACGTGAGGGAGCGAGTTTCCGCTCAGTGGGTGGGCAGAGGGTTGTATAGGGCTGAGATCATTTTTTTGCTTCGAACATCGGTCTACGCTGCAGTGTAGTGTAAGGTGGTTTCATGATTGCGAAAGTACGAGATAAAAAGGCGGAATCAAAACAATGCCGACCAAATGCAACAGCTGTCGAATTGCACTTGAATGTAAAATAATTCATTTTCATCCACTCGTATAGTTGTTATTAATCGTGCCACGCACCTGGCTCGTCCCTCGTCAAAGCCAAGTGCGTGGCACAGTTATTGAATCTGAGTCCTGGACGCAGACATATTAAGTGAGTTTACTCCGTACATCGCAAATGCAAGCTCTAAAATCCGATAAACCCGGGTGTGAGAACGAAGTTGTCCAGTCGGATAAGGGGCTAGTCCGGGAGGACAAGGGGTTAGTCCGGGCGGACAAGGGGCTAGTCCGGGCGGACAAGGGGCTAGTCCGGGCGGACGGGGGCTGATCAATGCTTCCCTCAACAGACGAGACATGTACTCTACGAGTAGTCGCATACAATATTATATCGCTGTCGCCATTGCCTCCTCATCGCTGTCGCCATTGCCTCCTCATCGCTGTCGCCATTGCCTCCTCATCGCTGTCGCCATTGCCTCCTCATCGCTGTCGCCATTGCCTCCTCATCGCTGTCGCCATTGCCTCCTCATCGCTGTCGCCATTGCCTCCTCATCGCACTCGCCATTGCCTCCTCATCGCACTCGCCATTGCCTCACCTTCGCTGAGTCCAGCGGCCTCATCGGGAGGTAGAGTGGTTAAGTAACCCCGTCGCTAACGCGTCGCCGAAACGAAAGCAAAGGCAATAACAACGCTCTAGTCGCGACATATACCCTTGAGAGTTCAAGTCTCCCCATGCAGTCATTGGCTGAGGGCTGAAGTCGCGATCAAAGGAGCTACGCGTTCTATACCCCTGGAAGTTCAAGTCTCCCCTCGCAGTCATCTGCTGGGGGCTAGGAACGCGTACATATATCAGTTCTGGTGGTTCAAGTCCACCCTTGCAGTCATCAGCTGGGACACAGTTGAAAGAGCTAGGAACAAGGCCTATCTGGAGCTGAAACACGTGGGATCGCGTCCGGCAAACACAAGGGAAATCGCTTATAAAAACCATCCGATCAATGGCTACTACGAATCGGCACCGTAGGCCGAAGCCGGTCTTCACCGGTGGATGCGTCAGTCTGCTAGCTATTGAATAGGGCACCCTTGGAACACGACCGGCGTCGGATTCAGACCTCCTGGGGGTTCAAGTCTTCCCCCGCAGTCATCGGCTGGGAGTGGATATCTCTGAGTTCGATTGTCGCGTGTTTTGGTTAGTAGGGTGGAAATACTACGGTATTGTCGCTGGCTAGGGCGATGCCGTAGCAGTCCCTGCGAGACATGGTCGGCCTGAATGAGGGAGACCTCTGATGGTAACGCGAAGCAGGGATTCAAACCCTGTGGGGCGTGGTATGTAATGGTAGCCACTGTCAGTCATTTGGGCTGAATGAGACTATCTACATAGCCCGAGAGGACAGTATGCGCATGTCGGTACATCGAGAGCTACGAGAAGTCAACTACCTCACAATGAGGGCCTGAGGCGGAGCAGAGAGCAAGCCAAAGCGGTGCCGTACACCTAGTCTCGTAGGAGGTATGCTTAAGGAGTAAACAGCGATCGACTCAGGCGATGATTGGCTTCGTCCACCAATCACGTGAAACCCTGGCCTAGGGGAATAGTCCGGAGCCAAGAGCAAACGGTGACCTCGAAAGCAATTACAGGGCGCAAATTAGGTAGAGGACCTGAAGAAGCAGGATTGCGACCTCTTATATTAATCATTGGTCACACACATGGGAGACCGTAGACTACGGTCATGTGAACATGGCATCCACTATCTTCTAGAAAGGATATATTAGGCCTGGAACTCTGACAAGGTAGCCACGATGTTACTGCTAGACGTTCCAGGTGCATATGATAAAGTCTCTCATCCTCGTCTGCTTCATAACCTCCGAAAGCGAAAAATTGACACGAGAGTTGTTAACTGGGTAGAATCGTTTTTATCCAACAGGACAACAGTGCTGAAAACAAGCGAACACTCCACACCAAAGACTCCCATAGCAACCGTAATTCCTCAAGGATCACCGCTGTCGCCCATACTCTACCTCTTCTACAACTCAGATCTCATTGATGACTGCAACAGTCGCGTCGACTTAGGCACGGTAGCCACCGGCTTCGTAGACGATATAGGCCTTCTGACGGTGGGAGACTCCACCGAGGAAAACTGTAACGCTCTCCGCAAAATCCATGACGAAGTTTGTATGAAGTGGGCATCACGACACGGATCGGAGTTCGATCCCAGCAAGTATCAACTGCTGCACCTCAGTAGAAAACAGAGATTCAGCTTAGACCATCCCCTGCAACTCAACGAGAGGCAGTACATTGAGGCGAGACGGTTTGTCCGCTACCTAGGAGTCGAAATCGACTCTAAACTTCTATGGAGCCACCACAACAAGGAGATTCGGTCTAAGGCTACTAAAAGCATTGGAGCACTAGCGAGGATTGCCGGATCAACCTGGGGTGGCATTTCTAAGAGCATGAGACAGCTTTATCAGGCGGTAATTATTCCACAAATGACGTACTGCTGCTCCGCATGGTACCAGCCCGAAGACACTGCCGGCCATAACAAAACTCACCTCTCATCACTACAAAGGATTCAATCTCAGGCAGAGAGGAAGATAACCGGAGCATTCAAGGCTACATCCACTCCAGCCCTCGACATCGAAGCACACCTTTTACCAGTTAAACAACAGCTAGACAAGATCACCTCGGAAGCTGTCTTAAGGATCGCCACCAGTCCAGCATATGGCGAGATCATTAAGCCACGATTTGAACGATGGAAGTCCAAAAGAAAACCCAAGAAGAACAGGAAGCTGAGCCCGCTGGAGCGACATACCAATAGATTCAAAGAACGATACGGCGACACTAGTCAGATTGAGAAACTACGCCCTTTCAGTGCCGCTCCCGACTGGAAGCCTCCCAAAACGGTGATTCATAAGACCAAGAAGGCCGCCAAAGAACTGGCCAAAAGATCTATTGACGAAGGACACGTAATGTTATACACAGACGGTAGTGGGATCAACAAAAAGGTAGGAGCGGCGGCAGTGTCACCAGATATAGGATCCACTTTCAGTGTTTATCTGGGCTCAAGCGACTGGTACACGGTGTACTCGGCCGAGCTACATGGCATTCTCCAGGCCCTAACCATGGCAGCTATTCACCAAACGAGGCTACGACTCAACAAGGTCATAGTAAATACCGACAACCAAGCATCGACTCAGGCCATCGGAGACCCTGGCAAGCATTCGGGGCAAATCTATGTGATACAAGCCGTACAGATCATTAACTCTTTAAGGGATCTCGGGGTAGCAACCGAGTTACACTGGATCCCTGCACACATTAACATCGACGGCAACGAATGGGCCGATAACGAGGCAAAGAAAGCCACAGGGTGGCGAGAGAAGGTGGTACATAATAAAAGAGTGGAGGTAGACACTAACGAAACAGCCCAGCCGTCGGTCATACAAATGAGGATGATATCGACGGTCAAGACAGCTATCAGGGCCCACTCAATTGAACAGTGAACGGTCGAATGGGCCAATGAGAAGCGAGGCGGCATCCTCAGGGAGATTCAATCAACACCGTCGAAACAGATTCAACTCTTGCATTCGAGAGTCAAGCGTGCCAAGACATCGCTAATCACACAAATGAGGACGGAAAAGATAGGTCTCAAGGCTTTCCTCTACAGTCGGTGGGTACCGGGAGTTGAGGAAGAGGAGTGTGAATGTGGGACGAAACAGACAGCCCGGCATATTCTTCACGAGTGCAGGTTGTACAGCAAGCAAAGAAGAAGGTGGTGGGCCGAGGAAAGAAGGAAGGTGGTAGGGGTGTAATCTCTCATAGGAATATGGTAACTAAGCCACGCTATGCCTCCATGGCGGCGGACTTTATGAGGAGTACTGGGCTTATTGGGCAATATCAAGTCCTCGAGGAAGATCAGCAACAAGGATTCACTAGGGTGTGTGGTCAAAAAGAAGGACACGGTCAAGACGAGAGGGTCTCTGCGTAGTAGGGTGCATACCTTCTCAAGGGTCAATATAGGAAGGCACGGAGACACGACGGCGACTTGTATAGCCTCAAGAATTTGGGGCTATGTGATTGGCCGGAATGATTAGATAGATTACGTAACTCGCATAGTCGGCCACTACGGCAAGACTTCAGGGTAGTATGACGAAATCAATCAATCAAAGCATACAATATTATCACAAATATCTAGGGAGGAAGGAACAAGGTCCAGTTGTCAAGAATTGTAATGCATTTTGCATGCCGGAAATCCATAGTTGATCTCGGAGCGCAAGTATTATACCTACTGTTAAGGGACTACACCGTGGGATATAATCAACATTTATCTAATAATCATCATCACGGGATCACGACCAAGGGTGACGGCTGCAGCATGGGTACTCTTGCGCCTTGCATAGAAGTGAGACTGACGAGGAGAATGCCATTATCACCAGCTGCTTCTTGATCATGCTACGAAACAGCCAAACATTCTGACTAGCATAAATGGCCACAGAGGCTCTGTACATGTATTTGTCGATAAAGACATGGGAGAAAGGACCCTCCATCCGGAATAGACGTGACGACATTGTAGAACGTTATTTGAAACAGCTTCGCAGGTGACGATGCTCATCATGCTCCTGAAGGCCACATCGAGGTACCCTGTGCACCCCCGCGTGTTGGAAATAGTATGAAGGATTGATTTATTAGGTAGCTATGAGGGTGCTGAGTGGGCTACTTATACCCCTATTTGCCACCATGCGGGGTAGCTTCAACACAGGTGCTGCAGTAAATCTCAACACCGCGCAGCCGTTCCTGAGATGAATCTGACCTGTCTTCTCCCTCTTCTAACGCTGATATCTCGCTTTCTACTCTGCGGATCTATCGTTCAGTGCAGCCATTACCATCATTACTTATTCCTCCAATCCATTGAGGTCTTGAATAACACCCACAGTTCCGTCCGCATCGACCTTCTCTTTCTTTCCAACATATTCTACCAAGTTCTTCAGAGCTTCGAAGCCTTCAACGCTCACCGAGGCATCAAGTACGATGGTTAGGGGAGCGTTTGGAACGCTGTCAGGCTCGCGGGAATCCTAATCGAAGACTCTTTCGGGACTACCATGCGCCCGCATTAGCGCCGGATGCTAAAGGTAGGTACGTAGATAATTAAGGTAGTTATCCATCAGCGAAAATATTTCTTAGTCAAATAACACTCAGACAGCTCTAAACCTTTGCCCCTCAATTTACCAGTATGGACAAAAAGTTCGAACATGTAAACTCTACAGTCGTCTTGGACTATGAGCCCGCGCGTTTCAAACACAGACACACTTTACCGCAGCCTCTCAAAGTCGATCTGCATCGATGGATGCTTAACAACCACGTCTGTTACGGTAATGGATTCGAAACCGATAGCGTCTTAGACGATTTTTCTGAAAGATTACGAGCTCTTTGACCAGACGAAATTCCCCGAAGCCCGCAGGATTCGCAACCTCGTCAAAAACTTCACATGTGACATACATCAGCAGAAAGGCCTGGAGTTTGACCCACAGCCAGGGGGAAAACGTACCAATGGGCGCTACAAACTTGGATATGAATATATCCTCAATGACGAGTACTGCGGCACTTTGAGGTACAGACCCAATTATCTACCAGTCTCCGATCTCCTGGCCCAGTTCTTTCAAAGCGAACAGTTGTACAAGTACGAGCCTCAGGACGTCCGCCACGCGATCGATGAGTTGAAGAACCTTCTCACGCGTCTCGAAGCCGAGGAATTAGACAGCGGACAAGGTTTTGGCGTATGCAATGTCAACACTCTTCCTCGCCGGCAAGTCACCAAATTCCCAGAAAGATAGATTCCGTTCATTTCGAGCATTTTCGGAGAGCTATCATTGTTGACGACTAGTTAGACCTTATTTTCTCCAAGGCCTACCTCAAACAGCAGAAAGCGGAAGAAATGTGAGCCCGAAAGTCAAGCGGTATGATTGCCCCAAACTGCCTTGATCTCGGAGCATTGACGTTGACACGCAGTGTCTCTCCACCCCACCTGCGACGCCTGCCTCCAAGAAGGTATGTCCTCGAGATACTGTGCTACAATTATGTGCTGACGATACCTACCAGAAGACTTTGCGATCTCGTTCGGCGAATATGCAGCTGAGGATGACTCGAAAGAGGGACTAGCTATCTGGAACGCATACGATGTAATCGGCGATAGAGACAATTGTCTTGTTGAGAAGGCCGGTTTAGACACTGTAAGATCTTTTAACTTGTCTGGATTAGGTAAAGAGTCGACGAATTATAGGATACCAATATCGACGAAGGCGAAGGATTCATCTCGATGTGTTGTAGTATCGCTGTAAAATCGTGTATGATGATCTGGTCTAAGCTGCTAAAAGAGGAGGACTATCGTTCGAGGCTACTTTCTCGCGTACGTTCAGTCCGTCTCCTGAGAGCAGAAAGCACACGTCAGATAAGATATGTAGTTGTCAATCATGTTCTTGTTGATTCATCTGTTTCTGTTTCTGTTTAATGGATCTTATCCAATCGATATGTCTTCCTCTGTCAATTTGTATACAAAGGATGGATTTGGAAGGTCATCGACCTTCGAAGCTGGACACGCTACTGGTTAGTCGTCCCAGGGACTCCGCCAAGATCACTGGCGATATGGCTAAATGTGCGGCATGAATCGAGCAAAGCTGGGAAGGAACAATAGTATCAAAGACCAGGCTAAGCTTGAGGTGCGTTTCTATTCGAGGTACGGCCGATTTGCCGCTCCGTGCTGACAATGCTATAGGACCCTGCCTACCTCTGTTTCTTTTTCGTGTCGAGAATACGCATATTGAAGTATATTGAGAAAGGGTTCATAGAGCGGGCATTTACGGGAAGAGCTGGGAGGGGCACGCACCCAACATCTGTTGATTCAGACGATGACATTTCTATAGTCGCTGTAGACTCATCATCTGATCCAACAATTCTTTCCTCCAGTCTTACGCGCTCGGCTTTGTTTCAAGGAGTTGAGTATGGCTTTTGAATGCTGAGACAATCGGTATGGCTCCAATTCCAAATGTTTGAGAGCTCGCTGACGGTCGAAGACGTAGTGGAACCGATGAAACTTTCGGACGTGTTAGGTATCATGGAAAACCAGCGTTTCGGCCAGCCATCCATCGCCGTACCTGAGAAGTAGAAGACGAGTGGGGCAGGTGGAAGATAATTGAAAGGCAAGCCATCAGGTCAAGTCTGTCTTACTGTGCGATGCGCACTAACAGTATAGCAGATGGTGGCGATGGAGTTGTATTGGCCGAAAAGCTCATGGACTCAGACCCATTGAATAATACCCTAACAGCATCACCCACTTTAAGATCAACTCCAAATCAGTCTGAAGTTTTTTGAGAGGATGTCTCTATGGACCCGCCAACGGGTCAGCATCCTCAAACTTCGATACATAGCAACGTGTCGCCGCAACATCCTCTGCCTGCTTAATCGCCACCGGCGCCAGCTGTGACTAGGGTGTTAATACATCAACCGTATTAGGTTCGATTCCTAATGACGCTGGTACAATGGTGTTGTAGTTTTGTGTTTTATATTTCTCAGCCACAACTGTCCCGTTGCAACAAAATCCTAGTCCCCACATAGTGCCTGACCATCTGGGCCACCCTCCTACTGGCTAAGTAGGACGAGAGAGTTCCCCGTCTCCAATATCTCAAGCCATTGCACAGCCACAATCTGAACCGGTTGAGTTCGTTGCGCATACAACAGCGGAAACGTCAGACCTACTACCGCAGATGACTAGTGGCGAGAAAGCCCCCGATCCTGTGGAGCCTTGCTGCACTTCCGTCCAAGACCAAGAGCCATCCTTTGTTCCACTCGAGACCAATGAGTCCGACGAGATCTTAGCCGCCCTACGCGGTGAATACGATGGCGATATCGGCGATGACAAGGTTGTCATATTGAGTGAAGAAGAACTGGCCATGCTGAAAGCTATACAGCCCAATAGAGAGGAAGTGGATGATGATGCTTCAGAGCTGGATGAGAATCTATTACGGTGCCTGAAGGAAGACGAGGCGAGTGATGAGGACGACGACGAAAATCCGGAGTTTGAGAGACGGTAAACCTTTCTTTATCAATGATAACCAACGCGGTCGCTGACTAACGTGCGACTTCAAAACTCATAATGCCGAAACTCCAAGGTATATGAGCATATGTCAGCCCAGGAGCTCGCGTAATCGTGTGAGTTCTCTAATCTCGAAGGATCAACTTCAACATGGAACGACGAGCCAACAGTCAAGATGGCGAGTCAGAGTGGACCACCTGTAATGCTAGCTTTTTACGCTGGGGTAGGGGAGGTAGTCTCGCGGACGAGATACGCCTTAGAAAGGTTAATCTACTCTCTCGGTTTCCATTGCGGTCTAATCAGACTGGCTAACAAGAGACACACGGACAGACCATCATCATAATGGAGTGTATCACTGTGCAACGATGAATCAACTTCAATCACGCGGATGTCGAGCTCGATCGCAATCAGGAAGGTGGACCCTATCAGCACTTTCGAGAAGGGCAGGATGGTCTATGCCTAGAATGAGCGAGGTGGCCAATTCCATGATAATTCTATACAGTTGTGCCTGAAAGAAATGCCCCTCTACCACGGAAAATACCTAAATAGTGGGGATCGCCTCCGCCACTGCAAACAGCGACAACAGTACCAGAATGGCTAGTGAGGGGTCTGGGAGTCATTCCGCCTTGTTCACTCGATGCCGAGTGGCATGGCATTGATGGAAGACAGTGAGATATGAGCCTGTAAGCACAGCGGTGATGCGCTGGCTGACTGATTCTGCTGAACACACAGAGCAGTAAGGGTATTTACAGCCTATGAAGGAGCAATTGCCTGCGTTAAATTTCTTACAGGTCGCAGCAAGGCGAATCCACTGCAAGCCTTCGACATGCTGGGCAGGACGACGGCGAAGACGTCTGGGACGAGTGCGGAGAGAGAGTGGGAGCATATAACGCTAACTTTAGTTCTTTTCGCCAATAGCTAGACCTCTACAGGCGAGGATCACTGGTACAGTCATAGCTGGATCTCTGCAGGCGAGGACTACCGGTGTAGTCATGAGGGTTGCACGTACTAATATTGGCTGGAAATTTGGTGCTAAGAACCAGCATCTGGCCCGGCTAGTAGTCGAACACAGCGTTCGTTTTTGAGTCATTTGAGTACGTAAGAATCTTTCTTCCTTTCACCTCATAGCTGACAACCCTCCGTCAACAGCCCTCCTACAGTCGGCCGTCCACCTCACCTTCCACCTTACCTTCCTCCTCCTCCTCCTCCTCCTTCAGCCACATTAGGCAGCATGGGCTGGCAAGATTAGGGACTGTTGCGGCTGTTGCGGTTGCGGGGCGGGCACCGGGCAAAACCTCACCACTGCACCATACCTTCGTAGATATGTCTCGCAAGCAAAGATCTGTCAATAAGTCGATCAGGGCGTGTTTCTGGTACCATCCAGCCGCTTGATACGCAACGTGCAGGGAGCGTAATCATAGAGGGTGGTGACGGTGCAATAAGCGCTCATTTACTGTTTCACAAGAGCGTGAAGGTTTGCAGTTCTCGGAATGTGGAACAAGACGTTCGAGCCAAGGAAGCTGCGAATTTTGCCACCTCCAGTGCTATCAGCCAGGCCAGGGTTTTCAGAAGCGCGGCATCGGCTGCAAGAACAGGTCCCACATCCAATGTTTCAAGTGCTACAGGTACAGGTGTTGCTCGCATACATGCCTCTGAAACCCTTCATCGAGCGGGTAATGAAGCTCTACGGCAAGCATCTGCTTCAGACGAAGCAGTCAAAAGGAGCACACCCTTGTGGCCTCTGAAAGCTGGAGAGGCGGAGCTACAAGGATGCAGACACAACGAAGCCCTGTGGGGAGCAGGCATATGCAAGCTTTGTGAATTACAGGGATTTGGAAACCGTGTGAGTAGCAGGCATGGAAGTCTTACGGGGTGGGCAACGGTTTAGTCCACTTCCGAAGCCACGCCGTTTCAAACACAAAGCCTATAATCCTAATTCGAAACCCTTTTACAAACCTGCTCTCCCGGCTCCGCAGCCTCCTACTCAGCCACGGTGCGTCGCCAGCATATGTCACAGCCTTATGCGCAGTATCATTGGATATGTGAGGCAGTATATCCTGAAGTACGTGATTCTATACCTACGTGAAGGGTATCCTGTCATTCTCAAGTCTTGTCGATGATCACCAGCTACTGCCACTTCATCTTGAACAGTTATTACCCCTACCTCCTGGCGAAGATCTTTCAAAAGATAAACGTCAAAAGAATTCGATCTTCAAGCAGCACGCTTATTCTGCACCGGTGCCAAATTTATCCAGGTCCATAAGCTATAGGCACTGTAGGACTGTTGGAGAACGGTTCATATCATCCGTGTCTTGCTGTTCCAATGATGAGAGCTGGGTGCTCGCCTCGGATACCCCTAGTTTCTGCTTCCATATACCCACGCGGAATGGCCTCACGCTTAAGCGTTATCTTCTTATCTTTCATCGGAAGGTATGGAGGTGTGTGTGTGTGTGTGTGTAATTCCTACATCGGAGGGCCGTGCCTCTGTTCGTACCCCTTCCCATTGAAAGGCGTAGCCCAGAGTGCAACCGTTTTTACCCACTCGGCCTTACGGCCATGTCCGGCATCCGTACCCCATTTGAGGTACGGCAGATAATCGTGGTCCCGTAGAACCACGGCTATGTACATTATGTTGGGAATTCCAAAGCCTCCATTGCAACCAGACACCATTACACTCTGCAATGTACCCCAAAGCTTTTTCCTCGTTTCTCCGGGCCGAGCTCTAGCCTCTCTGTTCTATGTACCCTCAGACACCCAGTACTCCATTGTATATCGTCACGTAAGAGAGAGAATAGTGACATTTGTCAAACCGAAGCCGGGAATACCCGAATTAAGCTCTCCTCCGATTCCCGTAGGGATACGAGACCTAATCAGGCCTATTCGCACGTCGATAGCTGGCTGGGAGGTATACGGCCATCACTTATTGCTCACTGACTCCGCTGTCAAGGGGGTATTTTCCAAGCACATTAGATTCAGCTCTCTTGTCTGGTCTCTTTCCTGTAGAAAACCTCCATACAATTCTCGTAAACGAGCCGACTCGAATCCAATAACCGTACCCTTCATCACCAACCAAATTGGGTATGATTCGGTAAAGGAATCCAAACGCGAGATTATGAAAGACTATGTGTAAGAGTAAACGGGTGAGAAGGCGGGGGTCAATAGCCCACGTCAGCAGCCCCACGGGGCCGACGGCACGGGGCCATTTGGTCAAAAGGGTGTCTAGCTGTCAAGCAAAAAGCCTGGTCCCGGGGGCCTACAGCCAGACCTATTAAACCTAAAAGGGCGACCCGGGGAGCTCTACCACCACTCGGCTTTAGGTCACCCATTAAAACGACGGAGATATTTCCTCTTTCTATGGTGGATGGCCCAGGTCGAAAATTTTTCCTTTGCGATTTTTGTCATGAATGGCAATACAAATCAACCCCAAAAATACGAATCATACCCAGGGGTATGATCAGTAATTAGGTATGATTCAGTAAGATTCATAGTTCGGGGTATGAATTAGTAATGCCCAGCCGACTCGTCTGTGGCCGGAGTCGGGTACTTGTAGTATTTAGGGAAGAGTTACCGATCAGCGAGGGAGGGAGGTATCATCCGACCGAGAGGGGTGGGGCTCGCCGTCATGTCGATAATACCGAATTCTTCGAGGGGGACGCGTTAACCCTCGATCTGACGCGTCTCGTTGTCCGATTTTCGCTCGTACGTAGTTGACCGTTGTCGTAATCGAAGAATCCGATCGTACACCCATGTGTAAATGTACGCTCCCTTGAGATCTCTTGGCTCCTCTGACGTGCCGGACCGTAAGTTTACGCCCACTGCAGCTGACGAGTCGGGACCCAATCAACGCGTAGCAGCTGCTAAACAGGTGCAGAGCAGACTCCCGAAGGCATAGGAATCTTTGTCAGAGGGTTCGTAGCCGGCACCACGTACAGGTGGATCTCGTTGCCAGCCGAAGGTATGGAGGTAGTGCATGAGTCCTTACTGTAGTGATATTTCATGCAACAGTCCTCTCTAAAAAAAAATTCCCAGAAATATCTCAACAACAAAAGTGCTGAATCACATGGCTGATAATCCATTGCCGTGGCTGGTAGTCCATTGCCTAGAATAAGGTTACCATCTGCCAGTCTGTTGCTACTGTGTCCATAGGCCACCACAGCCTGTACATAGGGCTAGTCAAGATGCTCAGCGTGTAGAAGCACTGCACGGCAGAGCCGGTGGGGGAAATGAATGATGATCACTGATCTGGGAACTTGCTGGCCGGCTCCCAATTAATCTTTTTATTAGGTAAAGAGACCAATGTAATTGATTTGATGGTAGTCACTGTCCGTGTTAAATGATGTTGTGCATGCTGCTGAGTGAAGAGAGGAAAGCAATCGTATGACCTGTCCAACCGGCCTTGCCTTTTCCCTCCTGGCTTCCAATTGAGATCATTCGGACCACCTTTGTCCCCGTTGAAGCTATCCTGCGGACATTGTCCGGGGGAACAGAGGCCTTGGAATAGACCAAACCTTTCCTACCGAACTCCCCTCTAAAACCCCCGAGCAAAGGCAAACCACCGTCTACGACCATGACCTCGCTGTCTCCTATACCCCTCAAGCAACTTCCAGGCCTCCATCGACCCGAAGTCTAAGCACCATGCCTTTCTGGACTTCCTTTGCGCCACTCTGGCGCTTTTCGAACCCGTAGGCATCACGTTGCGCCTCCGCCTCTTCGTCCCATAGAGCTCCGAGTATCTCCTTTCTCACCTTCCAACTCTCAACCTCCAGGATCGAGCTGTCTTTGCTCAAGCAGTGCAGACGCACCCAGCACCGTTGGATCCCGACATCTTGAAAGCCCCATAAGGGTTTAATCCACTGAGCACCAATCCCTGCCTTGTCTGCGAGATCGAACGGCCCGAACCAAAGCGGTGACTTGTTCAGCGTGAGATTGAGTGAGAGACGAGTCAATGAACTGCACTGGTCTGCGATGCGCCAGCACAGGTCTTCCCATAGCCGGTCGTGCTTGGCTTTCCACATCCGATCTTCAGTGCGGTTCGGTTCGCCGTAGGCACGATACGTGATTACAAGTCGCGTCAAGGCTTCCGTCGCAGTTGGGGAGAGGTTATTCAAGAAATGACGAAGGGCGCCCAGGCCATGGAAGGTGAAGGTCGACTTTGAGTAGAAGACTGAGCATGCCTCCTTATGCATTTGACTGCAGACGACGAGGAGAGCAGCAGGGCCGGGATAGATGGAACCCTCCACCAATCGTTTCTGACTAGGTACACGCCGGGAATAGTCCAACTGACGACGGCGTCTGGCTGCACCCAATTCAAGGTGAGGTCCATATGGTCTGCCTAGCTTGGGTAGCTGATAGGTCAGACTTTTGCTCTTGTGGTAATCGTCGACCCATCCGATCTCGTAGTACTGCTTTACGATTGCGTAATCATAAATCTTGTTTCGGAGCTCTCCAGGAAGTTCGAGGAATGGAAAATGACCCTTTGGCGCGTATCTCAGCGCACGTTTCGTATCGGGCTCACAAAGGAGACATACGAGTGGTCTCCCAGGATGATGTAGGTGTTCTGATTGCAAAAGAACGGGTTTCTGATCTTGTATCAGGCCTGGAACGATCTTTTTAGGTTGTCGACTGTTTGCCATGACGTGTAAGGCGGATCACGGCCTCTTTGAGAAGCGGACGCGTCAAGTGGAAAAATGGGGCGTAATCGGTGCAAATTCGGTTGATGTTGATTTCAGCTGTGAAAGAAGAGAGGCCGGGTGAGCACAGGTGAGGAGAGCGTAAAGAATTTGGCGGTTGTAGCAGGCAGGACGTGTGATTGATGCTCGATGATAGAGGTTGCAGTCGCCTGTAAATATGGATGAGACGGTGACCTTGTGTGCCTGTTTCGAGGAGATGTCTTTGAAGGTTGGAGAAGTGGAAGGACCACTAGACAGTCGATTGGCGGATTGTGAATGGATAAGAAGCTCCTTTTTGAGAGTCACTGTGAAGACCTATGCTTATTCATAGCATGCGGCCTTTGATAGCGGAAGGTCGAGGGAGGGATGGGGGAGAGAAGGTGAGAGGTGAATGACATGAGGCAAGCAGGCAAGGGAAGATCTCCTTATTAGCTTAGCGTGTGAGCGTGAAGGGACTTGATTTTGAACAATAAGGTATTACTTTAATAAGGTAGAAGGAAAACAGGAAAATAGGAAGATAGGAAAATCTCACTTTGGCCGACTTATTCACTTTTCCTTTTCCTTTTCCATGTCCTTTTCCATGTCCTTTCAACGAAGTGACCTGTTAGAAGGCAAAGTACTACCGAATGGGGACGTGGTAAAGTGTTGTCTGTACGCGGATGACACGGTAACCTTCCCTCGAGACATCTCGGAGCTAATCGAAGTAGGCCGGATAGTCGGCGTGTTTCAACGGGCTTCGGGGGAAAGAGTAAACTGGATCAAGACAGTGTTGATGCTCCTCGGGGGAATCGACATAACTGGCTTGACGAGGCAGTTCCGTGCCGTCAAAATCCTACGCCCGGGTGAGGCATACAAGCACCTGGGAATCCCCATAGGCTTTAAGATCGGGGACGCCCTAGCGAAATTTTGGGATGAAATGATTGCCGACTATAGGCGATCAAGTGGCGGACTGGTCCCGACTAAGGGCCAGTTCGGTAACCACATATTTTGAAAATAACCCCTACTTATTTTCACTAAATAACGCCACCTCTTGGCAAATGAAAATATGGCTTAAAAATAACACTAATTTATATTCAAAATATGTAAAATATCTATACGGTTCCGTTCGGTAACCCTGTTTTTGAGGCTGAGTCAGAAACGTCGCAAAAAATTGAGAAAATCATCTTCTTTATCAGTAACCATTAAATTTCTATAATTTCACGTTATTATGGCGGAGACACCTGCTACTACTGCTGCACAGGCTTTAACTATTATTGATACTTTTATTGCCCCCGTTATTACCATTAATGTCCCTACTGATATCCCTACTGTAAGGTCGGCAGGGGTTTTTTCGTAATGGTCCATGTAGGCTAGTTATATAACAACGATACCATAAGCATTATTTGTAAACAAATATTTATTACAATATTTATCGTATCTACCCTGCAATTCTCTTACAAGATTTTCTCATATTAGGTATATTTCAGTATCATGATATCGTAGCTTCAAAATCCTCCTAAGAGTCTCCTGAGAAAGCGAGTCTTCTATGAATATTTCCGTAAATACGAGTGCCAAGCCTCGTTTTCGGGATCTGGCTACTGTAAATTACATCCACGCTTTTTTATTTCTGACTTCAGATTTGAGCGATTTAACTAAAGTTCTCGCGGGGGTGATATTCCCGGGATACTTACGGGTATGGTAGGGGGGTGTGTGATAAGGTGGGGTAGAGTATAAAGTATAGTGGAAAGGGTTGATAGTAAGCTAAGATGTAAATTACAGCTTAGTCATTAGTGGTAAGACTGAGAAGATCTTCTCATTTAGAGATCTCCTGAGCGATAAATCTCCTAAGATTTAAAAATACTCCTAGGATCTCTGTAAAATACGATCTTATTTCACACTATAGCTACTTATACCCTATGTCTTGTAACCACGTTTCGAAATATTCTTCGCCTACAATCTTGCCAAGATTCTCCGGGGATGATTAGTAAAACCCCCCTGCCGACCTTAAAGTATTGATGTCCCTGCTAATGTTTCTACTGATAGGGTTAGGGTTAGGATAACCCTAATACCTATATGTAGATTGGTCATGGATGTTCATTATTTTAGCGTGCTTAGCCTTATTTTGCCAAAAAACAAGGCTCGAGGCTTGTTTTCAGATATTTTGAAAATATATTCTGAAAATATGATAACCGAACGATACCCTGTATATATATGACGCTAAGTTGAAAATAAGTAGGGGTTATTTTCAAAATATGTGGTTACCGAACTGGCCCTAAGGCTGTCCCAGAGGTCAACCGTGATGTCGGTGATTTCGAATGGCTAGAACTTAATAGTGTCATGAGATATTTATTGGAAAGCTTGCTTTCTCATTACTCAAGACTGAAATCACAAAATGTTCGACAACCATAAATTTAAAGTTGACCAATCAGATCTTCAGATTCTCTGATTTTGAAGCTAAAACTCACCTTATTTCTTCATTTCTAAGCTAAAAGCGGGTGCACACGGGTACGTCCAAAAGAGGAAGCTGGAAAAGAACTTCAAAATCCTCAAATCTACCTTTTTTGATTCCTTTTCTTTTATCAAAAATATAATAATAAACTAAGTACGTAGATTTATAGAATTATTTATACGCTTTTAGATAGTATAACGTAGATGAAATTTAATAAAGTATTCGTTTATCGAGTTTACGAGAAGAGCCTCTCCGGCAGGAGCCCTCGGAGAGCCCCCGGAGGGTCAGGGGGTTTTTAGGGGGTCTCCCCCTAAGTATATCAAATAAATTACAACGTCTCTCTCGATTCTCAGTGAAATATAATATCTCTCTCGATTCTCAGGGTTAGATCCCTTAAAATCCCTTAAACCCTTCGGAGCTCTTTAAGGGCTCTCCGAGAGCTTCTGTCGAGGGGCTGTCAAAGCAAGCTCGAAATCAATCAAATTAATCAAATATCATTAAAATAATTAAATTTCGAGCTTGCTTTAATAGCCCCTCGACAGAAGCTCTCGAAGAGCCCTTAAAGAGCCCCCGAAGGGTCCGAGGGGTTTTAGAGAATCTCTCTAAGAATCAAAAATAGTTAAAAACCAGTACTTGGCAAGCTTTTCACTACTGAGAAGGACACGCGACCAAACGTTTTTTTACATTTTTTTTTTTTTGCCCTACCAAATCTACCCCACCAAATATTCTACCTATATCCATTGCAATCAACAATTACAGATTCAATTGACCTACTACTACTACTGACTACGTTTATGATAGTACGCAATCGATCTATATACCTCTCCTCTCAATCCTACAAGACGAAACATGGGGCGGCCCCCGAAAGACCTGGAGTCGCATAAAGAACTCATCCTGAGCCTTCTCAGCCAACGCACCGAGCATGACGAGATCCGACGAATCCTGTCCATTCAGCGCGGCCTCAAAATTGGTGACAGTGTGCTTAGGAAGCACATTAAGGCCTGGGGCAAGAGCCGTGGCGATATACCACCCTGCAGGGATGAGAAGCTCCGCGATAGCCTCATCATGTTCCTTTTTCTGAAGCAGAACGCAAATGAGGAAGAGATTTTGGTTCACCTGGAGTTTCAAGACCTGGCTGTAACTCCGAGGAAGCTTCGACGATTGAGGATAGACATGGGGTTAAGAAGAAGACGCAAGTTGAAGGATGCTCGGTTTCAAGATGAGGAGATTATACGCATCATGAAGGAGCATTTGAGCGAGGGTGTCATTGGTGATTGGGGCCTCACGCACCTCTACGCATACTTCCGCCGCAATAATATCATTATCTCAAGAGACGATATCATGTACGGCTTGAGAGTCGTAGATCCCGCGGGTGTCAGTCGTAGATACCAGAAGAAACAGCATAGAAGGAAGAAGTTCTTGGTAGAAGGCCCCAATGCTATTTGGTCACTTGACGCCCACTGCAAGGTAGAGATCGTGGGCATTCAGATCTACGCCGTCATTGATGCCTACTCCCGCAAAATCATATGGATTTATGTGGGGATTTCCGCACGTACAGCTGTCAGTGTCGTCAAGCAATTTCTGGAGTTCATGAAAGAGCACAAGATCATGCCAGACAGGTTTCGTTCAGATCGAGGTACCGAGACCATTCTCATTGCGGACGCATTTCATCAATTGTGTGGAGCACAGGAGGACCGATCAGAAGAGAACTGTGCTATTGATAAGTGCTGGATGTTTGGTAAAAGCACCGCTAATCAACGTATTGAAGCATGGTGGATGCAATTGCAGTCCTCTATGCTGAATCGCTGGGTAATCTTCTTCGATCTACTAAAGGAGGAAAAGCTCTTCAAAAAGGATAAGCTTGCAGATATGGTTGCTGTGTACGCTATCTATATGCCCTTGATCCGAGAGGCTTGCTACGAGTTTGTTACCAACTGGAACGTACATAAGATTCGCGCACAAAAGAACCGCCCCCATGTGACTGCCGGTAAGCCATGGTTTCTATACGCACATCCCAGTGCACCAGCGGTGGAGTGCGGCAGCGTACCTGATCCTTCGCTTGTTGATACACTCCATCAGGAAGTGGAAGCATACGATCTACATGAGTACCTTCCTGCGGCAACATTGGAATGGTGTCATGAGAGGATGCGATCGCTGGGTTTTGATCCTGCTACTTTGACAGCAAAGGGTCTACTTAAGGAGGAGGGTTTGGGCAGACGAGCACATGGCTATGTCTTCGGACTTCTTAGGGGGGAGGTTCAACAACATTTGAATGCTGGTAACAAGGATCCAATCTTATCATTGATAGAGACACCAAAGGGAGCCGGTTCTTGGAAACCTTCTGCGGAGGCTGAAAGAGCCTTCAATGATGCTCGAAGGGGTGAGGAGCCGGAAGAGTTCATGGATCACCTGACGGATCAGCTGGACGATGTTCTTGTGGAGTCAGACGATAAGAATTATCCTTGGGAGGCCTATGCATCGGTCGACGATGAGGAGGGTTGACGGTTGGCCTCCTCGATTGATACTCTTCCATTGTTCAAAGGTACACACACTCCATGAGTCTCTTCCAACACACACTTATGATAAGTGTGTTTTGGAAGAGACTCATGGGAAGCATGCCACTCTCGCACCAAACAAGGCCCCTATTTCCCCAGCAGATCAACAGGCGGTCCGGTAAAACCTCGGACATCGTGTTTTTGAACGAATTGAATTCATCCGAAGTCCAGATATTGCGCCCATGCCTCACTTTTCAGTACTCGGAAATCGATTGCTCAGACCCTTACCATTCAACAATCACTTCACATAAGCCCACCGAGCGTGCTCCCCTTATTACCCTATCCACAAAGGTCTTCCGAAGCCATGGTGCGGCATCTGCAGGCCTCACTGTCGCCGTTGGTGGCCTCGATCGATATCGACTATCTGGTATGTCATGGAGAAAACCACCAAAAGACCCGAGGGTCGGTGACAATAGTCTCTGCCGACTTTCTCCCGCAGCCCCCACTAAAAGTCGGCAGAGACTTTTGTCACCGACCCTCGGCCATCTGATATGAATTCAAAGTTTAGTGCTTACGGCTCGGTTCGGCTAGGGAGCATCCGGACCAATCATATCGCATCATTCGACGATTCCTTCTCTGCCCGAAAATCAAATATCAAATAGCCCTTCCCGAGGGTCGGTGACAAAAGTCTCTGCCGACTTTTAGTGGGGGCTGCGGGAGAAAGTCGGCAGAGACTTTTCTGGACATGCAAATAGCCCAGAAAGGCCCCCCAGCGCTAGAAAAACTCCCATGTCTGAGCTTCCCTGGAGTGAAAATGAAGCTATATATAGGTGTGGGTGGGAGGGAGAAGAATGATATGGCTCTGAAAGAGAACAGTTCGAATGAAGAGCCCACTAATAGTGCAGTGGCCATACAAATAATACTCGCCATGTCCACCTGTCTCCCTACTGTCGCATATCGCATAATGATGGAACGGCTGATCAAACAGCCACCAAAGCTATGGCCTCATAATGGACCCACTAACCCACAGTTCCACTGTTGCGAATATGCACGGTTCGCTGTTCGGGCTGTATTTGTGACCGAATGTGTAACCAAGTGAGTGATCGAATGTTCGGTCCACCGAGGTCTTTTATTTAAAGTCTTTCGATTATGGCTATCTCGCTGTTATTCACATTATTTGACCATTTTTCTTTAACATCTACACCTATATCCACACCCACACTCCATCCTTCCTAAATACCTTCCTTGCAAACTCCATTCATCATAGCTGAAGAAGGTACACGTTGGTGTGTAAAGAAAGGAAACAAGGACCATTGGAAGATACGACCTGGAATGGGATGCGGGTACTGTGGATTCACTGGCCTGGACGAACATCCAGAGGCCTCAAGTCCTACTGCTGGTCCTTCTTCTGTCGTAGAGGTTCCAGACTCACCCCTGCAGCCCAAGCAGGCACGCCTACTTGGAAACAAGGAGACGCCGGCTAGTACGAGTCGTACTAGCTCCATCAACAAGGACCAGGCTATCAAGGATAGCAGGCCTCATGCTGGTAGTCGCGCTACATTCTCAACTGTTGCCAGTGACCGTACCAAGTCCAATGATAGTGGTGTCACAGCGTCTAATACCAAGACTGTGATAACACCTCGCTATCAGTACTATGATCCAGCAAGCCAATATGATCTGGAGCCGTTGTATACTGGAAACCATATGTGGGGTACGTACTTACCACTGCTGATATGATAGCTTGTTCTAACAAGTCTAGGTTCAATATCATTGAAGTTGTGGGACAAAAGACTGCCCGCGGACGGTATCGATCAATAGATCAAGGAAGATATTGTTCCAGAAGGCCACAGGTGGGACGATATCATCTACGATCCTCGAGTGACTGACCATTAGATTTGTTCCACCACCGATGGCAAAGGCCCTCTTTCTACCCCACGTCGCTTTGCAAACAGCGTCTACAATTCCTCGTTTATAAGCGACATTCTTCAAGCTTGCAGGGAAGAGAGGGGTAAGCGCGTGCTTATTATAGTATGCGAAATACCGGATCCAAAACACGAGCAGGTAAGGATAGTCCTGTTAAGACGAAGGCGGGTAAGAATGAGCCGGAGTCGAAGAAGGATAAAGGTAAGGGTAAGGGTAAGGCCAAAAGCGAGCCTACAAAGGAGGACAAGCCTGCATCAGCGTACTTCAACCCACCGTACAATTCTCGTACGCGTAAAGGGAGGGAACAGTTGAAAGAATACATGAAAGAGGTCGCCGAAGATACTAGTAGTATCAAGCGAGAACGAGTCAAGAAGAAAGATCTTGAGGTCAAAGAGGAAGACACCAGTAAGGGTGAGAGTGATCAAGAAGAAGGTGAAGAGGTATAATCTATATATTCGTGAAAGCTTCTTATTTACTAACTATTCAAGGTCAACGCGAGTCATAAGAGGAATGCTTCTCTTATAACAGTGTCTCCTAGCAAAGGCCGTGATAGGAAGAAGCCTGCTAAGAAGCCTAGTGCTAAATAAACAGATAGCAGTTATGATGTCACAATTTGTAGCCATTAGTGACGATGTCTTTCTTAACTTGCGATGCTTACATGCGGAGTTTAAGCTCGCTGCCTCCATAATACGCCCTAAGGTCGCTCTTATTTGGCAGGGTAGCGCAAACCCTCAGTTGGCGTTCATCTGATCTTTTTCTATTAGCCTCATTCTTATCATGTGCGCTGTTCGAACCGATGGTGATATGACCTCACCATTACAGCTAACCGTCTATTACTTTTATTAAAGCGAGCTATATATCATAGCTACCGTCGACGGTGCTCGATAGCGCCATCTAATATACCTCGCCGTCGCCAGACCTCTCTATTATACTCGAGATTTTTGTCATTCGAGTCGATATTGATATGTCCTAATTAGCTTACCTGGCTGTCCACCACCCATATCGGACCGAGCTATAAGTCCTAGCTACCGCCGGGTATACTCTTTAAAACCATACAGCACATATCGCCGTCGCCGTGCCTCGTCGACTAGCCGAGATCTCTGCTAACCTACTTACTTGCTTACTTGCTTACTTGCTTACGTTGCTACAGCGATAGGCACGGCGTTCCAGAGCATCAAAAAAGAAGTCTGGAAGCCTGTTTGGGAGCATGTTAGCCATGGCCTGGCAAATACCGGGCAAATACAAGTGGGATATGGGCATTTGCTCATAAATCTGCTGGTGCAGCCTGTTTTTTATTACATGACAATTTCGGTAATTCCATGGAATAATCATAACAATATGCATGTCAGGGGGTTTTGGTGGATTTGAACTTACTTGCAGGTGGCCCGTGGCTAGTCACTAGTCAGGAAATTTGTGGTGTTTTCAATGGGTATCCCACTGCACCACATGGCCTGGATATCGTATGCTATTTAGATATATATCTCGCCAGAACAAAAACAGGCCACATGTGAGCCCACAGTAGGGATACCTACTATGTCAGGCCTACAGAGGGCGGCTATGGTACCGTAGCATTGGCCACTAAGGATAGACTATGGTAGTAGGCAATTTGCATGAGTGGTAGTGGTAGCCATGGTAGTCATATTTGGATTTTGATTTTGGTGTCGCAAAAAAAAAGTAAAAAAGTAAAAAAAGTAAAAAACGTTTGGTCATTAAATATTATCGAACACCGTAGTAGGGTTTTGCCAACGGAAGACTACTGCGCTATCACGCAGACAACAACTGCCCCGGGGCACGAGAACATTCATGTCAGCGTGTCTAGTTCTTTCTATGCATGCGTCCTTTCTACATCCTTCCATGCATATTCCATCATTGTTCCTTTCATGTAGTTAGCCATAGATAGCAGTGCTTTGTTCTCCATCAGCTACATAATGTCTCAGCGAGGCACAGCGGTGATGATGTAGAATGCATGTAGATTCAGTGGTGGGGCCATCAGCCATTATGTAGCTGATGGAGAACAAAGCACTGCTATCTATGACTAACTACATGAAAGGAACAATGATGGAATTGCATGGAAGGATGTAGAAGGAACGCATGCATAGAACATGAAGGAACTAGACACGCTGACATAATGGCTGATGGCCCCACCACTGAATCTACACGCTTTCTATCACCACTGCTATGCTACGCTGAGACCTCAACTCAACGCCCCACACGTTGGACCTCTGCTTCACAACAGAGGGCCTGAACGACCGCGTCGTCCAGTGCCGAGTACGGGACGACCTGAACGCCGCGTCGGACCACTATCCGATAGAGATCGAAGTGGACATCGCAGTCAAGGTGACGGAGCCCCCGGTAGGTTACAACTACTTCAAAATGGATAGGGCGCTATAATGAGGAACTCACGTTTTGGATTTCCCAAATCCCAAGGGAATCTTCACTGGGGGGGCTCAACTTCTTTTCCTCAAAGGTTCTGGAGGCTATTCACGACTCCCTCATCCTCACCACCTCCGAAAATAAGAAGAGGGGCTTCCGAAAACCTGGCTTCAACGAAGAGTGCAAAGAAGCAAGCCGGCTGGCACAGAATACGCGCCGACTTCACCAGAGCCTCAAAGCCTCCCTCGGCACTCGTCACCCCTACACGACCAGAATAGGGAAGCGCGTCAACAAACAAAACGACGCGAAGAGACGAACGATTCGTGCAAGCCTCGCAAAGGATCATCGAATCAAGCTCGCGGAGGCGGCGGGCGATGTGGGTAAGGTGTGGAAGCTTGCGAAGTGGGCACAGAATCGGGCGACACCCCCCAACGGGACAATGGCAACACTTAAGAGGGACAAGGCAGCCGTCCTCGCCAAGAGATTCTTCCCCGAGCCCCCAGCGGCCGACCTAGATGACTTGGAAGGGTATACCTACCCGGAGCCACTCCCAACCCCTTAAATCACCCAGGAGGAAGTCTCGGCGGCAATCCGAAAACCGCCCCCGCAGAACGCCCCAGGAGAAGACGAACTGCCCAACATTGGGCTCCAACAAGGCCTGACGGCCCTGCAAGAGCCCCTCACGTGGCTTTTCAATGAATGCTTGAAGCATGGGCATCACCCCATTAGCTTCAAGAGTTCCATCACAGTAGCCCTCCGCAAACCCGGGAAGGGAGACTACTCTATCCCCAAGCACTATCGCCCCATCGCGGTGCTCAGCACCCTTGGGAAAGCCCTCGAGTCAATTATAGCAACCCGGCTGCTCTATCTTGCGACGGAGCATACCCTTATCCCCGAAAACCACTTCGGGGGAGAAAGGGAACCACCACGGAGCATGCGCTCCATATGCTGACCGAGAAAATCTACTCCACATGGCGACAGAAGCGGGTATGTAGCCTACTCTGCCTGGACGTCACTGGGGCTTTTGACAATGTCAGCCACCCCCGACTGCTCCACAACCTCCGCAAGCGTAAGGTTGGCAGTGCAATCGTGAACTGGGTCGAGAGTTTCATCTCGGACCGCTCCACAAGGATAAGAGCTCCGGACTTCTTATCCAAATCCTTTCCGCAGCAGACCGGCATCCCTCAGGGCTCGGCGGTCTCCCCTCCGCTATACTGCTTCTACAACAGCGATCTCGTGGAAGAGGTTACCACCCCCGAGATGGAAGCCCTAGGGATTGGGTACGTCGACGATGTGGGCATCCTAGTCGCTGGCGAGACGGTTGAAGACTGTATCGCCGCGCTGAGAATTGTCTACCCCATCTGCCTCCGCTGGGCCCTAAGACACGCCTCAAAGTTCGACCCGGACAAATTTCAACTCGTGCACTTCACGCAGACCCCACGGGCAGATCTAACCCCGCTCGACCTGGGCAACATGGTTCACAGAGCCACCGAGTCCCTGAAGTATCTCGGCGTCTTCCTGGACTGGCGCTTGACCTTCAGCACCCACATCAACGAAATGGAGGGGAAAACGAGCGCCAAAATCTCAGTGTTGAGCGCCCTCGGCGGCTCAACCTGGGGCATAGGCGTGAAGGACCTACGCATGATCTACATCTCGACGGTGTTACCCCTCTTCACCTATTGCGCGTCGGTGTGGTTTCAGCCATCGGGCGGTCATGGGACCAAGAGGAGAGAGGATAAGGCCCCGAGATTCATGCGGGGGGTGCAAAAGAGATGCGCGAGAATCATCTCGGGAGCCTTTAAGACGGTCTCGGGGGACGCCTTGGACATCGAACTGTTCTTGACGCCAGTACAACAGGCATTGGACAACGCGATGAACGACGCCATGCTCCGGACCGTTACCAGCCCCGTCTACGGTCGTCTCCAGGCTGCAAGGACCGATAACTCGGCACCGGCACACGGATGGCTAACAAAGGGCGGCAACCTCAGCACCTGTTGGAATTCAGCAACTCAGCCCTGATATGCTTGGCATGAACTATCCCCTTCCTTGTGCTCGGCACGTACACGCTAGCAGGGGTCAAATGTAGGGATTATCATTTGTCCAATGATCGCGGTTCACTGCGGCTTAAGACTTTGCTTACTCGTGAGCGCGGCAACGTCGATCTGACCAATCCATACCCCTACATTTGACCCCTACTAGCGTGGACGTGCCGAACACAAGGAAGGGGATAAGTAGCAGTACTCCTCCATGGAAAAACAACAAGCCGTCATCAAATTCATCAGCACCGCCTACGCCCGACTCAGCCCCCTGGAAAGACTTGAGCGACGCTATGAAGCCATTCACGGCATCAAACTTAAGGCTCTGGAACCCCGCTTGCCATACATCAACCCGCCGTGGTGGCAGCCCCCCGCATCGTCATCGCTACCGACGCGAAGACGGCTATGGAAAACCATGACCGAATAGTCTACCATGACAACCCGGAATACGTTACCATCTACACGGACGGTAGCGGGATTGGAGGCAAAATAGGCGCATCGGCAGTCCGAATGATGTCCATTCAGGAAGGCCTGAGCGTCCCAATCTCGGCGAGGGCCGCCCACATCGGCCCCGAATCTCAATTCACCGTCTATTTCGGGGAGCTCTATGGGCTATACCTCGCCCTGGAAATCCTTGGAGAACCCTCGGAATTCCAGGATACGAGGCCTGTTATCATCTTCACGGATAACCAGGCGGCGATCCGCAACGCCTACAGCCCTCAGAGCCGATCGGGCCAATACATGGTAGCCAAAATCGTCCGCCTCCTCGGTATCCTCGAACGCCAAGTCGAAATCCATTGGATCCCGGCCCATCAAGGGGTGCCGGGAAACGAGGAGGCCGACAGGGTGGCCAAAGAAGCTACAGGATGGCAAGAACGAGGTCAAGGCCCAATGGCAGCCACACCACCGGACCTAATCCCGCTTATCACGTCACAAAGCGCACTGCATCGCAAACGCGCTGCAGACCAATGGGCACGAAAATGGAACGACCCGACAGCGCCGCGTGGAGTGGGAGGGCCGGTAAGACGCCTGGAACCTACCCCGAATCCTCACGTACTGAGGAAGTTCGGGCCCCTGGACAAAGCCAGGAGCGCAGTGCTCATACAAATGAGAACGGCTCACATCGGCCTGAATGGCTTCCTGGCCAAAATTGGCGTCCCCGACATCGAATCGCATTGCCCTTGCGGGCATGGACCGGAAACACGGGATCATGTATTGCTGCATTGCGGGCTGTATAGGGAGCTACGGGAAACCGTGCTCTGGGCAAACGGTAAGCGGGAGACTGACATCAATGTTCTTCTAGGGGATCCGACGAGGGTGGCCGCCACCACTCGTTTCATGATGGAGACGGGCAGGCTACAGCAGTTCCGACGTTATCAAATGGATAAGGAATCGGGCAGTGGGGGCGGAGGCAGAGGCAGCATCGGTAACGTCTCAAGGCGAACGCAGTGAGTGTCTTGATTGGTATTGATACCCACAGCGGACCTTCGGGCCTGCATCATGACACTTCAGGGGAATCACCCCCACGCACACACCGCCAGGGACAAGAGCTACTTCTAAGTCACTTCTTTAGTCGCTATCAGAGGGGGATAGTGGGACAGTTTCTCACAGGGCGGGCCGTTAGAGGGGTTGCACCCCTTCTTGGCACCCTCGGGGGTATCGCGTCTAGCGAAGGCCCCCGTGGGCGACTCTGAAATGTATTTAAATAGCGGCTGTAAATCTAATAGCAACCTGATCGGCGGTAGTACCTAGAGGATTCTTCGGGTTGAGAGAAATCTCCTCGGGGGCGCCTCGATAGGGAACCCTCTCAAGCCTTTCAGCGAGCTTGATAGGTGTTTAGCACTCAGAAGTAGCTCTAGGACCGAGAAATGGGCCCCGGGTTGATACTCAAGGCCGGAACTCTCCTAGTGGGGCATAGCCTTCGGCTGGGACCCCGATCTTGGCCTTCGGGCCTCATCAATAAATAACTACTACTACTACTACTACTACTACTGCTATCACGCAGACGGGCCAGCGCAAATCCTTCTGGAATACATTCTGGAATGGCACCTTATTTCGTAGGAGAGACCAAACGGCCAGCTGCTTGCCGAAAAAATGCTATGAGTCCCTCTTAAGACTTATTGGACAATGCGCCGTGATGATGTCAGGTCTGCTAACAACGGCTATAGCGGGCTTTTGATAGAGCAATGGAGCAGCGACACAGAGCTAGATGGACTCGGCCTTAAGCGGGAGACTTTGACTATGATTAGGGATATATAGAGGGAAAAAGAGCATGAGCGCGAGCTGGATGCCTTCTGGCCGAGATTGCTGATTGAATTCATCCTCTGGACTGGCAGATACGTACAAAATGTAAAATATAACATCCCAGTCTGCAATGGCAAATCATTTAACCTGCGCCATGTTCACTTTGAAGGACATCATAATTGGGAGTCATGTAAAGTACACCTTGATTAACCTAACCGCCGCGCTCTTAGCGCACCTCAATACATCCACAAAGTGAGTTCCTGGATCGCGCTAGTCACATTTTTTTAATTCATATCAGTTCCACCTCACATCAGCAGCTACATTGAAGCGTGAAAGACAGGTCGTCAATTAACAAGTGCTATGAACCTTTGACGGTTCTGTATCAACGGATACCAGCACATTACGGTCTTGTGCTATTCCCCGCGGCGCCCGGCGTCGGCAAACCTCAGTTCGAAACATATCCAAGTCCTCAATCCTCTTTCAGTTCCATCCATACTGCTTCGCCACCTTCAAGCTGTTAAATCTTATATCCATCAAACCCTTTCACCCTTGCAACCACTCCCTACATAAGCCCAAATCATCAAGAATGCCTCACAATGAGTCTTTCAACTATGAAGCATTCATCGAAACCCCTCGAATCCGCCTCGCGGACCTCGCGAACTCACTCTCACTCACTATGGATCAACTCAAAGGCGTTCAAACTATTGTAGCCTCTGTACTCGAAGAGGCCGGCTTGGGTGCGGAGGACTTGACTAGGAAAGACAGTTGTCTGCGGAGTATGTTTGAAACTATGATCAAGCGGATCGACGATCGTGACATCACTATTCTAAAGGACGTGGACCAGCGCTGGGTCGAACACCTTCTTCGCGACTTGATCTTAAAGGATTCCACTTCGTCACGGAAACGCATAGAGCCAGAGAGCAATCCGAATGAGACTCGAACCTCGAAGCGACCAGCAGCTACTCCTCCTATTCAGCCCGACAATAAGAGGCTGAGAACGTCGCACGGCGTCCCCAGGCTCAATCAAGGTGCGTTGCCGAATTCGCCTGAGCCTCACGTGCAGGCCTTCCCATACCTTCCACAGCGATTGCCATATCTTCCACTGCAATCCACGGAATTTCCACAGCAGCAATCAGTCGGTGGGCCACCTGAATCTCGGTCAGCCGGATCTAATGTCCAGTTCGGGATGCCACCCATTCCTTTGCCGTCGCAGCCATCATCTCAATTCTCCTCTCCAATCTCTAAAGACTTTGACTACTGCATCATCCGTTGCTTTCGAGCAGATGACCACAATGTACAGGCTCATATCTGTGGATATTCCATTACAGGTCCTGCTGAACAGGACAACAAACCGCGATTTGCCCAAGCGTCACTTGACAAATTCAAGGAGCTACTTGTGGTTCTGCAAGTAAGCAGAATGCCCGATCAAGAGAATCTATATGGCCTGAAGACCGCGAGTGGTCTCACCAACTGGTTCCGAATAAATAACGAAATGGACTTCCATGTCAGCTTAGCAAGTCAGATACGGATGCGTGGGAATGACGACTATGAGTTTCTAATAGAAAAGAAAAAAGAGATTGGTACGTCCTCTATTCAACGAGTGTGCTCATCATGTTCGCTCACGTTCCATAATTTAGACGATCAGGGTACTTCATCATCAGGAAATAAGGACCGGCTTTCACCACTTGCTGTTTCCCCGCGTCCAATTATCAATGAGGCACCTGCGAAAGAAGTAGGTCGGGCGTATGAAGTGGGCAATGGGAGCGGCTCGAAGGGAACCAGTCTTGATGAAGCTATGTTAGGTATGTGATCTTCTCGACTCTGAGAAAGGATTTATTCCTGTTAACAACTCTTCAGGCGCTGCCAGCCAGGCTGCTTCATTCCTCAAGGAAACTGACACGCGTTTATCATCTACTATCCCTCCAAAACAAACTATGGACGAAGCGCTTGCAACGGACACAGCTCAGCCATCTGAAGTGAACAATCACAGCGACTTGAGGAAGACAGGGCTTGGGATGGACATGTTGAGTCAGGGGCCACGTGCACTTCGAAGAGAGACTCGTTTAGTGCTAACAATTTGTCAGATGTTGACGGCAAAGCTGTTACATTCCCAAGCATCGTTGTACAGCCTTCATCAACTTCCACTTCCCCAAACCTAATCATGAACGAGGCATTTGTAACAGAAGAAGCTCAGGCATCAGCGCATGGCAATGAGAGTGAGAAGGGAGAGACTGGCCATGAGGGGAGCGTGGAAGGTGAGATACTATGCTGGCTGCGTATTAGCCTGCCTACATTTCTAACAACGTGACAGAGCATGAGCATCGATCTACAGGATTGGAGGACCTGATGCAAACAGCGCCCACTTCCTTACCACAAGATACTCATGTGGATTCAACCCTTGAAGCTGTGACGCCTTTTGGACAAAGCACAACTACATTCCCACCTGGAATCGGCGACCCAGCAATACGTTCTGTGCCACCACCTGATGAAGCCGAAAATGATGAGGATGAGCTACGAGAGCTGAGTGCGAAGGAAGTTGAGGCGATGCAAGCTGCGACGCTGAAAGCTAAGGAAACCGAGCCAAACGGATTGACCGAAACGGATTTCGAGGAAGATCTTGAAGAATCGGATATCGACCTGGATCGGCATGACTTGGAGCGCTTTATAGCGGACGATGAGGGTGGGGATCTGGATGAGGATCTCCAATTGGAGTATCAGGAACGGTACTCCTTTCGTTCTAATTGACTGTTCATCACTGACGTGCAATCAAAGGATGGGCCATGCTCGCGACTCCAAGGTCTACGAACACATGTCAAAAAAGGAGATCGAAGAATTTTGTCAATTCTATATGATTTCAGACGCCATATTAATTCCCAAGCGAAGAGAAAATAGGAAGGATGGAGAGTCAGAATTCATCACACCTAGCTTCAAAATGAGAGGTATACTCTGCGAGCCATACTGGTTCCAGCATTTGGGAATCCTCGTGCTATTGAAATTCTGCTCTGGACTGGGCGAAGGTGGGATCTTGGCCGATGAGATGGGCTTCGGGAAGGTGAGTGTTGTTGATGTGAAAAAGACGAGGGTTCAAAGACACTGGCTGACCAATGCGACTTCAACAGACCATCACAATAATCCTATACATCACCGTCCAGAGATGGATCAACCTCAATCACATCGACGTCGATACTGATCGCGAGTCTGAAGACGCTGTCCACCGTCACCTGGGAAAAGGTGCTCCGGGTCCGTGCCCAGAGCAATCTAAGTGGCCAATTCAATGCTGCTGTGTGAAGGATAGTATCACGGCTGGACTACTTCAGCAATCTGGACCAAACCTCATTGTTAGCCCCGCCACACTGGTTCCAAGTTGGAAGGACGAATTCCGGAAGTGGGTAGATCCCGCATACCGAAAAAATTTAGGCTTGAGACTTGGCCTAGATCGGGGCAACGATCCTAGATACGAGGTCAAGCTAATGCGGTCCGCGAAGAATAAAGATGGCAAAGACGAAATCGTGAAAGGAAACGCTTGGAAAATAAGCACTCCACCTGATCAGAGACCATCAATCGAAAGTCAGCGTTGGTTAATTGTTGCATCTCCACAAAGCTTGGAATCCAAGATCAGCAGGGTCTTGAACTATACACGCAAATGGAAGGAGCCTAGACCTGGTCACCCGCGCGCGCAAGACACTCATTCTGTGACAGAATTGCAAGCATCCTGGGGCTTGATGATCGACGACGAATATACTACCCATAAGAGCAAAGACTCTGCTATGATGGTAGCATGGAGAAATATGAAGAAGCAATCTTGGATGGAAGCGGCAAAATTTATTGCTGTGTCAGGTACCCCTATCTCGAAATCTCCAAAGGATATTGAGGGAGTACTGAGTGTGCTCTCTACCGGCTCCGAGCACCTCTGGGAAGAAGAGACGCCTTGGAAATTTGGACTGCAAGCTGAATTTGGTCATATCGTAAACGCATTCACGGCCGCGCAGAAAGGGACCTGTGAAACACAAAGATTCGAGAAGTACCAGGGTCAACTCACTTCGCTATGCGAATCAATCATTCTGCGACGCACGGACAGATCCCAATTCCAAGGCCAACCAATGATACACCTCCCGCCAATCGAGGAAAGACACGTTGCTATTGAGTTTCCTTCTCAATATGTTGTCGACCTCGAAAACATTGAGAAAGGCATTGCTAACAAGGTCAGGGAAGTAGCCACAGAAGAAGGTCACCGCGTGAGAAAAACCGATTTCTGGCTGAACTCAACCAAGGCAAGAGCAACAGGTTGCTATCCGGCTTTGGGGTCAATCGCACTGTCAGGTGATGCCAAATTGACATGGGGAGATTATGTCAATAACGTATGGAAGACCCAGTGGGAAGGAACACCCTCGGACTCCCCAAACCCGTACTACAAGAATTTTGTGGAAATCATGAGGAACAGCCCTTCCCTCGATTTCATTGTAAGCATTGTGCAGGAGCTCGGGAGTATGTGGTTCAAAAGAGGAGGAGATACTGCGACATGTCTTGTACCAGAAAAATTGGTGATTATGACAGTTCAACCACTGGTCGCGGAGCTGACCGCCCGGGTAAGTCCATGTCTCCTGGTCAATGCCTAATCAGCTACGCAACAAGGCAGACTTGCGCTGACAGTTGTATAGGGGCTCACAAAACGCCTGAATGAGTTGCAAATTCAGAAGCGTGTTAAGTTCATGAGCGCAGATGTCTCTATCCCGGCTCGCAAGGCGTACGTAGACGCCTTCCAGGAGGATCGTGGTGCGGACCCTGAACTTGAAGCCGACATCTTGGTGGTGCCAACGAAGGTTTTCGGAAAGGGCTACACAATGACCAGGTCAAAGCGGATCATTGTCATGGACATGGATTGGCTCGAGGAGACCTATCTTCAAGCTATCAAACGTGTCCATCGTATTGGCTCTTTGAACGACGTCACCGCTTATATGCTATACGTGGGTCAAGTCAGGGTAAATAGGGACACGTACCGCATTCAGCGAAAACGCCGTGAGCAGATGCAGGCCACAGTAAGGACACAAGCTGAAAAGGAGGAAGCTGAGAATCAAACAGATCAGAAGGTTACAGAGGGGGACGAATTCACTGTGTAGTGTTTGACGTGTCTCACACTGCCACGATTCCCGAAGGGATATTGCCAATTCGCTGGACAATACGTGCTAGTGCCTGTAGGGTTAATGCCACAGATCATGTACCTAGCAAGAATGTGCCATGAGTTTGTCCTACCAACTTGAATCCTTTCGAAGTGCGCATCAGTCCAATCAATCTGAGAGTTGGTCTGCTAACCACTACGCCTGAAAATCCCATCGACTTTATGATACTTTATAGCAGAACCCAAATCAGGTCCGCGAACAGATTGATTCGCCAATTCCCTACTGTGGACGCGTATCTAATCTCATATGTTTTAATTTCCCTCCAGCCTCAGTTTTCGGCCTTGTCTGAATGCCCCCTTCAGATACGTACTCCAGCACGTTGAACTCGCATTCGGCCTTGTCCCCTTCACTCGACCCTCTAGCACCCTTGACTAATACAGTCTCCAGAGCTTTCACTTTCCGTTTCTCGGCGCGCACTGCTATCATCTGTCTTAAGACGAAGGAAGATTACTCTATAGGCCGTTCATAGCTCAGCAAGATCACAAAGGGCAAAGAAGGACAATGGAGAGATATTCCATCAAGGGCATATTATTTCCAGAACCACCATCGTCGGAAGGGTATCAGCTCAAAGATTGTCGTTCGTTGGGTACTGCCTTACAGAGCGGATGCACGATTTTCGATGCTGAGTTGATCGTGGCGACTTCTGCTTCCAGATGACTGCCCACCCAAGGGCGACTTTGCGTGAGATCGGGTATGTGATTGTTACCCATAGCTCGTTTTGGTCACACTGATTAGCCTAGGGACTGCAAATGAATATGTTTTATCTCCCAAGCACGACCCAGGGAATACGTGATTCGCATGGCAGGAAGCCAATGCCGAGAGAGGAAATGCGATCATAAGGACAGCGCCACAAGCCTGAGTACTGTTGAGTAGCTAATCCAAGGGCTGCAAGGTAGTTGTGGCTGACCATCGGGCCGCGCACTCGCATCCAGATAAAAGCTATTCAGTGTCTCACGGATTTGCCATATTTAGTTGGGAGCACGTGAAGATATTTACAGTGTTAGTAGCGCTACAGGATTCCACTCTGGAAGGCCGTGTTTGAACTATGGGCGGACCGTAAATCGGTGAGGTAGCTCTTCATGGTGTCAGTCTTGACTCGTTTGACGCTGAGTTATAGCAACCCAGTTGGCGAGTGAGTTGATAGTGATTGAAAGAGGAGAATTGAAGCCATTAAGATCAGGCCTGGGGCTTTTTGATACCTTGACTCTTGATCTGAGCGTAATTCTGTTGGTCCAGGTCAGAATTGATATCACGCCACGACGCTCAGACCACCAAAGGCAAGAGCGAGCAGCAGCACAACAGCAAGATCCCAACAAGCTCGATCTCGTTCATCATTAGTTGAACCACTAGCAGACTTAGAGCTTCAACAAACGTGGCTCAAAGACCGGGCAATAGATCAATCATCTCTGAAAGCTGCTATACGCACGTTCCAAACAGCTACAAGCCAGATCCTGCTATCCCCATCAACCGGCAATGCGACTGAGCGTACAGAAAGGCCAGCTAGCAATCCACGGACAGCCTCCGCTAGCCAAATTTCGGCCACGATAGCAGAGGAAGTTTTTTCACCGACCACACAAGAGCCTCTGCAGGCTGCGATCTAGGTCGATTAGCACTTGCGCTCATAACACTTTAGTCGCATCTTTTGTTGAAACATCGCCCGCCTTTGATACAGCTCCTTTCCGTTCGTCTCTCGCCCCGCCTTACTATACAGCTTGACTGATTCTTTGTACGTTCTCCCTCCTTATCTGTCCAACAGAGCCTTCGACTTCTTTTTGGGTGAAGGGGGCTTCTCAAGTATCAGTACTGATTTCAGCGATTGGAAGGAATAAAAGGAAGTCTCACATCCTCTTTATACCTCTTGCGCTTATTGCTGTTAGAGATCAAGGGCGAAGACGTAGGGCGCTACAGGATAGACTGTCAGCAAGATCTCACATCATTCATACAAGAGTATTGATCGTACTGAGGCAGATTCGGAGCTTCTCCGAGTGACGGTACGAGATATCGTCGAATCCAGAATCGTCATAACGAGAAGTCGAAAGAGCCTCAGCATCGATGGCTTGTCCTTCGAGACAAGCGCCTCGGTCGCTCATACTGCAACGAGAACCGGAGTACTGAACGGACTGCTCCAGCTGGTCCTACTCTGCAAGGGTGAAAATATCCTCCGCCTGTTATAAACAAATGGCAAAGTTCGGAGATGGACACCGACGTCCTCTTCATTTTTCCATCCCTCATTCCGGTGCATGAATATGTTCGTAGCCAGGTTTATATTTGCCATTGACGCGGACCCTGTCAAGGCGCGTGTCCTGGATACAGCCCTTTTGTTCAATGATCTGAGCGGTGAAATTCTTGGTCAATCTTTTTGATGATGACTTTCCGGGCATCTTCGCACTTGTTTTCATCAAGAAGTTCGTACGAGTCTAGAAATGGTGCCAGTGAGTTCTCCACAGGGTCGAACCCGTTCATGTAGAATATTTTGCTTTGATGCGTCCATCGCTTGAAATCGGTTTTGACAGATGGTTGAAGAGCCGATCTTTTGGCGGGACCTTTCTTCTGATAGGGGTCATATTTGATGTAATTATTGCTTAAACGGTGACGAAAGATTCTCTCGTCGTTAGAAGGAGGCGTGTTATCAGATGTGGCTTGAGAAGATGTTTTGAAAACGGATCGATCATAGTCCTTGATAGGTCTCGGCGCTCAAGAAAGAACGGTGCACGACGACAGGCATGGAGTTCACAGACGAAGCAGCTATGGATCCTGATGCAGCTGCAGAAGATGAAGGAAGATGATGATGATGATGATGATGATGATGATGATGATGATGATGATGATGAGGATTTGATTGAGACTACCGAGGATGGAGTGCCGGTTACGGAGGCTTCATCCCGCAAGGCTGAAGGCAAGCAGAAGGAGGTGCCCCGCAGCCCCAGCCTAACTAGCTCCACATCAACTACCTCGTCTCGTAAACGTGGTCCTAGCGACTTGGAGTTGATGATGGACGCTATGGGACGCTATGGGGCAAGGGGAGGCTAAATGTCGTTGAGGATCGCCGCTCAGGATAGCTGTGATTACTCGCCGATTAGTGCTCGCAAACAGTGAGGCCACACAGAAATGACGTATGCACAAGCGGATATGTAGATAGATGATTAAGCATATCCAACACGGGGGCAGCTAAGACCTTCCTGGACATGCAAATAGCCTAGGGAGGCCCCTCAGCGCTAGAAAAACTCCCAAAACAACCCAAGACGTCATCTAAAGAGGGCGAAGGTCTCGAAGAGGACTCCTGACGGTACCTACTGCAGCAAGCAGGGGGTACTGACAGCACTAGCGCGGACGTGCGGGAAGGTGCTGGTGCCGTAGTGATGCTCTGAGTATGTGGGCTGGGTGAGTGACGATGTAGAGGCGGTAGGAATCTGACTTCCAACGGCCTAGCAATTGGATCTCGTCATTGCTAAGGCCGGCGTCACGTGCTGACGTTGCAGCCCCTCTGCGGAAGGAATGGCCTGAATAATGGCCCTCAACACCAAGTGACGTCAGTACCTCGCGGAGGTTGCTGGTGACGGCCTCCCTAGTGAAGGCGGAGCCCCCCAGCTGGAACAGCGGTGCGTCAGGTGGGGCTTCCCACCTGAAGAGGTGACGTATGGCTTTGATTGCGCATGCGTCATCGCCAGATGCGGCCACCGTGAGTGTGATCCCACGGCGAAATGGGTCCGTTTTGGACGCTGGAAGCGTGAGTTCCAGGTGATCGTCGAATAGCCTCACCGAGCGACGTGTGAGGAACCATTCGCCGAAGTCCTCCTGTTGAAGGTCTCGCTTGCTGTAAGTAAACTCACCTACGCGTAGGAATGCCGCGAAGGCGAGGCAAAAGGAGGCATATAGAGTCGCCCCAGCATGGGTTGACTTATCGAAATGAGGAAGGATTTGAAGCAATAGATCCTTGGTGATTGGACGTCTTTCTTTAGTGTCAGCTTCGCCACGAAGACGGCGACTACCTGCAAAAATGCGTTGTAACTGGGGGCGGTGAAATACTGAGAGCTCATCGAACCCCATGTCCACATGGGCTGACCTGAGGCCGGTGAGGTATGCCTTCATAGACTTCGACTTGACGCGGCGAGTGCTCAAGTCAGCAATCCAGCCCGTGAGGGCATTCATAGTTGCTGGAAAGGGAGGTTGGACCCCCCTAAGTGCGCAATAGCTAGTGTAGGATCTCGCTGGAGTCGCGTATGTCTTCCTGGTTTTGGTAGCAAGCCCCCACCAGAGAAGTCGTGCGGCCTCTCGCAGCAGTGCGGTCTGATTGTACCAATATCCTGGTGGGTCTCGCCCTATTTCAGCGGAGACACGAGACCTCTCAGCTGTAAATATGCGTCAGCGATTTTTCGGTACCGAAAACGTGAAAGATCATCGGCCAGCTGGTTAGCCTTCGTAGAGATCCAAGTAAGAACCCCTATGATGTCATGAGTAGCTGCCAGCATAGCTATATCGCGCAACTGGGCCATGGCTGGCCCATGCATGGAGGATTTACGTAGTCCATTGACGCATGCGTCGTTATCGTAGTAGAGAACCAAGCGAGATCCTCACTGATCTAGCCACAGCTCCATCGCGTGATGGACGGCCTTCATTTCTTTGAATTGTATGTCTTTGGAACGATGACGTGTGGCTGTTTTGATGCTGAAAACGTCCTTAGGTAGAACCGATTGGATGTGGTCGGGATGGTCTAGAACGTAGCCTCCCATACCGAATTTTCCAGACGCATCAGTCCATATGTGCCACGTGACCCGACTGTCGACGTGGCGTATCAAGGCGACGCCATCCCAGTGCTTCAGGAAGGTGTCCCACCATAGCAAGTCTGCCCTTATGTCGCCTGTGATCCGCACGATCACCGCAGGCCTTCGAAGGGCATCAAAAAGTCGCCTCAAGAATGCTCTTCCTGGAATTACGACTTTGGCATCGAAAGAGAGGAAGCCGACCGCTGACTCGAGCTCCTGATGTGAGATGGTTGCCCTTTTTAGGAGGTTTTTAACCGTGGTTCTCGCCCTGGCCAGCTTGTCCGGGGGAAGTCTCGCCTGCATGCGAATACTATCAAATTCGATTCCTAGGAACTCGGCTATGAAACCCAAAACATCCTTCGTGTGATTGATCTGAAGGCCCAATCCGCCACATAGGTGGTTGAATTGCTGGGTGTATGCAGTTGCGTCATCGCCTGGTGAGAGGATTGCGAAGGAATCGTCCAAGTAGTGGAGCACTACTCCCCATAGAAAGATCGCGATCAAGATCCAAGTGAGGGCCTTTGCGAAGAGATCGAATAGGAACGGTGACATGCGTAGTCCGAATGGTAGATATCGTTCTTTCCAATAGCGTCCATCGCAGTTCAAACCAAATAGCCATTGATCAGATGTAGCGACCGGTATGTGCCTGAAGGCGTCTTTGAGGTCTCTTTTGACGAATTGGGCCCCTGGGCCTTTCTGTAGCAGTGCTCCTACTGCGCCATCGTATGTAGCATATTCCAGTGCGCCCCAATCCTCCTGGATACCGTCATTGACTGAGTGGCCGTGTGGGAATGAGAGGTCGTGAATTCGCCTCCAACCTCCATCGTGTTTCGGTACCAAACCGAGCGGCGACCGGACGTACTGGGGCTCGTTTTGAGGGACAAACGGGTCAGGCGATGCTGTTGTAGCTGTTTTTGGAGGTCCGCCGGTAGTATTTGGGGTGCTTGACGTGCTGATAGGTGATAGTGGTTGCGGTAGGCTGGGATATGGCCTCGAAAACCTATCTTGGCGCCCTTCCGAAGAATAGCCGAAAGCGTCTTGGCAAAATTCAGGTCCGGATGATCCTTCAACCATTTGGACCAACCATTGACTATCAACGGTCCTTGATAGAGCAGACCCGGGTCCAGTGGATCGTACAGCGCGTATGGGAACCCCTCAGATATGCACTGCACTTGGAAACACGATTGCCCAGTGGCAATTGATTGGAGCTACTCACAGCTGAGTTTTGGGCCTTAGGGCACTTATCTGACGAGTGATTTTGCTGACAGATTCAACAGATATGTGAGTAGATGCAACGCTCGCGAAAACAGCTACCTCTATTGGAATTCTTGCAAATGCCAGTTCCTTCGGCTGCAGCGGGCTTGTTGGGGCCAGACCCACCGGAATTTGGCTTGCTATTGCCCGCATGAGTCCTTTTGGGCACGAGAAGGTCTCTGCAGCTCGGATCGTCCGCTTCCCAGGCCTTAGGATCGTCCTGGCCACCCTGAATGCGTGCAGTAACAAAGGCGAGGTGAAGTTACGAGGATGGAGTCAAATCTATAGGTGATGGGCAACCGCAATAGGCGAATAGCATACGAATGAAGGGCCTCATTCAAGTCTTCCTTCACGCTCACGTGCGCAAAGCGGCCAGCGGCTACAGAGTACACATGGAAGCAGTGCATCATGTGGTTATGGCCATTGACGTCCTTATCCTCCTCGGCCGGGGTAGTATGCATGTGGGCCAGTTTGGCGAAGTTTTTGGTCTTGAAGGTCCCGAAGAAGATTTGCTTAAAGTACTTGACGTCCACACCTCGGAACCTTTCAGCAATACTAAGAAAGGGCTTCTTACCTTCCGAGTGACGAAAAGGGACCCCTCTTCTTTCCTCCCAGTCCGACTCAGAGTCGGACGAGTCCGAATCCGATGTGTCCGAGTGACGATGACGATGACGATGACGATGACTGCGGCTGTGGCGGTGGCGATGGTGGTGGCGGCGTGACTTATGAACCCGGCCGTCGTGACGATGGCGATGGTTTCGCTCCTCTTGGACCTTGGATAGCTGGGCTATCAATTCCTGAAGATCTACTTTGGCAGTAGGCGGGGGCGTTTCATCGATCTCGTCCGGGCTAATGGTACTCGGTGACGTTTTGTGTACGAGGATCTCCTCGCGGGGGGGAGGTGTTTTGGCCTTGGTGGCCTTTTTGGCCTTGGGGGCCTTGTTGGCCTTGTTGGCCTTGGGGGCCTTGTTGGCCGCCTTGAAGGTCTTCTTGGTGACCTTGGAGGCGGGGGTGACTCGTTTGGCCGCTTGGACCTGGTAGCAGCAGCGGGAGCCATTATGAAGTATGTAAGAGTATGGAGTGTGTTTGTGGTAGTTGGATAGTGTGCTTGTTGTAGTTGAATAATGGCTGATATGTATAGACTCAACTACGAAAAGAAGAACAATGATATGGCTCTGAAAGAGAACAATTCGAATGAAGAGCCCACTACTGGTGCAGTGGCCATACAAATAGTACTCGCCATGTCCACCTGTCTCCCTACTATCGCAGTTCGTATATTGATGGAACAGCGATCAAACAGCCACCCAAGCCACCAACGCTATGGCCTCATAATGGACCCACTAACCCACAGTCCCACTGTTGCGAGAAGACCGAAGCCAGATCTCTGCAAGCTGAGAGAATTCACGACCTTGTCGAAGACCTTTCGCAACATTCTAGGTTTTGCTGAAGGGGTAGCATCTGTCGTCTCTGCTGGCAAAGAGCGTGGCGATCTGATCCAGATACTGCGGGGAGGACAACAAAGGACGAGTGACGACGATGTGAGTCCACCATTCAATGGTGCAATCTTTCGAACTGCCTTTGCTGACACATCCGGGTAAGTCGACGACTTTATGAAGAGATGTGCCAGGAAAACACCACCGCCACCCCTTCGTTTTTCGGTCACACAGGCATGGTGATCCGTTCCCTCGCTTTGAAGACGAACTCACCGGCGAGATTGCATCCAGTTTTGCCTCAGATACACATGCTTTGTGTGAGAGCCAGAGCGAATGTGAAATGTCCGTTTCGATATCCCGTCCGCGCGATATCTGTGATACCGTATCAGACCTGGTAGACGAAGTGGGAAAGCCCCTTAAGAAAACGCAGATAAACAAGCAACGGACTGCTAGGAATGAGGAGCTGCACTTGTCATCACTCATACCATCTAGCGGTTCCTTCCATTGGACGGCGCACGCAACGTGCCTTAGAGGCAAGACTGCAACAGAGGGTCAGGAGGCTGGCTTAGCGATCTTTGACACATCTAAGATCAAAGCCAGCGATGTACCTCTATGGCATGTCCTGGATTTTCTGACATTCTTCGATAGCCATCGCAAGTTTGACAGTTCCAGGATTGACCACTGGGCGAGGAAATGGGCAATGAATTCGGACGAATATCTCTGCTGGGATTTGGTGCCCTGACGACTACTTTTTACGATCTGAGTTTATTGGTGCAGCGTCCTTAGGGGACTTGAAGAGATTTTCATCTTCTCCCAAGCTGTTAACGGTCGACCAATATCGATCCCGTGTTTGGAGCATCGTAATGGAACTAACAAACCAAATGTACCCGGTCAAAGCTGTTGACTCGTCCGTGGAAGCTATGGTAGAATATTTCTTAGATCCGGCACCATGAGGATATGAGCTGGAAGGAAACCTAGAACTACGATCTACACTCCAGAGGATGATTGCTGCTGAGTACGCTCCGGGAGTTATCCAAGCGTGATGATGTTAGAGTTCGGGTATATTGAGATGGGAGGACAATGAGGTCTAGATATGTGAAGGTTGAGAGCGTGGTGATACAACAGAGTTTTGGAAGGAGACTCTATGGGGCTCTGCGGCGTGCAGCCTTGATTAGTGGGACCACAGGCGGGTTTGGCTTTCTCCAAAGATTCAATTAATATCTAAACACAAGTCGACCATTGCGGAGGCTTCCTGGGTTTTCCAAGTTAATATAGTGGGAATGAGGGAAGAAGACGATGGGGAGAAGTAGGCCCATCTGTGGGACTTCCAAACTGACTGAGGAGCTCAGCGTGGAACCATGGACCCGTGGCATGGAAGCCGTCAACGTCGTTTTTAGCCACGTATAGAGCTTATTTCAGCGCTACTGACCCGCGGCACTCTTATTCCTTGGCTTCTTGGATGCTCGCTCGGTTGTTTGAGTAAAGGAGATGGTCCGTGTAACTTCTTGCGAGCTAGCTATGCTTGACTGGCTGTTAGCCCCCTCCAGCATCCATGCGGACTCGGCGTTTGATAGCTGAGAGCTCTGACAACCTAATTGTGAGAAAGAAGCTGACTGTGAGAGGTCCAAGTCTATGTCAGACGGCAACTCATCGATAGCCGAGCAGATCCTTTTGTACTGAATCGGCATCCAAATATCGTAGACGTTCTTCGTGAATTTGTAGGCCGTCCATTTTTCCTTGCCGTCTAGGGCGATGAAGCTGAACTCATGGATAGGGTGGCGATAGAAGGTGGTCTTTTCTTCCTCGATGATAGCGTAATGGCCATAGATTCTCACCAACCTGTGATCGTGCGAGATTGAAAAGGCAAGAATTTCCCGGTGAAGCTCTTTCTCGCGTTTCACAGCTCTGTAGAGTTCGACGACACCTTTTACGGCAATAGTCATACTGTGAGCGTTCTGTCGCTCAGCGACGTCTAGCGCTGCCGCGCCGCACTTGACCTCGCAGGTAAGGAAGGGAAAGTGCATCCGCGTTGTGGCCGTGAAGTAGGTGAACGCCTTGGACCCGATCTCACCCACAAAAGGTTCGAGCTTTTTGAGTTGTTCCTCCGTGAACGCAGATCGCCCGAACCCCACGGAGTAGTCGGGTTGCGGACGAGCACCATGAAAAGGGACTGCGCTGTTCCAGCCTTCGTTGACGCATTCATACAGATGATTGAGGTGCGTGGCGCCGTATGTGGCTAATGTTTGGGCGGAAGGGACAATTAGCGAACTGATGTCTCGAATGACCATAGCCTCGTTCCTGTTTCGGATATTTTCACAGGTCTTGTCGAATAGATCATCACGAAACAGCGAGTCCCGAGGGACTGTCTGCTCGGAATAAAGTAACCCCTCCAAATGCTCGTGCTTGCATCCATCCTTAAATTTGCGCATGTAGCTGCCCTTTTTCTCTAGACCCATTTCATACTCTAGGGTCCTGTATTGAGCGCTTTTAACTTCCCGCGGCAGTTGATCGCTGGGTGTCCGAAGGCTGGATTCCGAATTCTTGCGGCGTAGGGAAGACGAGGACTTCTTCCTCGCAAACAGATGCTGTAATTGGTGAAAACCGTGCATTGGTCCGATCGGCTCTTTGGCATAAAACTCCCGTTGCCAATCCCTTTGTTCGAACTGTTCTGGAGACTTGCCCCTCTCAAAATCTTCTCTGACCTGGCTGTCTTGTTCGAAGTAGACTTTATGCCACCTCCCCGTCTGAATCCAATATTGGATAGGTTCAAGGCAGTTCTCACTGATGTCAGTCACCGCCTCCGGATGTAATTCCCTTTCAGCAGTATAGCTTGAAGGCTTGGTTCGTAGTCGCGTCGAAGGAAGCTGGCCTTGAGCTGGAGGAGAGCGATGTCCGGCGTCTTGCTCTTCTTGCCCTCGTTTCCGTTTTCGAGAGAACGTGGACAGGTTGCGGGGGATTTGCGGGTGCTGTAATGCCTGGATCAGGTCAGCGCTACGACTTGATAAGAGGAGCAATGAAGGCACATACTTTTCTGCCCTTGGGGACGTTGCTTGTTGGAGGGGACGGAAGTGTTCGTACAATCCAGATATGATTACTTTTAGATGAGGATTGCTCGTGAGATTGTTGTATTGCTTTTAAACGTAGGCTTTTGCGAACAGCTCGCCGTTTCTTGATACTTTGAGGCTTCCCTAAAGGCGGTCAGCGCAAACACTCAATGAAGTCGGAGTACTAACCTTGATCCTTTATTATTGGAAGTTGCCTAGCATTCTTCTTGCTGTTTGACTTTGCTTGACGACGGGCCATGTCGATGGGAATGAGAGGGCAGGTCCTTATGTAGCCGCTGGTGTGAAAACAGCACAGTGTATTTGCATGAAGGAAGATGCAGCAAAAGTACAAATGAGTCATAACTCACTCCTCGGGTCAGCTTTTACTCAGAATTGCTGTTCTAGGATGACCGAGATGAAACAAGGAGTCGTAGCCGCTAGTTCCATCCAAGGTTAGCTCTCGGTACGAGCACCGGAACAACCTTCCAGCGCGATACCGGAACTGCCCACGCGGGTGACAGAAGTCGTTGCACACTAGCCCTAATCTCCATTTGGGGCTAGTGTGCAACGACTTCTGTCACCCGCGTGCTGCCTTTATGCTTGTTTTTGCAGACCCGTGAGAAAACACCGTGGAACCCATTTTAAGTATGACGAACCTGAGCATATGTTTCAGCAATCCATCTCAGCAGGGTACGTAACTTCTAGATCAAGCTTTCTCTCTGCCACGTTTCCACAGCTGACCACACCTCGATCCTACTGAGACTTACCACGTCTTCGACTCCAAGCTCGACCTCGAATCGAATCCTACTGCTAAAGCCTCGAAACCTCGAAAGCGCCGTCGTTCTGATAACTCCGAGGTCAAAGTTGGATAGGACGGTGGTCCGAGGCGTATAAGATGCGAGTATTTCATTTGAGGAAAACAGAGAAGATGCTAGGCAAGGAGCATCCATCTACGCTGACGAGCATGAACAATCTGGCCGAGGTGTTGAGCAGCCAAGGCCAATACGATGAGGCCGAGGAGATGCATGGATAAGCACTGGCGTTGAGGGAAATGGTGCTGGGCAAGGAACATCCTGATACGCTGACGAGCGTTGACTGTCCCCACGGCTTCTAATAACCGTGAGGGTTTCTCTCCCCCTGCGATTTCCCTCTACCCTACCGGCTTCCAATCACCCCAAGGGTTTCTCTACCCTACGGTTCCTTCCAATCACCATAGGGGTTTCTCTACCCCACAATCTCCCACCGCCCTGCGGTTTCTACCCTACGGCTTCCAATAACCGTGAGGGTTTCTCTCCCCCTGCGATTTCTCTATCCTACGGCTTCCAATCACCCCAAGGGTTTTCCCTACCCTACGGCTTCTAATCTTCCTAGGGTGTTCAGAAACTATATAAATTCGGGAAGCTATATAATTCGGAAGTTATACAAGCTTGGAAGTTGCACAAGCTCGGAAATTATATAAATTTAGAAGTTGCACACTTTTTAAGACCCCACACAATGAGAATCCCAATGGATGGTGGGGTTCGTATGGAAAGAGGATGCTCAAATCGCCAAGATGTAACCACGCATCCCGCTCAGTTGGAGGCAAGGTTATTTTCGTCCAACCGCTTGGACTCTTTATCCAACTAAAATTTTACACCTGTATTTAGGGCCAGGAATCTCATAATATGCCTGACACGGCAAAAGCGAAGACGCAACAATTCACCAGAAGGAAATCAAACCTAGTAAAAAGAGCAGATCAACTGGCACGATTGTGTCATGCAGACCTTGCCCTAATCATCCGTGAGAATGGTAGGTATTACATGTATCAATCGACCAATCACGATCAATGGCCTCCCACGATCACAGAGATTGTGTGTACGGACCTGACAGATCCATCCACCTTGCGCTGACTCGACTGAATCTGCATAATCCTGAAAGTCGGCAAAAGTTGGAAGGAGCCGTTGACAACAACGTTGGAAATGGCAGGGCTTGAGTCTTTGCAGAACACGTAGCGTTGCGAGATTTTGTGCTACGTTGTATAACCAAGTCGGAGGAAGACAATCGCATAAGAGATGTATCACGCTTTTTTCTCGAATCACAAGGTAGTCTGGACCAATGCCTGAAAGGTATCTTTGCGATCGTCATCGAGAACGTATGCGGACGTCAGCATAGAAGGCGTAGTATGATATCCATCAAATTGTCAAGTTGTCCTTTGCCAATGCTCACCCCACATGAGCCAAGGTCGTCATGTCCCCATCCTTGAGTTTTCAGATCCCTATACCAGACAAGCCACCACTTTATACTGACCCAAACTTGCACGTTGTGGCCTGTTGCGAAACATCTTCTGCTTTCCATCCGACCCAATACCCCTTTGTCCAATGACCATATTCGTCAATTCTTATAATACTAAAACTCCCCCGCACCTGGAGCTTTTGATGATATTCATCCATTTATCGATCCACTTTGGCACGAAACTTAGAGCCCGTTGATCGCCCGTCAAAATCTGGAATGGGTGTGGGGTTGGGGGGTCACAACCGCAACAGGACCTGCCTGGCGAGATTACGGCGTGGGATTGGGAGTAGACGTCTGCGAATCGCAAGTAGTTGTTGGGATGCCTGAAGTTCAACCGTATTAGAGAAGATAGGAAGGTGTACATAAGGTAAGTCTCACCTAGCGAGACATCATCTTTGGACCGAAGCCACTTGAGCGTCTTCAACTGGACATTGAAATTTTTCATCAATGGACCAGCCTTTGTGGTGTGCAGCTCTCCGTCCTGGGTAACCCAGCATTCCGCACGTTTGTTTCTATGCTTGCTCTCGCTGTCCACATCGACCTCTGCATCTATGTGCGTTACCCAGAATTCCTCGCATTTATTTCTGTTCTTGCTCTCGCTGTCCGCGTCGACCTCTGCGTTTGTGTGGTCTTGAAGTGGGGTGCGCCGAAAAGGTCGTCGTGGAGCTGCGTCACTCTGGATCTCTACCATCTGTCCCTGACCGGCCGTGAGTGGAAGTCAACTTGTCTCTAGCTAATTCGAGCTTTCTAATTGGACTCTTCACCTAGGAAAATCTATAGCGAGTTGACATCGATTAGCCATCAGCAATTCTCAAGTATTTCATAGTAGGTCTACGTGCTCTCGCTCACTTGTACGCTTTCTATGTTTGACCCACAAGTGGCATTAGAGCCCAACGATGTTCGTGAAGTGACCGACCAAGAAGACTCGACACTATTCGAGTTCTGGTTCTGTTCAGTCAGGACGAAAAGAGACCGCTGTTAAGTCGTATGTCATATATATCCCTAAGACTAGCAAAGTCAACGAGGGAAAATTTAGTCATGGGGAGGACGTACGGTTTCACAATTCTGAAATAAAACCCTCTAAGGTGTGTTTCCATTTCGTCGTCGGAAGGCGAGGAAGGAAACGATCCAGTGAGGCAATGCTCAACAGCCCCCGCAAAATGCTCGCTATCATTGAATGTCTGCTTTACAAGTTTCAAGACTGTTTTGAGGCTGACTGTTTCCCATTTCCAGGGACCAGGCTCCGCCTTGACAAAAATGTGGATTTGTGCAACTGGGGCGGCCCCGTCTATGTTACCATTGGTTTCCGGGAATACTATTGTACTCAGAGACAATTCGACTAACCAAAGGCCCAGATGTCGGATCGGCTTGTTGAGACCATACCATTGATAGTTCGTCGTGCACCACGAACGCTCTAAAGAACCTTCAGCATAGCCTCGGGGCTGATAAGGATCGCGCCACAATGGGGGTTGGTGCATTGTTTCTACTAGTTCAAGACCGAATTGGTGCAATTTCGCAGCGGACACGTTGGACAGAACTCCACATCGGACAGTACACCGACAGAGTTCCCGGATCCAATTGGTTCGAAGGAAGAGCAGACACGCCTGGGCCAGTTCAAAAGCAGCCCGAGCGTTGGACAATTCGTCTAGGACAGTTCCATGATTCAAGAACTGCCCAGTCAGTGCATTGTAGGTTGGCGGATCATGATCGGCAAGAAGAGGGAGTTGGAAGAATTCTCTAATTCTTTCGAATCTCGTTTGCAAATAAAAAAAGCTTCTTGTACCATACAGGCTACTTTTATCGACCTGTTCCAATAATCGCAGAATTCTCTTCTTCTGGGTCTGAGCAATCTATATACTTGCGGAGAAGAGCGTAGCGATCCCGACCCATCTGCCCAACAAATATGAAAGCCACCGGAGCAATTCCGTCTGTCCTCCAGTAGTCATGTATGGTAGGAAAGTGAAAGATTCCTATATAGATCGTGATAGCAATAAAGGGTTTGAGCTTCGAAATGAATATGGGCTCCCAATCAGAATCTAGATCCTCTTGTGCAGCGGCATATAAGTTGGTATTTCTACAGAGCATATCCTGGACAGTACCAGTCCATATGAGACAAAACACTGAATATTGGTGAATTCCCATGTCATTAGTAAGGCGACTAACAGCCGCGCGATTGTCAATTGTCATTGGTTGATACTCTGGGAGTGGTGGAATGCGCTGGAGAAGATTGTCACGTTTCTCAACAAATTCGTGTCGCTCTTTTTCTTTAGTGGCTTTTTTCTGCTATCTCAGGGCTCGATCTAATTCGCCCTTATTAGGAGCACGTAGAGTAGCAACTTGAGGCATATTGGACTGCAATTGATGGAATAATAAAGGAGAAAAGAAAAAAGACTCGTTGTTCATATCCGGAAAATTCTCGGTAAATTTGTTGCCTCCGTCTCGGCGGTTATTGTCAGGACCGGTACAGATGCAATATCAATGTAGGTATGTTTAATAAGATAACTAAGGTACCGAACTATGTAGGTGGGAAGGAGGCATGATATGGTAGGGGATGCCTCCGCCAAGGCCCGCTAGCCATAGGGCTGAGGGGTGTGTCAAGGGTACGCTCGTAACAGTTATCACATTATAAATCCAACGCAACACCAAAACGCCTATTATTTATCAACTTTATATAGGTAGCGGCTACGCGTACAGCCCCTACTCACTAGGCGTACAGCCCCTATTCACTAGGCGTACAGCCCCCCTAATCCGGTTAGCGGCCGCGCGGAAGCTAACGGAATCTAATCGAAAATGGTAAAGAACCCGCATCACTAACGGACACTAACCGAAAATGGTAAAGAACCCGCATCTAGTCTCTTCGAGCCGAATGTCTTCACAGTAGGATATGGTAGTAGAACCAACACCCACCCCACCGCCCGCCTACATCCCTCGCTCAATAGGCAAGGATCAGAGCGCATACCTACACCTACCTCTACACTACAAGCGTCACAGCGGGGGGGTTTGCGACCGCTGCAGCAGCCACCCCGACGACTAGGCATTACACGAGGAGGGCGGCGAGGTGGGCAGGCTGGACAGGCTACAAGAGGAGGACAGCGAGGTGGTGCTACACGAGGACAGCGAGGTGGTGCTACACGAGGACAGCGAGGTGGTGCTACATCGGCCTACATGCAGGGTAACGAGGCTATGTTCAATACGTTTCAGATGTAGGAAGACCAGCTGGCCGATAGGTAGTGGACAATTGAGTATGATGGGCGTATTTTTAGTAGCAAGCAGAGAGGGTAGCCAGCCAATCAGCTATCGCCATAGCGGAATTATTCAAAGACCTCACTAATCGACGAATTAAAACCGTCCGATGTTGTAAATCTACAGGGAGAGACATAGGGAGGCTTGCCCTGCTACCACCAAGCATCTCCGCAAGAATCTCGAAGACACTAGATGCGGGTTCTTTACCATTTTCGATTAGATTCCGTTAGCTTCCGCGCGGCCGCTAACCGGATTAGGGGGGCTGTACGCCTAGTAGATAGGGGCTGTACGCCTAGTGAATAGGGGCTGTACGTCTAGTAAGTAGGGGCTGTACGCGTAGCCGCTACCTTTATATAATAAATTAATATAATAATAATAACCTTTTATTTCTATTAAAGCTCTATAAGAAAATATTTAAAATATTTTTTTCTAGATTTAATTTATCTATCAATTATCTAATAAATCTATATTCTATTCTTATCTCTATCTTTATATTTTGTTATTTCTTTTAACTTTCTTATTTCTTCTATTATCTTTAATCTTTTCTATCTTTTTTTTTTCTTTTTATCTCTTTTATCTCTTTTATCTTATTATATTTAAACAAGTAAAGGCCCATGAATTAAATTCATGGAGTTGGATTTTTTATTTTTCTAAGTCAAATGGAGTTGGATTTTTCTAAGTCAAATGGAATTTTAGCCCTAGCCCTAAGTCAAATCGAACTCTAATCGCTTGCTATGCGTTTTTAACCTACTTCCATCATTATAAAATTGATTTAATCTATGTGATATATAGGCATATATATGCGGAGAGAGGCGCGTTAAGGCCTAATTAGGAAGGTGTATTAAGTGTGAAGAATTGATCCGTAATAATTGCCCATAAAAAACAGAGAAAGGCCATGTCCTTATGGCAAGAAGTATCGAAATACCGGAAAGAAATGGAGACAACGTGCCAATTAGTGGTGTAAATCCCACAATATCTCCTGCCGCAGTGAAATTTTTCGAATAATGAAATAGCTATAGACATCGGACGGTTTCAATTCGTCCAAATATGCATCGTTCGATGTTCCTCCTGCAGAGGCCTAATTGGCTGTGATCGTCGCAGTAGATCCTCCTCTTCTGACGTTATTGATGTACAATATGAATGCAGTGGGGATGATAGGCCAAGTTGCAGTGGGGATGACAGGCTAAGTTGCAGTGGTGTTCTCCGCTTGCTGAGTGATGATTTGATGTGGAACCGTGGAGAGCATATAACGTGGGATCTTGGAGAGCTGAGCCGTGTTCTTGGTGCTGGGGGCCTTATTGCCGCTTGGTTTCTCCGCAGTGTTCTCCGCATTCGCCTGCTATCGTGACTTCTCTTACCCTGGCTAAGTGGATTGGTGTGAGACCGTGGAGAGTAGGCCTATTGTGTCACTGCTGCTGATGACTATCTCCGCAGTGTTCTCCGCAGTGTTCTCCGCATTCGCCTGCTGTCGTGACTTCTCTTGCCCTGGCTGAGTGGATTGGTGTGGGATCTTGGAGAGCTGAGCCGTGTTCTTGACGATGGTGGCCTTGTTGCCGCTTGGTTTCTCCGCAGTGTTCTCCGCATTTGCCTGTTGTAGTTCCTCCTCTTGCTCCTCCTCTTGTAGAGTATCAGACTGAGTGGCTAGCTGAGTGGCTGACTGAGTGGATGACTGATATGACGTGGGATCTTGGAGAGCTGAGCCGTGTTCTTGACGATGGTGGCCTTGTTGTCGCTTGGTTTCTCCGCAGTATTCTCCATAGTGTTCTCCGCAGTGTTCTCCGCAGTGTTCTCCGCATTTGCCTGTTGTAGTTCCTCCTCTTACTCCTTAATGTAGTGGGGATGACAGGCCAAGTTGTAGTGGTGTTCTCCGCTTGCTGAGTGATGATTTGATGTGGAACCGTGGAGAGCATATGACGTGGGATCTTGGAGAGCTGAGCCGTGTTCTTGGTGCTGGGGGCCTTGTTGCCGCTTGGTTTCTCCGCAGTGTTCTCCGCATTCGCCTGCTGTATTGACTTCTCTTGCACTGGCTGAGTGGATTGGTGTGAGATCGTGGAGAGTAGGCCTGTTGTGTCACTGCTGCTGATGACTGTCTCCGCAATGTTCTCCGCAGTGTTCTCCGCATTCGCCTGTTGTAGATCCTCCTCTTATTTAACTGAGTGCGAGGGTACCGAGGGTAAATGTGTTCATATTGGTGGAATTGGTAGAATTGCAGAAGAAATATGGTTACACAAACAGGTGGAAGGATTATTAACCGATCCCGGACGCGTTTGGTGTGACTACGATATTTGAATGTCAATTTAATCCACCAATAGTAGGCCAAACTTCATTATTTTTACAGCGTTAGAAAGCGCACACTGAGCTCTATAATTTACGAAATTATGAAGAAATAGCATCCGTAGGGAGCTGGTTATTTCAGAGTGTAAAACTTCTACACACAAATTTTTGATGAGGGAGCTCGGGAGGGCTAGCGGGCTGACTCAGTCAGTCTAGCCAAAAGGCGTAATAACCCCGAATTGATGATTGGCTGCACATACAAATTCAAGGTTTTCTAGTTCAGCCCTATCTTATTCTTTTATATATACTGATATATTTTAATTTATCTCGCTACTATTATTATTATTATAAGCGATACTTTTAATAGTTAATATAAGAAGTATAAATATCTTATTTATTAAAACTTTTAATTCTTTATAATTTTTAATAAATTTTAAATAAATTTAGATATAATATTTATCTTTTATTGTCATGAGATGCCTCAGGGATACTCATAGGGCCACTAGCGTAGGCTTGGCACCGCACATATCTGCCTGCAGACCACATAGATAATCAACATCTTTTACAACACACACATATATAAGTCAAACCATAATGATTCCTTAACATTTATTTTAATATACTTATCGATATTAAATTATATATATTATTTTTCTCTTATTAAGATTATTATTAATCTATTATATTTCTAGTTATATTTTAAGCGTAATTTAATATTTAGCTTTCTTTAACTTTTTCTTTAATAGCTTTTAAGAATTAATTAACTTATATTATTTTAGCTATAATAATAAAATATAATAGTAGTTTATTTAAATAAGTAGTAGTAGTAGCTATAGTAGTAATATTTATCTATATCGAATTTATCGAATTTAAGAGCTTGCAAATAGGGTTAATATATAGATAAGAGTAAAAATAAGTAACGTGAAATATGCTAAAATTCAGTTAATAAGAGGCTATTCTACTCGCAATAGCGTATCTTTAGCGTAACGCTAGTACGCGACTCTTATTTAATTAGATTCTACTCGAACTCTTCTTTCTTTATAACTAAACTTATATATAAATAGAATACTTTAATTAATATTCTATAAGAGATTACTTATTCTTTATATATTCTAATAGAATAACTATATAGCCTTTTTAATATTAAAGTTATAGAGAATTTTATTTACTAGACTATAAAGCTCGGTTTAATAGCTCGTCGTATATTATATAATAAATAGCTGAATCGTATCTTAATAGAAGTATATAGAATCTTAGATTACTAAAGGCTATAACTTATAGAATATAGGCTAGCGATTATCTTCTCATTTATATACTATAGATCTAGTAACGATTAGCCTTAATTATCTCTTAAATATAAATATATCTTACTTTACAAATGACTGTAATCTCGTTCACGCTGTCGTCGACCTAACCTTATGTTTACGTCAAGTACTATACGTTTAATATTCTTAGTCTATTAAAGATATTAGTTATTAATACTTGTATTAAATTTAAAGCTGAATTATCGCTAGTTTCCAATTTATCGTAATCGAAGAATCTTTCTAATCGCGTGTTACCGCTGAGTTTTTAGTATATTCCTTTACCCTTATCGTATAAAGTAGACTTCGCTCCGTTATTCTCGTTCTAATTATAGTTACTATCCACTATATTCCTTAAGACGCTTTATTTATATTATACTTCGGCCTTATTCGTAACCGTTAATAGTCTCGAAATACTAAATTTTCTAAATCTAAGACGCGTCCTTAGGGCTGAGGCGAGCTTATATCTTAAGTTACCTCTTTTTACTTACTTATTAAGTAAGCTATAATGTTATATAATAACTCTACTAAGCTCTCAATACTACGGCACTAGTCTCGAATAGGCCTTACTCGTTTCCACCCTCATTTATACGTTATCTCTATTTATACGCTCTAAAATTCGATAAATTTAACGTAATATCAAAATGTCTATCTTTTCTTAAATCGTATAATAAGCTAATATAATAATAATATTTTATTTCTATTAAGACTTTATATTAAAGAATTTTTTTGAAAAATCTATTATTTTCTCTTCTTTTATCTCATCTTTTATTATCTCTTTTATCTCTTTTATATTATTATATTAAGATCTAAAAAAAGCTTATTATTATAGCGAAGTATACTTTATTTATCTTTTTATTATTTCTATAATATAGTAGAACTTAATAATATTAATATATTTTATATAAGAGAATAATTATTAGAGAATAGAAGATAGAAAAATAGATATAGTTTTAATAATAAAAATAATCGTAAGAAGAATATTACTAATTAAATAATAGGGGCTATTAAAGTTACTTCTACTATTGCAAATAGTAACTATCTAATATTACAACTTTTATAAGTAGTTACTAGTTTCTTAATAGCACCTTACTACTAGATAGTAACTATTCTTCTTTATCATGAATATATATTAATCGTTTTAGTGCATAGGGCCTTACATAGGGCCTTGGCGACGGAGAACATCTATGTACTATAGCCACTACCTTTTTCTATAGCCATTGCTATCGCTATTTCTCATCACCTTCATTATATCTGTCGAAATGTGGCCCCAACGCATCCCAGCCACCGTATTTCCCAGCCACCTGATTTTGTACTGTACTTAGGACCTGGCCCCGGAGAGGTTTTAGAGAAATCAATCCGTCCGTTCTACATATCACATACCTGATATTCTAACAATATCTACCCCAAAGACGTCTGGTAAGAAAACTACGCCTAAGGTTATCTAGCCAGAGCTCTCTGCCGATATAAAGACTTAACGATAGCGCGATATATGTATGTTACTACGTTAGAGCGTATTTTATAATATAAAATAGTAACTATTTGAGTGGAATAGAAGGTCCGAACCTGCTACTTTAAAATTATTTGCTACTTGCTATTCGTAGAGCTAACGAATAATAAATAAGGTTAAATAGTTACTATTTACAATAGCAGAAGTAACTTTAATAGCTCATATTATAATAAGTTTATATCTATAAATAACTTTAGACCCATGAATTAAATTTATGAAAAGTAGTTAATTTTTTTTTTCTAATATCGAGATTAAACTCGATTCTCGAAGAGTAAAAATACTTTAATTTAAGATTTACTTAGGAGTATAAGATCGAATTTTAAAAAAATTAAATTATTAAAAAGCGTAGAATAAGTTCTATAATTTAGAGTAATAATAATTAAATTTTAATATAAAAAAGAGAAGTTATATTAATAATATATTTCTAAAAATATAATTAAATCTAAATTAATTTAAATCTAATTAATAAAAGTTAATTTTAATATCTCTTATAGGCTTCTCATTTTAATTATTATTATTTTCATTTTTATAATTGATAGAATTTACGATTTTACGATTTTTTAGCAAGGGAGATTTATGGATTCGAATCGAGAACGGAGCGAAATAGTTTCGAATTTTATTAAAATTATTACTACTCGATTATCTAAGCTTATATAAAAGAGTATTCTTAATAAAGTATATAAGTTTTTAATAAGCGATATTTATATCCTCTACTTTTAAATATTTATTAGATTAAATTTAGATATTCTTTTTTTATCTGAAAGCGTAAGTTATATTCTTATAATCTAAAAAAAAATCTTAAAACTTTAATAGAAAATAAAAACGTTATTCTAAAATCAAATAATGTATACCTGTTTCTTGATCAGGGCTATCCGACTGTCGAGCGAACTTTAGTGAGCGATATTTGAATTCCTTGCGCTTTAATAATTATAAGACTAAATTTAATAATTCTTTTTTTATCTGAAAGCGAACATTTCGTTCTATAATTTAAAAAAATAATCTTAAAATTTTAATCGAAAATAAAAACGTTATTCTAAAATCAAATAATGTGTACCTGTTTCTTGATTAGGGCTATTCGACTGTCGAGCGAACTTTAGTAAGCGATATTTGAATTCCTTGCGCTTTAATAACTATAAGACTAAATTTAAAATTTCGTTCTATAATTTAAAAAAATAATCTCAAAATTTTTATCGAAAATAAAAACGTTATTCTAAAATCAAATAATGTGTACCTGTTTTTTAATCAGGGCTATCCGACTGTCGAGCGATCTTTAGTGAGCGATATTTGAATTCCTTGCGCTTTAATAATTATAAGACTAAATTTAATAATTATTTTTTTATCTGAAAGCAAAAGTTTCGTTCCATAATTTAAAAAAAAAATCCCAAAATTTTAATAGAAAATAAAAAAGTTATTCTATGTGTTAATAACGTACATCTATTTTTTGAGATGTGATACACGTACACCCCCTTTTTATACATGTACACCCCCTTTTGATACATGTACACCCCCTTTAAATTCGATTAGCTTCCGCGCGGCCGCTAGCCGCATAAGGTATAAACTCCGCACATAGCCGAAAGAGGTGGGGCTACACGAGGCGGACAGCGAGGTAATCGACAGCGAGGTAGTCGATAGCGAGGTGGACGTGATACGCGAGCCTACATGCAGGGTAACGA